GTAGTATAGAAGTATAATAGTAGAAACCTATTCACTTTAAAGATATAGAAGTAGTAGGAAGAAAACGAAAGTAAAAGATATATTAAGTAGAAGAAGGAAAAGAAAAAGAAGACCTAGGCGAAATATAGTGACTATATAGTAAGAGAGTAGTATAGTTAAATAATAGAAAAAAGAGGACTAATTATAAAGTAAGTGTAAGCCACTAAATAAATAGTAAAGTAAAATCACTAAATTATATATAAGGAACCTATAAAGGCCTAGTACATTTAGTACTACTATACATATACTTAATAATAGACGTACTAAGGATAGTACATAAGAAGGAAGGGCAGCCTATTAGGGTCCTATTAGGACACCTATTAGAGTCCCTATATTATATGTGTTAAGTGTATATAAGCACCTATATAATAGTAAGCTGTCACTAAGCTCTCTATAAGGAGGTAGTGATAATTCTATCTTTATAAAAAATACAAAAGGGATTATTATGTGACTAGAGTCCTCTAAGCGAAGCACCTCACACTCATGAGCTAAAAACGGAGCTCAGTAGTATTGGGCCAATCCATAGAGCGTTCCGCTAGATATGGGTTGCGATCGATGCATAGTCGTCTTATAAGCGCAACAAGGCCTACTCAAGTAACAGTAGTTAGATGTGGGTTTCTACAAGTCGCGCCAGATGTACTCACCCATTTTGCTGTGGCTTGAAGAGAGAAGTCACAAGACTGTCGTGTAGACGAAGTTCTATACCGGTATTAGACAGTAGTATAGCTGATGACAAGAACGGTGCTACTGGCAAAGGGAGTTGAGCAGAAGAAGGGTCAAGGTCTGCATCTTTAAATAGAGAAATGCCGAAGCCTGGGATTAACATTACATGTAACGTCGCCTAATGTGGACTGTATTACCTTCGAGTGATTGAGTGGTTGAACGGTTTCAGTTGCTAAGCTTCGTACAGGTGTATCCACACATTTGACGTACGATTAACCAACAGTGTCACCGTGGATATGAATAACTACTGTGTTGTTGTGGCTGTAAGGTCCCTCCATCGTTTAGGTGCCAATGTTATAGTAATGTGCCTTAACTCGTCCTTTGCCCTATCAACACGAGGCCAAGCCTCGCATGAAATTGCACAACATTCTCTACGACACAGCCTCATCATACTCTATAGATTTTTAGCATTTACCGATATAAAGCTCTAATGTCACAACCCACTAATAATGGGCCAAATACTACATGCATAAATGAGCAGTTTGGACAGAGTGAGGGTTCGTAGCTTCAGCCCTCTTATACGCCAGCGCCTCCTATGCATGCTCTTTCCATTTAACCGCCGCCGATATTAGACCTCTGTATCTTTATTGACCCGCCTCGCGTTTATTTTCAATATTATTGCCCGAGTTCGGTTCCAACCTCACTTGGATCTGTTTACTATAGCTTTTTGTCCCTCAGTTCCTCGCTGCAGCTCCTTAGCCATTGCCAAGTGGCCGTGGAACTCGTGTAGTATATAGGGCGAGTCGTGGCGTGCGTGTTTGATCTTGGCGTGCGAGGCTTAGATTTAGGTTTGGGGTGGTGGACGTTGGCGAGTGGAGAAGATCAATGGTGCACCTGTAGAAGCTGCGTGCCTTCTCATTCCGGACAAACCAACAGCCGTCCATGTCCAACTCTTATGACCATGGATGCAGGGGTTGGTTCATTGCATCTTGTGGCGGCCGGTGGTTGTTGGCTGGAGCCAGCGAGTGGTCGATAATCGGCTAATCGGTTCTTAGCAAGATCTTGCCTCGGCGTAGACGGGAGATGCGTGAAAGGCAGCAAAGTATAGAGATCTTTAAACCCCGCTTTTTTTAAAGAAGAAAAAGACGACCTGCGTTGCATAGGCAGGCTTGAGTTCTTTCGCAATACTCAATTATCTGCATTATACTGTCAGTGTCAAGGCCAATTGTATCTGTAAACAACTAACACCATAGCTTATCGTGATTGCCACCTGCTGAGGCCATGTGAAGTGGAAACACAGCACAGCAAGAGGCCAATAATAATGATGTGTGTTACTTACTCCATCGCGTTTTCTTTTTTCCATTCCATTTTCTTGCTTTAACGTGGTTACCGTGTCACTTATCGCTTGCCACCCGAAGTGCCTAGTTGGGGGGGTGATCTTCAGTGGCTGTCGTGCTGAATGCTGCCTGCTGGTTGCGACAAGTACATGTGAGTAAGTCGACGCATAATCGTCACGCAATGCTGCTCTGGGGTACTTGGGGTACTGGAGATGGGCCCTCCACATGACGCAAAGATGGAATTGACATGTGAGCAGCGAGATACAACTAGCTGGCCGACTTGCCAGATATTTCAACTTGGGAAAAACATCAACATTAATAAAGCTCTTGTTGACAATTGCGAAAACTCACTCCCACAGTACATACATACATCCCAGACGGCTACGGCTTCAGCCTCGGTGCCTGGCCAAATTCCTTGCAGCAGCCTGCAGCGGCTTGCAGCAGTTTGCAGCCCCTGCGTCCGGCCACCAACCGCACCCAAAGTACCTCGCCACAGTATTTACGCGGCAAGTGACAAGTTTAGACCACCACCTGCGACGCGACCCACCGCGGCAAACCTCAGACCTCAGACCTCGACCTCGACCTCGACTTTTGGCTTGATCCAGCCCTGTCCACCCTGTTTTTGACCTCCATCGCCAATCTGTCCCTTTCCACACATTCGCCTGGAGCGACTTGTCCATTCCAGCTCTGCCAGGCTCGCGCTTACATCTCTGCGCATCGAATTCCCCGACAGTTACCTGTATTGCCGGATTTCGCGCCATGGCCGAAGCTCCCAATGGCTCTGCGCAGCCCAGCGCCAAAGGAAACGGTTCTCGCAAAGTCACGACCACAACCAAGCCGGGCTTCGTCCGTTGGTCGATAAGCTTGGTGGCACGGTAAGCTCCTTCTCTCGCGCGTGCTCTTTCCGTCATCAACACCTCTTCGCCACCAGGCACTCGCTAACGCACCACGCAGCCTCGCCACCTGGGCCGTCATCCTCACCATCCTCTTCCGATGCCCGCCTACGCTCCAAGACTGCGACGAGTCCTCCCCCTTCGTCTGCAAGCACTACTTCCGAGTCAAGAACGCCGTCACGCCCCATGCCAAGCCCTACTATGACCGGTATGCCGCGCCGTACGTCGACGTTGCCCGGCCCTACTACGACACCGTCAAGACCAACGTCGTCACACCCATCGGGCACTACGCCGTCCACTACGGCGAGCCCTGGGCTGCCAAAGGTCGCGACTACGCTCTGACCCAGTGGGAGGTTAATGGACAGCCGCGCATCGCACAGCTCCACGCCGTGTCGCAGGCCCAGTACGACAAGACTCTCGCGCCGCACGTCTCCAAGGCTGTCGCGCTGGCCGCGCCGTACTACGATGCGGCCAAGACGCAATCCCTGTACGCCGTGGACAGCATCGTTTACCCCGCCTACGAATTCTCTAAGCCATATGCCATCCATGGCTACGACACTTGGCATAACTTTGCCCTCACCACGGTGCTGCCGGCAGCGCAGTGGACCTGGTCCAACACCAACGCGTTCCTAGACCGCGCTGTTTGGCCCCAGCTCCGCGTCGTCTATGTTGAGAATGTCGAGCCTCAGCTTGTGCGCATCGGCGAGCGCCTGGGACGCTACAAGTCGCATGTCAAGAACAAGACCCTGCATGAATCGGGCACGCTGGCGCCCGCCTCCAGGTAAGCGTTGACCACCATTTCTACCTGAACCCTGTATTCTAACAAGACACGGCAGCTCAACGACTGGGTCTCAATCATCGTATGTGAGCAAGCCCACTCCACAAAACACCGTTCCGGATGCCGCCAATGGCGAACCCAGCGACGAGCCTACACAGAGTGAGGCGCAAGTCCAGGCCGAATCTAGCCGCAACCCTGTCGAAGCTCCGGAGCCGGAAGAGGATGAAGCCGACAGAGACCGGAAAGTCCGCGAAATGGTTGCCAACGATTTGGGGTCGTGGCAGGAAAAGTTTGCCACACAAGCCGAGCAGGGCGCTGCCGAGATTGAAGACAGCATAGACGACATCTCCCGTCGCATGATTGACGAGGGGGCCAACGTTGTTGGAGTTGCCCTCACCCAGCAGCTGCAAGACACAATCACGACCGAGGTTGCGAACCTAAAGGAAAAGATCAACGCCCTCGTTTCTCAGCACCTCGAAGGGGCCGAGGTGGACGCCCACGAGGAAACCATCCAGGCCGTCAGGGCCGCGGGCATCGCCATCAAGTCCAAGGCGCAGGCGATCCGCAGCTGGCGCGAGCAGTACGACGAGGACGTGCAGAGCACGGTCTTGTCAACCTCGGACGTGCACTTCGCCATCCTCGACGAGACGCGGAGCCTCGCGCTGCAGCAGATCGGCATGAAGTGGGCGTGGACCGACGGCATCACCTACAAAGACTGGGCCAAGTACCACGAGCTCAAGAGCACCCTGAGCGACTGGACCGAGGAGCTGAAGCAGATGATCGTCACCCACCCGACCCTGCTCGAGGCCCAGGACGCGGTCGTGCGGGTCGAGGACCGCGGCATGGCCATCGCCGCGGCGGCCGCCAGGGAACTGGCCAGCCTTAAGGAGGTTGTCCAGTGGAAGATTGACGCGGAGGATGTGGCGGATGAGTTTGACGCTGACCGCCTTAAGGCGATTGTTGAGGAGAGAGCCAGGTTGGCTGAGGAGGCCAGGCTCAAGGCGGAGGAGGAAGCCAGGCTCAAGGCGGAGGAGGAAGCCAGACTCAAGGCAGAAGAAGAGGCACGCGCCAAAGCTGAAGAGGACGCTCGCGTCAAGGCTGAGGAAGAGGCCCGCGTCAAGGCTGAAGAGGAAGCCAGAGCGGCCCAAGAGGCCGCCGACGAAGACGAGGACGAGGACGTGCGGATTCACTCGATGAAAGAGTCGATCGAATCGAAACCTCTTGTCAGCGTCGATGTCGATGTAGAATACACCGAAGAGGACGAGCGCATGCGATCGGTCAGGGAGGCGCGCACGTCGCACCCTCTCATCAGTGAGGCCGTGCCTGAGGCCGCTGCTGAGGAGACCGAGGAGCCAGGTCAGGCCACACCAGAAGAGACACCAGCGGATGCCGACGGTAATGAAGAGGAAGAGAAGCCCGCGGTGCCGAAAGGGAACGGGGTCCCGGCCCAAGCCGCGAACGGCGGCCCCAAACACACCCAGCCCGTCCAGCCCCCCAACGCCGTCGACCGGTAAGGTGCGCGGGGAGTAGCGGACAGGTCAACCAGCTGTAATTTGTTGTTTTTTTAATTTTCACACCCTGTGGCATGGTCCTTTTTCTATAGTTGCTGTTGTTTGTTTCATCGCAATGGGGTGCCACCGCATGGGAAATCAAGGAAGAGCGAGCGCTTTGAATGGGCGGATAGGCGGCGGCGGGAGAAGCCGCATGCAGAAGGAGAGAGCACGGCCTGTATATATATGAGTTTGGCAAAACGGAGGGGAAAACGAAAGTGTAGAGGGTTGATTGATTGAATGAATATACGCATTACACTCCGAAGCCCCGGTCTCTCACGGGTATCTGATGCTAGTTGTTTGCGTTCATTTGAACACGCCAAGACTGCCAGCACGCTCTACGTATTGTTCTCGCTGTGATGTTTTGCTACTGTAAATATTCTACAAGTATTGTTCTCGTTGCGAACCGGCAGTGAAGCAACCGGTCTTTGCGCTGCGCTCGAAGCACTCCCCGGCATGGGCGGCACAACCCAAGGCCCGGGACAGGGGCGGCAAACACGGATACCCGAGTGTTGTTCTCGTTTTCGGATGGGAAAGTGATGTTTGTGATGCCAACGGGCTCGTCAACATGTGCCAACAGATCGGGCCGTTGGTGAGGAGGTGATTCAGGCGGGAGCAAACGAGCAGGACGAGGATAAATAGATGCAAGCTCGCAGGTTTTTTCAAGGCAGAGAAAGCTGTTTTCCATCTGCATTCCTTTACGAGCCTGCATTCTGAGCTCAGTTTGCGCCGTTGTTTACAGTCTTCTGTTGGTTTCATCGCCTAACCCAAAGCCAACTTGCTTTCTATCAACAGCCACCATGAAGCCCGCCCTGCTCCTCCGCCCCCTCCTTGCCGCCCTCTCCTCCGCCCTGCCGCCCGTCCCGCCCTCCTCCGCCACCGCACTCGCCCTTCGCTCCGGCTGCAACCAGTCCGCCTGCCCGGACGGCCGCTTCGGCCTCGACCTGTGGAGCGTGTGGGCGCACAACTTTGCCTGGCTCACCGAGCTCCGCTGGCGCGGGGAGTGCGGGTGCCACGCGTTCGCCGTCGACACGCTCGCCGGCTGCAAGACCTTTACCATCTGCACGGGCACGCACTCGGTGTGCCTGGACTGGCGCGCGGGAAGGGGACACTGGATCGACCCGCAGGGCAAGAAGACGTGCTATAGTCTGAAGAATGACTATGTCTGCGGGACGAGGGGCTGGCAGGCGTGGCCGACGGAGGAGGTGGAGTGCACGTGGTGAAGACGCGGTTGCGAGGTCAGCATGGACGGTCGTGGAGAAGACGGGATACGAACCTGGGGAGGGATTCTGAGGGGCTGTGTTGATTGGCTTCGTTTGTGGAACGGAATAGTGTTGAGCCTTTTTCGTGCTAGAAATCGGATGGTGGTGTGTGCTTGTGTTTCTACGCGTCTTGGTGGGTGAGTTGGGCTCGTCTTGAACTCTGTTGGTTGGGCAAACCTTGAGACATAACAATACATTTGCGAATAATTGCCATACCATTCTTGTTATTTTATCATTCTCATAACTCGAATCACTCGGGGTATTTTTGTGATTTTATTGTTCCAGTAATCTTTGTACTTTTTACAACTGTGAATTGGTGAAATGGTGGAATGCTTGCTGTTGGTGCGGTGGCTTCCTAGCAAAAAAGCCTAGCACGCCAGTAGTCTGATGGTAGACGATCCATCTTGTAGCGAGATGGTACTAATCATAAACGAAATGGTGAGAAATATTGTGCCCTAAGTGAAAGCCTGTAGGAAACGTTGCGTGATCCTGTGGAAACGAAATGCAGCAGCAACCAGCACCTGCACGCGAGTTGTTCACCTCTTCATGCCGAGCAGCCACCCCGCCTCTCGTCAAGATGAAGCTCTCCCTCATTCTTCACTTCGCCACCAGCGCCCTCGCCTTCACCGTCCCGCTGCTCGCTCCGCGCGAAGCCGACGACAACGGCACCGCCACCACCTCCCTACTCGCCCCACGCGACGACATGGACGGCACCGCCATCCAGAGCCTGCTGCTCGACATCCGGCACTTCACCAACGACCTGACCGAGTCCTTCAAGAAGTACAAGGGCAACCAGAGCGCGCTGTACTACAACTCGACCATGCTCCTGCGGACCCTGCGCGAGGGCCTGCCCCTCGTCCAGGCGCACCCGGAGCTCGCCCTGCGCGACGCGCTGCGCCTCATCACCCCCGTCAAGAGCCTCGCCAAGGGCGGCCGCCAGCTACGCCGCGCCGCGCTGCTGCGCCGCCTCCGCGTGCGCCGCGAGCACGCCTGCGAGACCGTCCGCGAGTACGTCGTGGACATTCACGACGCGGGCATGCTGCTGAAAGACGCCGTCATCGAGAAGCTGCCGGCGGGCGTGGTGCGCGTGCTGGCGCCGTACCTGGCGGTCGGTGTGACGAGGAACTTGGTGGACAGCGTGGTGGACTTTAGCAAGGACAAGTGTAAGAACGTGGGCTGGAGGAAGATACGGCCGCCCCCGATGACGCCGGACCCGCGGACGAGCAGCAGCGCCCCGACTGCTGGCGGGCCGACGACGACGGAGAACTTGGCGTCGACTACGGGCTCGTCCTCGACAAAGGTGACGACGTCGACCGTCTCTGCTCCTCTCCCCCCGACCACTACCACGTCCTCGAAGACTGCCTCACGTTCGACTACGGACGTGGAGCTCGTTGATTCCTCGACGACTGCCTCACCGTCGACGAGTGCTTCACCGTCGACAACTGCTGCACCGTCGACAACTGCTTCACCGTCGACCACTGACGTGGAGGTTCTTGATAATGTCGACTAAACTGACAATGCTCGGAACGTTCATTTTCGTTGCACAAGACGGCGACAAGGGCATATGTGTAGAACAAAAGGCAGATGCAAACGCATCAACGCCACCTCCAAGACACATGTGGCTGGAGGGTGATGAGAATACGAACACGAGCATCGTCACCCCTGTAGTTAGCAAGTGGTGAAAGTGGCATGACAGAAGACATGCTTAATGGACATCACTTTAAATTGGGTCATCTTTTTGTTCATCTTCTATCTCTGATGTTTTTTAATCAACACCAATACCATAGTCTACTTGCTTCACCGTCAAGTCCAATTGTAGCTCCTGCTCATCACCCAGAACAACTCCCCACCAAAAAGCCGCTCCAGCATAACCTCCCAGCCACATCCACAGCCACGTACAGCTTGCGCAATCGCCGCCCTCAAGCAACCTCACCAACCTCACCGACGTCCGACAACAATGCCTCGAATCCGAATCCATAATACCCTCCACCTCCCCTAACTAGGTACACCGAACCATCCCAACGACCCCCCGGGCCCCGGGCCACGGCGCGCGCGCACCACCCATGGCGGGGGTCGTCTTCCAAACCTACCGGCCAGCGCCGCCGCGCGGCCCCGACCTCGTCGTCGCCGGCCCCTCCTCGCAGCGACAATCCCCAACGCAGCAGATTGAGCTGCAGCCGATGATGACGCCCGCCGCGTACCCACCACCGCCGCCCGCGTCCCGACGACAACCGCCGCCGCCACCACCACCACCGCCGTCGCTCTCGCACGACCTCGTCATGGAGAGGGCGCTGCCGCGCGCCTCCCACCGCTACGGGCTGTCGCAGGCCATCGCGCGCAGCGTCAGCATGAGCCTGGCGCTGGCCGGCCTGGCGAGCGCGCTGTACCTGGCCGCGCGGTGGCGCATAAAGCGCGGCGTCGCGGGCGTGGCGATTGGGGCGGTACGCTCCCACCCTCCCCGGTCCTGTCTCTGCGTGTCGGATGCTGACTGACACTCACAGAACGCCGTGGCCATCCTCATCGACGCATTCATGCTCATCGACCTCATCAACACCAACCTGCCGCGCGTCTCGCCCTACGCCATCGGCGGCCTCGACCTGGTCATGATGGCCGCGGCGCTGACGGCGGGCCTGTTCGTCGAGCTCTCGGACGAGGGCTACGAGGACGACCCGGCGCCCTGGCGGCACGTCATGGTGGTCACGGCGGGCCTGACCTGGGCGACTGCGTAAGTTTGAATGCCGGACGGACGGTCAGGGCAGAAATGGCTAACAGTGTGCGTAGGGGCGTGCGGCTGGTCTACGTGATATGGAGCATCCTGGACTGTCGCCGCGTGCGCAAGACGAGGCAGGACATGCAGAGAAACTACGTATGAACGGGCTTGGACACGGCCGTGGCGTAAATAGACGCGATGCTCGTTGTTGCTTGCGGTGCAGGATGCCTGATTTGTTTGCTCTGCTTATATCTGGACATGCCAAGGATACCCCGATTTGTTTGATAGCGCTTGACGTATATTGAAAACCACACTTGTTGCATTGTTTCTATCGCTTGACACGTATCTATATTCAAGAATCACATCGCAGCCTTGCTTCATAGCGCTTCCTCCTCAACTCTTCACCAGCCGTCCGTCACTGCACGTATCCTGTCTATATCGCGCTCTATTCCTATCGTCACATCCTGGGTATATCCTCTCAGTTGCGGCTGTACTCGCCCGGCTCCAGCTCCGCCTCGTCGCACCACCTCCCCGCGCTCACCGGATTGCACCGCGCCGGCCTGCCCCCCGGCAACCGCACCGCATAATCGCACCCCCAGCGCGCGCTCGGCCCGTACGCCGGAAAGTCCGTCGACACGACCTGCGCGCCCGACCGCAGCGCCGCCTCCCTCCTCCCCGTCTCGCACTTGTCCCGCAGCACCGTGTCCAGCGGCACGTCCGCGCGCGTGCGCACCCAGTACCCCGCCGCCACCTGCGCCCGGATCCGCTCCACCGCCTCCTCGCCCACCGGCTCGTTGTGCTTCTGGAACGCGCAGTCCGGGTCCCCCGGCGCCGCGTTGGTGAAAATCATCCGCCCCTCCAGGTTCGGCCGCCCGGCAATGTACGCGCTGCGGACGGGGTGCACCGGCCCGTTGTCCATGAGGAAGAAGGCGCGGCCGCGCGCCGAGTCGAGGTCCGGCCAGCCGCGGCGCAGCACCGCCCCCTCGAGCGTCTCGGAAGGGTTGTCCTCGCGGCGCAGGTCGTCGGGGAGGATGAGCTGCTCGTGGGGGAAGACGGAGCGGATCTCGGCGTCGAGGAAGTCGAGCAGCGCGGTGTCGTTCCAGGCGATGACCTTGGCGCCGCCGATGAGGCCGCCGATGGACTCGGCGGTCTTGAGCTCGAGGAGGATGGGGATGGGGACGGCGCGCGGGTGGGCGTCCAGCCAGCGCTTGACGATGCGCAGGCACTGGACGACGCTGGCGCAGACGGAGCCGACATCGAGGTCCGGGACGTGCAGCACCTTGGTGCTGTTGGTGGTGAAGGTTGGGTCGTCGGGGAAGGGGAGGCCGACGAGGCGGCGGATGAGCGGCTTGGCGTAGTTGCCGCCGTCGGGGTCGGCGAGGATGTCGAGTCTTTTCCATGGTCAGCATCTGAACAAGAAAGGGTAGATAAATGTATATAGAAAGAGAGAGACGGAGAACGGAGAAACTCACTCTAGACTACGCACGCGGCTGTACTCCAGCTGCACGTCCAGCGCCGAGTGCGAGTAGCGAAAATTGATCGCGTCGTCCGCGAACCGCGCCATGAAGCCCTGCTCCTTCGGATCCGCCTCGACGTGGTAGCTATTGTGCGTGCCGACCACCTGCACCTCGTTCATCCGCACCGCGCCCTCGGTCCATGTCAGTCCGTTGCGGACGTAGTAGGCGTCTGGGGAAATCGAGCCGTCGCAGGCGAGGGCGGGAGGAAGCAGCAAGACTAGAAGCGGATCATCTTGTCAGAAGAACCCAAGCGAGATGAATGCGGCTTTCGGCGTCTTGAACTCACGTAGAGGCCATGCTCGCGCTGGAAGCTGTCGCGGGTCAGTGGCTGAGGTGCTCGGCGGTCTCGGAGGTGTACGTACCATGGTGCCGCGTCAAGATGCGGCGAATTCAACGACCTGTGCTATGGAGGAGGAGAAATAAAAATGACGATAAATTCTAGAAATGGTGTCAAGAAGAATAATAATAGTCAATTAAAATGCAAAATGTGAGGTGGTCTTGGGTGAGAGGTCTGAGGAGTGAGTGAGTGAGCTCTTATTATTTATGCCGTGTGTTGGAGGTGCGGGTGCTGCGGCCTCTTCTTCTCCGCACCACCATGATGAAACCGCTTGGGCCATCCCGTTGTCGCTGCATCTCGGCAGTGCATCGCAGCCATCAGATAACGGTGCATATTGACATCGACAGTGATGCATGCTCCCTCTTTCCATTCTTCGACACTTCCTGACAACCAACCTCTAGCTTGCCAACCAAGCTGCCCGACTACCTACCCTACAGCACTCCATCGAGCCAGCAAACGAGCGCATCCCATCTCCCCTACAATTTCATCGTCTTGCCATCTGCCGCCCGTCCTTCGCATCGCGTTGGGTAGATTGTCGTTATAGATCACCATGCAGCTTCCTGCAGCCCCAAAGAGATAGCGCATCGCATGGCGCCCGCCCTGCAGCACGCGGTCCCGTCCGACCACCTTATTTGGCGCCACAGGGCTGCAACGTCGCCCATCCATCCAACGGTTGCCACGCCGCGAGAATACGCTCGTGTATTGGACCACCGCAAGACAAGCTATCATCTGTCATCCTGTACTTCTGTATTTCTGTACTTGACTAGTCTGACTCTCGACTACATCTGCCTACCTACATTAGCTTACATCTTGCAGCTTGTAAATCTCGCAACGCTACCATATTGTACATCCACCAACCGACTCCAACGGTCACATAACTACCCACTGCATTTATAGCTCATTATATATTTGAAAAGATTGCTTAAAGGTAATTTACACGGCCGCTACTGTCAGCTGCCCGCTCGCTGTAAAATGTTAGGATTTAAATCAACATCTATCTAACTGCCTTACGCCGCCTACACTGCTCCTCCTATGCAAGGGATTCCGTCAGCTTCCTGCTCTTCTTCCGAGGCCGCGCAGTTCGCCGAATGCCCTCATCTCGCGCCGTCGATTTCTGCTCAAAGGCCTTCCGCCCCCGAGCCACTCTCTCGTCCTTGTGATCCAGGAACCGGTGCACCGTCCGGTGGTCCAGCACCCGCTCTTCCTTGTCGCCCGGACCCTCCTTGTCCGTCTTTGGCCACATGTACCCATACACCTTCGAATGTCTCTCGCATCGAGGGCACGATGCACGTGTATAGTACGCATTGGGCTGTACGAATGCTGTGTTGCAGATGCTGCACTGAACCCAAGCCATCGCAGGCTCTGAAAGTAAAAGTGGCGTCAGGACATAGTCGCCAGGCACTCTCACTCTCGCAGGCGGCGTCTTCTCCCGGAACACCCTGCGCTGGTACTTGCGTTTGGTCACCACCGGCGCATTTGCCTTTTGCACCTCATCCACCGGCTCGATGCTGACTGTTATGCTGTCCGCAGCCTCATCGTCGCTCATGACGATACAGGTAGCATCCGATTTCTGTGGTGACTCAGTGTCTTGTGACGAGTTGGGCGATGGAGGCATGACCACTGCCCTGGGCTCCTCCGAGGGCTCAAGCGACGAAGAATCCGACTCCAAAGCTTCGCTTTCTTCCGACGAGTTAGCCGATACACGGTTAGCCGCTTCCCTGGGCTTCTCCGACGGTTCGGGCGACGAAACATCCGTCTCGAGTGGCTCGTCTTGACTTGTGATGCTGTCGCTAACTGAGCTGCCACGGGAAGCCTCGCGCGCAGCGTCGACCAGCTCGACTGTCTGCTTGAGCTTCTTGGCCGGTGTTACTGGCGGTGTAGCCATCGCGTCAAAAGTGCGCTTGCCCAACCGCGGCGTCGATTCGACCGCGGATGAGGTGCAGGCGGCAGGTGAAGCCGCTGAATCTGCTCCGCCATCTTGCTGCAGTTTCGAGGCGGTCCGCGTCTTGCGAACTCTTGGTCGCATAGCAGGCGTGACCGAGGGCGTTCGAGAGGAACCACTGATGCTGTCATCGCGTCGGCGTCTACGCAGCGCATACGTGTCCGCCTTGAGTGCTGCCTCGCCCTCATCCTGGGTTGGCTTGCTCGTACCGTCATCCCAGCCGTTTCTGCCTTCATCCTCGCACGTTTTGCAAAGACATTCACAATTATCTTGGCCGAAATAATTGTCGCCATAGGTGACTGTGATTTCCTCGCCGACGGCAATGTTGCGCATGGCGACAATTTCGATACTGGCGTGGCTCGTCGTCATGAGTGTGGCGTTGGCATCGCAGTCGTGGTTTGCAAATCTGGCAGGTCCCATGAAAAGGCTGGTGGATTTGCTTCGGGAGCTGACGACGATGCTAAAGTCCTTCTTGCGGTTCGAGATCAAGTCTTCCTCTTCGGGTGTGATGGTCACCTTCATGCCGGAAAGGTACTTGATGCTCTCGTTGCGGCGGATGGGTCGTCGAGCGGTGATGCTGGCTTCGTGGTTGATGACGGTGTAGCGATTTGTGGAATTGACTTCCCAGGGACAGTCCGGAAGATATATGTTAATGTAGCGTCGGAGGTGGCGGCGAAAGTCGTCTCTTTCCTTGTCGGTTTTGAGAGCGGCCGAGAATCTGCGCAGGCCGTCGGTCTCGAGGAGCTTGACCTCTGCGGCGGCAGGGTTCTTGTTTATGACGGCCTCATCTTGGAGGATTTTGGCGATTGAGTCTTCCACGACGCCGCGGGTCGGGTGGTACGAGGGGCGGTTCTTTGGGATGGTGGTCCAGTAGAAGACCTGAATGGTTAGCAGGTCGCTGGGCGCGTAGGTGCCAGACGGGCAGACGTACATGATCGACGAGAGCATCGGTTAGAATATCGTCGTATGCGGAGAGTTGAGCCAACGTTAGGACGGGGCGTTTGGGGGCGGCCGTCTTTTTGGCGGGAGGCATGTCCGCTGTACCAGGCAGGCCCAGAGCTGTGCAGTTGAGTGATTATGAGAGCATACAGACGGCAGGTGAAGGAGAGAGCAGCGCTGTGCCGGCCGTGCCAATTGGAGGTGCAGGTTGTGACTGGCGCAAATGAGAAACCCTAGAAACAGGAGGGCGGGCGTAGGCTGTTGAGACAGGGATTGGGAATGAGTAGAATGCGGAAGAGACAGAAACGCTGAGTTTATAGAGGCCTGCGGAGAGTAAGGAGAGTTATGTGAGGTCCTGGTGTGACGGTGACGTGGGAGGGATGGATGCGGATGAAAAGAAGGCGTCGCGATGAGTTGGCAGGAGGTGAAAAGGGAAGGGAAGAAAGATGGTGACAGCACCGACTGAGCTCCTTCCTCCCTGGCTTAAGCTGAGTGAAGACCCGCTGTCGCGCACTGCCATTCCGCTGGCAGGGCGACCACACCCGGTTATATTAAGATTCAATTGAATAAAGTTCAGACTCTTTCATCTCAATACTCGAGGAAGAATTCTTCTATTTCTTTGTTTTTAATTCTTTGTTTTATCACTTTTTTATCAAAACGCTCGAGCAGTCAGCTTTCTGTACCTGCAGCAGGCTTGACCGTGGCGGATTCTGCAGATTAATCGGGTGGCTGGGATATTTCGACGCGCCTCGTTCCTTGGTCGCGACAATGTAGCACGGCGTGGACTATTGGAATCCGAGCGGCAACAAGCAGCAATCGGTGTCCCATAAACTATTGTCGCACGTTGTAGTGATGAGTACGGCTTGAATCAGACGGGATGCACCCAGCCAGCGGGTACAGCAGACAAGTGACTAAGAATTGAGCGAATAAGCAGACACAAAAGAGGAAGGAACAAAGAAGGAAGAAAAAAAGAACAAGGAGGTGAACAAGGGAGCGAGGCTGAGCTTTGCTGAATCCTGAATGCCATCACCTACTGAAGTTATACGTGGCTAATATGCTACGTAATCGTTGTCTGTGGCCCTTCGCCATGCAATGTGATTGACCAGGCACCAAGGATTGACTCAAAGATAATGGCCGTTTCGGCTGTGCAATGCAGATTCCAATAACCTCTGCCTCGCCTCCAAATTCTCCGTTTCAAAGCCCAAACATGTTCCTGCGCACCTTGTTCCTGCGCAAGGCTGCCTCGGCCGTTAGTCTCATCGCCAGTCACGTCACCAAAATCCACCAGCCAGATTTGCCACGTGATCTCCGCCAACGGAGCGGAAAAACTACGCGACCCAAAAGTTGTCGGAAGCTCCAAAGGGAGCTCGAAACGATCCAGCGATCGACGATTCTCGGCACATAGCGAGCCATGATTCAATTAAAGGTGCGTCATCTTTACGGGTGCTTTTGCTATTACGAGTTGTCCTATCTTTTGAACTCACAGGCTAATGCGCGGACAGACAATCCTCAACTGCATCGACAACTCGGGTGCCGCCCTCGTCGAGTGCGCCCTCGTCGTCGGGCAGAAGCGCCACGCCAGAATCGGTACGAGATCCTCCTGCCCACCAATCGACAGCCATGCCCTCGTCATGAATACTGACCCCCCACTGCTCAGGTGACCGCATCGTCGTCGTCGTGCAGGAGCACCGCGCCGCCTCCGCGTCGGGCATGTCCGGCACGTCCAGCGCCGCCAAGGTCAAGCGCGGCGACATGCGGCACGCCGTCGTCGTGCGCACCAAGTACCCGACGCAACGCCGCGACGGGTCCGCCGTCCGCTTCGCCGACAACGCCTGCGTGCTGCTCAACAAGGCCGGCGACCCCGTTGGGTCGCGCATCAACGGCGTCGTCGGCGCAGAGCTCAAGCGCAAGAAGTGGAGCAAGATCCTGTCCATGGCCCCGATGCAGGCGTGAAGTGGCCGGTGGGAGCACGGGTTGGAGTTGAGGGAGATTTTCAGGAGGAGAGAGACACATACAAAGAGAGGGGAGAGAGAAGCAGAGAGAAAGGGAGAGAGCGAGAGGACTGTATTATATCCCCGGACGAATGATGTACATTACATTGGCATTCTGCCTGGCGTTTACAAGACGGGAGCCTGCGTGAGGCCATCTCATTTACAATCCATGATTTACTCTACTTATCCTACAAGTGGCTTACTCTACGTATTCAAGTGCCCTGTTCTACAGTCTACAGCTTGAGAAGTTTACATGCACATCTGCACAGCATTACAATTATAAGATCAAATAAAACATTCCAAAACTCGTATTCATAACATGTTCGTAACCCTTGTTAACATTGGCGATCCATATGGACTATACCACCGTCTGCTTTTACCATGTAAACCAAACTCCTTGCTCCAAAAGTCTCAAATAAAAAACGCCATGCATCCCTTGTGTGCTGCCCCCTCCCAGCATCTCCATGGGTATATCTCATACAGAGTAGTCTAAACAATGCAACAAAAAAAACGCGCTGTTCAAGTAAAGATGTGGCCGCACGAGCAGCAGACGTAGAACAGTTTCTTCGTACAATGTCAACACGAGAACTCTGTGGCTAAGAGAGGAAGAGGGGCCAGGCTTACCATGCCGGTTTCAGCGCTACGCTGCTGCGACTGGAAGAAGACGGCCTCCTCGTGGGTGCAGCGAGGGCACGTCTTGTTGGAGCGAGGAAGCTAGAGCGAGGGTAAGAAATGCCAGTTAGCCAGCCTGTTGGAAAAGGGAATGCAGGGCTGGGCAGTGTAGTGGGTGAAACGCTTCCTCCATGGTGTAGTGGAAAATGAAAACAAAAAATTAATGTGGTAATGTATGCATGTGTTGTTGTCGCGGTTCGTCATCTCTCAGAGGAAAACTCGCTGGATGTTTCGGTGCAGTCGGTGGGAGATGCATTCTCGAAATCAAAAAAAGCATCGTCTCCAAATTCCTCAAACAGGTCCTCCTCGGTCCAGCCAACATTCGTGGCATACGCAGCAAAATAATCGGCACTCGGTTCGGCGTCCTCCCTTCGTGTTGTTGTCTTAATCGTCGCCGTCGTCATCGTGAGAGTCAAGTCCGAGCTCGGTTCGCCGCACGTGTCGCAGGTGATGAAGGAGCCGCACAAGGTACAAAACAACGAAGCGTGCTGGAGGTGAGGCTGGCTGCTACTAACCGTGGGATCGGCGCCGACGTCCTGGGTGACACCGGCCGTCTCGCCGGCCGAGTTGTTGAGGATGTTGCGGAAGACGCAGGTCGACCGGGCCTCCTCGGTGTACTGGCAGGTGCGGCAGGTGAACTGCAGCTTGTGCGCCTCCTCGTCCTCCTTGGGGTACAGCATGTTGGAGCACTCGGAGCAGAAGCGGAACGTGATCTGCTCGAGCGTCTTGCCCTCGCTGGCAGACGCGTCGCCCTGGTATGAGGTGGTGGACTGGGGGGTCGCCATTGCTCGTGGTAGTGTTGCGGGTGTCGCGCTCGATAAGCTATCTAAAATCTTTGATGAAAGGTTGAAGAGCAAGGTCGGGAGCGAGAGAGCGAGTTGGGTATTATATGGGCGGAAAATGTTGAAGTGGTGTCACGCAGGAGATGCTGGTTTTCAAGTGGGTGAGCCTGGGTGCCTGGGTGGAACCTTGCCACGATGGATGAGTCAGCGAGCAAAGTGTGGTGTGTGGGTGTCGAAGAAACATTGTAGAGAAGCAGCGCAAACAGGGTTAAATATAGAAAAAATGTAGAGATCGTGGTGTAAGATTCTTTGATTTTCTGTCACATGGATGGATATTCTGGCCCCTGATAGTTGCGTGTGATGAGGCTTGCTGCCTTGTTGTGTACGTGCCTTAGACACCAATTCTCAGCGCTCACTGACTCAGTGAGCCACAGCGGCCACAGCCAATGGGTGGATGCGCCGATGGGCTGATGTACTGATGCGGCCCTGAAAATCAGGGACCAGATAGCGGCTGCAGGTCCACTGACAGATACTGTAGGGTGGAAATAGCATATGCGTCAACCATCTATGGTACGAGGAGATGAGGCACAAATGGCAAAGAAATATATTTTTTAAACCCTGAAATCAGAAATACGATCGACGCTCTACAAGCCAGTGGTCCCTCCTTCTCAGCCGTGCCTCAATCCATGGTTTCGGTCCTGACAGCCCACCAATCAGCACAAGTCTCGCCCCGTCTTATGCCCCGCCGCTGGAAGCGTGGGGTAAAGCGCCCAAACCTTTTCTCACAGCGGCAGACGTCATTTCGAAAAGCTTCCTCCTGCTTAGCTCTCGCGCCGACAAATCCAGACGACCGCCTTCTTTCGCCCATACCTATCCATCCGCCATCGACCGACCGTTCAATCTTACCCGCTGAGCCTCCTTTCCACCCAACGACTTCCCTTTTTGTCCAACACCACGTCACACGACCATGGTTAATATCCCCCCTCCATCTCGCGATAGCTTCCCCCGCTTTCCCTCTAGCAGTGGAAAAAACCTCGATTGACACTCGCTAACATCCCCCGTACCTCCCCCGCTAGGCTGACACCGGTCTGCCCCCCAACTGGGAGGTCCGCCACTCCAACTCCAAGGGCCTGCCGTACTACTTCAACACCGCCGACAAGGTCTCCCGCTGGGAGCCGCCCGCCGGCACCGACCCGGACAAGCTCAAGCACTACATGGCCACGCACCACAGCGCCGGGCAGCGCCCGCCCACCGGCGCCGCCGGCATCCCTGAGGGCAAGATCCGCGCCGCCCACCTGCTCGTCAAGCACAGCGGGAGCCGCCGGCCGAGCAGCTGGCGAGAGGTGCGTTGTCCTGTGCCCCTCTCTCTTTAGCTTTGGGGAAGTAACGCACCCGGCTGACAAATGTAGGCCACCATCACCCGCTCCAAGGACCAAGCCATGGACATCATCAAGGGCCACGAGCAGCGCATCCGCTCCGGCGCGGCCACGCTCGGCGACCTCGCGACCGCAGAGTCCGACTGCTCGTCGGCGCGCAAGCGCGGCGACCTCGGCTACTTTGGCCGCGGCGACATGCAGAAGGAGTTCGAGGAGGCGTCGTTCGCGCTCAAGCCCGGCGAGATGAGCGGCATAGTCGAGACGGCCAGCGGGCTGCACCTGATTGAGAGGTGCGTCGAAAGCGGCACAGGACAAAGTTTGGACTGACACGATTCTAGGCTCGAATAATTACGTACTGTAGCTCCAATCCATAAATACGACCAAAAATGTGACGCCGTCACCGGTGAGGCAGTCGGCCGTGAATGGGCTGTGCAAGTGACTATTGTAATCTCAACGCCTTCTATTGAACCGTTTCCGCTATCACCTTGTACGCTGATATATACACGAACGTCGAGCGCCAGGCTTACCAGAAGCGAGCTCTATTCTTGCAGCTCTGATCGTCCCATTCCCAGCAAAATATAATCACGCTCTTAGTACGATTGCTGACCCTCTAAATAGTCCATTCAAACCAAACTTAGCAGCGCATCCCTGAATGGGTGCACCGCAATCAAGACGACCGTCACAACTCCGTACGTGGTCATGGCGAGCGTGGCGTACGGTGCGGATCGAGACTTGTTTTCATATAAGTACGCGACGCCCATGGCTGCGCCGTTGATGCCAATCGCTATGCCTGCAGCGACGGTGTTGGTGCTGTCTTGCTTGTCTTTTGCTCTTGCGACAGGTACGGCTGTATCGGCAGAGTCGTAGCTGTGCGTCGACGGTTGGCGCTCCAGCTGGTTGCTCTTCTTTTCCTCAGACTCCTCCAAGCCATTGAGGAATGAAGGGTACACAAGTTGGCCTAAGATGCCATTTGTGATCATGAGGGAAACAGTGAGGCTCGTGCTGCCGCCGACATTCTTCATGGCGGGAATCGCGAGGGCCAACGTGGTCGTGCGCGCTGCCAACGCCAGGGCCTCAGGTCGAGCCAAGCCAATGAGCGAGCCTACGTGCGCACCAAGGAAGACGTTACCGGCAGCAGCGGCGATGCTGACTAGGACGGCGACCAAACCGGAGGCGCTGAAGAGCTGGCGTCGGCACTCGTGCAGCTTGAAGCCCCATACGATGAAGCCGCAGCCAAGCATGGACAGGGCAGCGTCGCCGGCACCGAACCAGTTGGGCTCAGGGGCCGGTACTCGCTCGACGCCATATGTCCATATCGCGTATAACTGAGTGCCGCTGCTGAGCTTGGCGAGCACATCCGGGATGCCGACGGCTATGGCATAGGCTTTGATGCGGATATAGGCCATCATGAGGAGAATGGTAAACAGGACCGGATTAGCCAGAGTGGCGAGTATTAGAAGGACCCTGGGTGGCTTGGCGTAGCTCTTGGTGTGCTGCTTCATGGCTCGCTGGGATGTGACGCAGGATATCCATATGAACCACAGAGCGCAGCCGTCGAGGATTCGAGGTTCGCCGAGGAGCACGGCCATAGGCAAACCAACCGCAGCCATGACAAAGAAGGATGCGACGAGCGGCCAGAATGGAGAAAGCCAGGTCCAGATCCAAGGCTGACGCACAGTCGGCTCGACGAGAGTGCTGGTGGTACTAGCTGTTCCGCGGCGGCTGAGCGTGTTCCAACTTTTGCTATAGCTTGTGTTGCGGCTGGAATTCAAAGTCAAGTCTCCTCGGTCGGCTGACTTTGTGAATTCTCGGACCAGGGAAAATATTTTGACGAAAATGATGTCGGTGTATTTGGCGACGAAGAAGGCTGCGACCCACGCCACGAGTGAATTCAACACTGCGCAAGTCAGCAAAGTCCAGATCAATGACCGAAAAAACTTACGAAAAGCACTAATGACCAAGCCCATGGTTTTTGTATCCATGGAATAATGTCCGGTGAGCATGACCATGGGAATGGTAAAGGCGGCGCCCATGTGGCGATTGATGAAGTCGACCTGACAAGTTAGAGAGAGGACGTCCGAAGGCAACGGGTCGCATCCCACATACCGCATTTCTGATATTTCTTTCATAAAATTCAGTGAGTCTTGGAATTGATGCGCACAGAATCATCATGCAGGCAAAGACGAGGAGCATGCCGAGGATGGAGGCGAGGAATTCGAGCTTGGGCGCTGTGAGGGCGCGACTGAGACCCCATATAAGCAGCTCACTGACGAGGTAGATGACGACGATGACGACGATGCCGCAGAAGCCGCACCACATTTTCTGTCGCCGATCCGCGACGAGACGCCGTCTTTGAGACTCCATGTCTATGGAAGCTGTGTACTGCTTGTGGTGGTCATGGCTTTGTTGGTGCTGCTGCGGCCGGCGCGGCCGGAGCGAGGGCAGGCAGGAGCGCATTACAGGTGGTGATGGTATCGGGCAAGCAAGCGAGTGAAGATCGAAGTCGAATGCTTGAAAAGTCTGAACCCTTGTATGGAATCTCAACAACCACAAAAAGAAAAGACGATGAATTCCGGGACAAGGAATTTTAATAGCTGTCCACCAGCAGCAGCAGCAGCAGCTGACAGCTGCGACTGACAAACCGGTTCGTGTCGCACGCCGGACCGGTGACAAGATGGGGGATCGGACGACGTCGAGTCTCACAAAAAGGGGGAAGCAAAGAGAGCAAATGGCACGAGACAGGACAGGGGTGTTCTATTTGCCATGTCCCTTCGTTTCAGAAGCAAGGGAAACGAGAGGGATGGAGGAGGGGGAGATGAGGGTGATTAACAAGCTACAGGTTGGGGGCGGACTTTATAACCGTCAGGGCTGTCTCGGAGGGAATGGCTCGATTGATGATGGGTGTGGGGGGGGGGGGGGGGGGGGGGGGGGGATGTTGGCTATGAGGAGCATTTGACAAAGGATCGCTACTCTTGCCTGTTTGGTGAGGGGAGCGTCTGCAGCATATTTTGGCGGGGTTGGGGGGTCTATTCCAGTTGAGTCCTCGGATACAAGTTGATATCAGGTGTCGGATACGAATAGGTGGTTCATCATGTTTGAAGTGAGTGAGAAGTGAGTGAGGCTGTTGGTGGGATGGGCTTGGAGGCTGCACTGCTGCACTGCGACGTGCCGAGATTTCGCTACGGTGATTGAGGCCATGTTACTATTATCGTACAGAAGTCGAGTTTGATTCACAATCGATTGAATAAAGGAGGAAATGATTTCAGGCCACGTCAACTCATGCTCTGTCTGGCACATACATGAGAGTTGTTCATTCACTGTACTGCCGGGAAACATGCATCTGTACGGCTATGTACGGAGCAAACAAAACGGGATGCCTCGGCGGGTTGGAAGAAGAGAAGGCTGCCAAAGAGCCTAGATTGGGCGGTATAGATGGCAAATGAAGCTTTGTTGTATCAACAACATCTATAGATAGGTACCTATGCAATTTACCCCTGGCAAGCCTATGTCGTTCGTGCTGCCGTTCGTGGGCTGAGCATGGCGGCCATCACCAACCACCTATAAGGCGCCCCACCAAAACATCTACAGCATCCAGCATCCAGCATCCAGCATCCATCGTTGGTGACACCGCTTGACCACTTGACTTGCATCTCATTGCATCCCATGTCTTGCAATTCTACCACCAAACCACGTCTCTCTGCGTTGCGCAAACTGCATACTGCTTGTGCCCCTGCGTCCATGGACGAGCTGTCTTGAGCGACGCAAGAGCGGCCAGGCCTGGACGGACAATGTGACTTGCCAAAAATAAGGACGACAGCGAAAATAAGGACGTCGACCAAGACAAGGACGACAACCAAAACAAGGACGTCAACCAAAACAAGGACGACAAGACAACCACGCCATATACAGGAACAGCAATAATCACCAGTCTGTGGAACAGCAGAACAGACAGACACCTTGCCTTTCCCCGACCCGACAATGGCCACCCAGGCCGAGGCAGAGACCCTCCTCATCGCCGCCGCCGCGTCCCACGGGCTCGCCATCGCCCCTCACCAGATTCGCGCCGTCCTGGCCGAACATGGTGATCCTGCCGCCGAGGAGCTGGCTTGCTGGGCCGTCTCCAACCTATCCGCCGACAATCTCCTCACCGTCGACGAGCTGTCACTGTACGCACAAACCCATCCCTCTCTTCGTCCCCCCCCCCCCAGATATAACTCCCTCGACGCCAGCGGACGGGTGGACAGCCTCCTCGCTGAGCTCCAGGACGACGACACGACATCGCCGCTGCCCCTCCCCGCATCGCACCACCACGAAGCCCTCGTCGCCGTCGTCCAAGACCTCACCCGCTCCACCGATGCCCTCGGCAAGCAAGCTGAAACCCTGCGTCACCGCCGCGCCGCCTGCGAGCGTCTGGTAGCGAATCGCGCCCAAGCCCACGCCACCCGCCGCGACCTCGAGGCCTCCCGCCGTCTGAAGCTCGACTCTGAGCGTGTACGAATCGAATCCGAGGTACCATCACTCCCTGCCCCCCGCCTTGTTTTGCCTCTTGCTCGTACCTCTGCGAGACAAGTTTGCCTCGGCGTCAACTTGCATCAGATTCTGGATTCACATTTGAGTCAAGACTCAGCCAGCTCACGCCTGCACTATGTAGATCACCGAAATAGCACACGGCCTCGAGTTTCGCATCGCAGAGCTTACCAACAACGACCGCCCCTCGTCCCTCCACACCTCCCTCGACCCCATCCTCCGCTCGGATGACGCACTCCTCGCCAGCCTGCACAAGCTGGGCTGGGAGCTGAGCGAACCCGACCCGGAGGAGGCCAAGTCCACAGACAAGCTACGAGAGACATGTCTACGGTACGTACCACCAGCCCTCCACCCGCGACTCACAGCAACTCATCCTCCTCCTCCAGGTTGATCAAAATCACCGTCGAGACGATCCGGACGCGCCTCGACACTACCTACCTGACCACCCTCGCCGCCGCCCAGCAAGCCCCAGACTACACCACCGCCGACCCTGATGACGTCGACGCCCTCCAAGCTGAGCTCGAGTCCCTGTACGCCGAGGTGCTGCCCGTCGCGCAGATGTCAGTCGAGCAGCAGCACCTCGAGCCTGCCCTCGCCGGCGTCGCCGCCCGCACCGGCCGTGGCCTGCGCAAGACGACCTCGTCCCTCGCCTACGCCGACCGCTGCCTGGACCACCTCCTCTCCCGCGCCAACGCTCTCCACGCCCGCGCGGAGCTGCACGCCGCGCACACCCGCTCTGTCCACCGCGTCGTCGCCATCGCCCGCGACGAGATGGCCTCCGACGTCCTCCAACCCACCACTAGGGAGACGCCATCCCCCGCCAAGCCCCCCTCGCGAAGCAAGCGCCTCTCGCGGGACCTCTCCCACCACCGTCGCCGCTCATCTGGCGTGCACGACTTCCCCGTCGCCCTCGACACGCTGATGCAGTCGCTCGCCCTCCCTGTCGAGTCCTACGGCGACGGCAGCAACAGCCCGTCGGCGCAGATCGCCAGCCTGGCCAGGATCCTGCGCGAGCGCCGGCAGAAAGACGCTGCTGCTTCGCGCGTCGCCCAGGACGAGCTGGAGGCGCTCGCCGGGGAGCGCCTGGCCGACGCGCGACGGGCCGTGCAGCGCCTCCGCGAGAGCGTCCTCGCAGAGACGCCGTTTGGCAGCGCGCCGGGCAGCCTAGCCGACCCGGGCATCGAGCAGTCGGTCGATGTGCTGGCGCAGGAAGTGCGCAAGGCGCGCGATAAGCTGGACAGCGTGGATATGGGTGACGTGGGCTGGGGGAGTCTCAAGAGGGACGAGTTTATCGAGCGCTGGGCGCGGTAGAATGGGTCACGTTCACGAGTTAATGTTAGCATTGTTGTGCATAGAAGGAGTTTTTGGTTTGTAATTTCGATTCTTCAAAAGTGGTATATCCTGGTTAGACATTCAAGCACAACTGATCCCAAGATGAAGAATTTCGCAAGTAAATCACCGAAAATCCCAAATACTCAACACCCGTTTCAAGCAACACCTTCCCCCATCATTCATTCCTTCCGCTTGCGCTTTTTTACCTGTCCGTTCCCCTCCTTCATCAACGCCTCCTTTTCTTGCTTAATTTCAGCGTCGTCGGCCGCCTCTCCCGAGAGCTCCGACCCCTCCTCTGATCGAGGTCTTTTGGCGGCCGGTCCCTCCTTGGCCCCGGCTGCGCCCTCATCACCGTGTCCGCGCTTTCGCTGGTCTCTTTGTGCTCGAGTCTCGAGCCGAGTAGCTCCGATGCCGCCTCTGCCACGGCCTTTTGCACCCTCGACGACGTCGGCGGCGCAAGGCAGCCGATACCTGCCGGGGAAATCCGTCGGGCCTAGCTGCTGGCCGTCGAGCATCTTTCCCATATGGGTGTGCTCAATACCGGCACCGTGTCCACGGATGACGCCAAGGAAGCGCTTAAAGAAAGAAACGGGGCTGGAGTCAAAGGTATCCCAAAGCCGGTCAGGGCCACAGTGCCAGGCGGGAATCTTATGGCGCTCCGGCGGCGGGATAAAGCCGTCCGGGTCAACTTCGAAGCCTTTCGGGGCCTCGAAGTAGGCAAGCCCGAGAAAGCTGGACACTTCAAAGTACTCGTCACAAGACATAAAGTATAGCTGCCCTGCAAAAAGGTCCAGTGCTATGCGGATGGCGGTTGGGTGCATACCAGCCTTATCGTTGGTGAGTGCAGGCCTGACCACGGCTTGAGGGAGGACAACCTTTGCGTTGTAGATTTCGAGCTCGACAATACTTTTACTGGCAGAGATTTCTTGCCAGTATTGCTCGGCGTCTTGTTGGCTTATAACGACGACGACTTGGGGCAGCTCGTGCCGCTGCAAGTGAGTTTTCACGCGTAGGATGAAGGCGACGTGCTGTTGGTAATCGTCCATGTGATCCTCCGTGTCTATGGGCTTGGCAAAGTCTCGAGACACTACGAGGTTTCGAGGAAAGTTCAACTCCTTGACCATGCTGGCCAGCGTGGTGCGGTGCAGCGACTCAAAGGCCCATTCGAGCCCTTGGAAGCCCCCGTCCTCATTGACGAAGACTTTTCCGCTGTGGATAAACTCCCCCAGAGCCCGGTTCCGGGTGTATTCGTTAGGAATCGGCTTCGGCGGCTTGCAGACTTGCTTTTCGTCCTCGACCTCTGGGGCCACCTCACGCTCGCACGTCTCGTCCAAATCGTCAGCCACGGTGCCCGCGCAACCAAACACCCTGCACCGTTCGGTCAGCGCCTTGATAAATTGGGAGTCCAGGCTGTCAAGGGTCGAGTCATCGCTGACTTCCGTCTCGCTGCTGGTGTTGGAGTCATCGTCATCCTCCGTCTTGCCTGGGGTCGGACCCTGGATGTGACTGCTTGCATCAGCAGGCCGTGGTCGAGGAGCGTAGCTCTTTTCGACATTATTGACGTCTTTTTGGATAAAGCTCTGCTCTATTCCTTCGTAACTGTCTGCGGATGGATTCTTCATGTTCAACACATAGTTCCACGCCTTGTTCTTCTTTTCGTAGCGACGGCCTTGCTTGGCCCAGAGTGGCATCTGTCGCGCGATGCTCGTCTGCGTTTGGACGATGGACCACTGGACGATGTGCTCCACGGCAATGGGCTGCTTGTCTGAAAGCTGCAGCAAGACGCGAATGTTATTTTCCGCCTCGAAGCTCAGGTAAAACACCAAGGTCTGACCCTTGCCCAAGCTCCGCATGCGCATGCAAGCTGTCAAGTTAGCATCCAAAGAACTGAAGTGTCAATTATCCAAGGTGGTATGTAGTCTTACCTTGAGCCAACCGATCCTTTGTGAGACCCGGCCCGACAGTGACTGCAGCCTTATACTCAAGAGGGAGCCGCAGATCGGTTCCCCGCGTGTGAGCCTCATCCAGAAACACTGCACACGAGTCTAGCTTGTTGGAATACGTGGATGTCTTGAGAGGCGCGACTCCACTGCCATCCCAGACGGATAGAACCTCGGATTCGTTAAAGAATACTACGGCCTTGATGCCACCATCTTCAGTTTGCGCTAGCCATCGCTCCGCCACCTCTCTGTTGGTCAATCTCAGGATTTGTGCACCGACGTCGATAATGACACGGATCCGGCCGTCCTGGATCACATGCTCGACCACGTCCTCACCGTCCATCGCGCGCTTCTCTAGCCCCGCATGCATTGAAAAGACGATATTGTCGCTGTGCAGGACATTGTTGAGCACGAACGCGTCAGTGTGTATCTGCGACGCGAGGTTTTGCTGCTTCATGTCTAGGGGCAGCAAGGCACACTGGTCGGCAGTGCCGCTGAAGCCCGTCTTGGGATGCGGCATCTTTTCAGCCAAATCCCATCCCGAGGCGGCCATGTGCTGGGTAAACGCGATGAGCTCCGTGGGAAATACAAGACGGCTCAGAAAGTAGTTGATGGCCTTGACCGAGTATCGGAGGTTGGGGAAAACGCGTTGCTGGAACTGCTTCTCGTCCTGCAAATTGATGACGTTGAGCTCGGGGAGGCCAGAAAGCATCCTGGAATCTCTGATCCATAGCTTGTAGACGTCGTGACCATCGTCCGCTGCGCACATGTGCTCGATGAGTTCACGAACGTCCTGCTCGCGCAGACCGCCATAGTAGAAGGACAGATGTGTCAAGATGATGACAAGGTCCGTGTTGCTGAACTCGGAGCGAAGCTTCGGCACGTCCTTGGCGGCAAACGGTACCGCGAGCCGCGTGCTCGGTGTCCGCGCAAAGTCGCAGCCATAGTCAACACGCCACCGCTTCTGCAGTGCGGCGCGCAATATGTCGTGAGCGATGCATCCCCGGACCAAGGCCAGGCCGGATCTCGCCGCTTGGCCTAGCTTCTTGAGTGTTTTCTTGCACTTTGCAGTTGGATGCGTCTCTGTGGTGAACATCTTAATGGCCTTCTTCGTTGGGCCAGAGTATCGGCTGGTGCGGAATCCCGTGACGCCATCAATGATGAAGACGCGCGCTGCTTCTGTGAGCACCTCGGAGGGACTTGCGGGTGAGAGGAAGCAGAGATTCGGATATCCTCCGGGTCGCTTCGGGTCTTGTTGACAAAGAACGTTGCATTCAGCAATTACTTCTTCTCGAGGTAGAATCTCCAGGAGACCTTGGATAAGGAGCCACCTGTCTGGCGCAAAATCTACCGGTGCTGGAGTGCCAATCGTGTAGAGAAGCTCATGCTTGGGCGACAAGAGCTCATCGCATTCGTCGATAATGTCGCGGCACGTCAAACGGAGATACTTGACAAGATTCAAGTAGCTCTTGGTTCGGGTAGTGTCCTCGTTGAGACACGTGGACAAGAGCAGGGACTGGTGATGCTCGGGCTGCAGCAAGAGCACACCGCCAGTATTGACACACTGCACCAAGCTGTCCTTGACTTTCTTGATCTCCTTGTCCGCGAGCTTGGAGTCTCTGTTGTACGGCATGCGGAACACAGTCCGGTTCATGAGACCGCCGATGGCCGCCGTCATCGTGTCCATCATCTGCGCTGACTGGTGTCGGCCGACAAAGACGCGCACCAGAGACTTGCCCTGGGCTAGAGACGCGCTCAGTATCGGGATAATGATGGAAGACTTTCCCTCGCCCATGTTGAGCTGCATGACGGAATTCTCCTTGCTCGGCGGATCTCGCATCCTCGTCGCCGTCTCGAGCTGATTCGCGCGGAGGCAGATGTCCTGCTCGATCTCGAGGAGCACCGCGTCCGGAAACAGCGAGTCGTCGTAGCTATACCTATCAATGGTTTGTAGCTCGTTGAGCAGTTCAGTTTCGTCGCTGCTTGCTTTGATGAGACGGTCCATGTGCTGACGGTCACGACAGAGCGCCGCAATCTGTCGAATCAGAGTCGACCATCCCGACTCCAGCTTGGACGTCGAACCTCTTCTGAATGACAGCTGCTTCAGGAACCAGCGAAGCGAGATGTGTGGGAAAGTGTCCGAGTGGCGGATCACGCTTTCAAGGGTGGAATCCGTCTTGGTGACTCTCTAGACCATCGAGACAGCTGCATCCAGGCGGGCTTGAAGCCTTTCCTCAATCTTAGCCCTATAATCCCGCAATGTGTCGCGCAACTGAACGCAAGCATCTTTGTTCTTTTGAGGGCAACTATGCGTGGCTAAAGCTCGTATGCTTCTGTCTAGCCGTTTCATATAGTCCTTTTCGTGCTGCTTGGTGGTAATCTGAGCGAGGACCGACGGCAAAGAAGAGAGAGCAGGGCGCAACTCCTGCTTTTCCAGGCGCGTGTAGCTTTTCAGAACATCTGTAAATCTTTGTCTCCATCTATCAGTCCCATCAAAGAGCCCCGGAGAGTGCTTCATCATTCTTTCGAAGGTGATGTGTCCGGATCTGTGCACAGCCTTGTCCTTGCCGACGAGAGCGAGCAGGACCGCCGGAGGCTTCGCTTCGGAGACAGTTAGGTCGAGCACGAGTGAGCAGAGATGCTCGCAATACTCGTTCCATGATTTGTTGACATCCCAGTCACGAAACCGGCAATCAAGAGCCACTATGGCTTGATCTACATGCAGGAAGTAGGCGAAGGCCGTCATGTCGACGACTCCCTTTGCACCAACCATCAACCCAACAAGGTTCGCGATTGCATTGTCTTGGTCTTGGAGGAATACCTCTTCAGAAACCCCAGTTTCATTCACAAAAAGGCCTTGTTGTGAAGTGAATGGCCTCTTGGCATTATTCAAGATGGCGACGAGTTGATCCGCGTCACACTCATGGCCGACGGTGGTATTCGAGCTTGACCTGGTCGGCATCTTCCAATCAGACCGTGGCTGGTTGATAAGGGCACTGAGGATAGGAACCAAAACTCTGGCCACTTCATCATTGATGCCAAACGCGACCGTGCTGAGCCACAATCGCAGTCGGTACTTGTTTCGCTCGCCCAAGGAGCTGCCTGTGAGCACTCTGAGAATAGAGCAGAAATCTTGCACTAACGCGCCCGTCTCCTCCGGGTCGACCCATTTAGCAGAATATCTGAGATTTTCCAGCTCGTAATGCTCCGTCCCAGCCTTGGCTGTACCTTTGCTTGTGATACGCGATAAGACGCCACTGGTAGAGGGTAGCGCAACATTGAAGCGCCGTCGGTGCTTCGCCCCAAAAGCGGCTGAATATGCTCTGCGAAAAGCTTCACTTTTGGCATAGTCCCATGTTTCCACCTCTTCGCCCCTGTTTTCTTTCCCTTTCCCTTTCCCTTTCCCTTTATTTGGCTTGAGATCTGGTATGCGAAAGTAGTAGTCGGCGTCGCGAGAGCCGTCGTGGTTGCTATAGCCCGGAACGCGAAAACAAGAAAGCCGGGCGGTATCTGCCTTCATGAGCTTCTCTTCGGCCTCAGTAACCTTTCTTCGGTATGTTTTAGGACAGTTCGCGAACGAATCCAGTGTTTGTGCATGGTCCAGGATGTTCTGAACAGCAGTGTAGTATCCGTCGTGATGTAAGCCGGGCTGCAGTTTGTCGTTCCATTTCAGCGTGACGGGCCTGGCGCCTCGCCTGTTGCGAAAGTGTTGCTCCGGAGCAAGATGGGAAATCTTTTCCAGGAGAGCACAGTCTTTCTCGTCAAGGCTGTCAAAAGATAGAATGGCGCCAGAGGTTAGAATCTCGAGGGCCGTCTCCTGGCCGGTATTCGAGGTAAAGGGATCAGGCAAGCAATGCGAGGTGAGCGCATACAAATAGGCAAGATACGCCTTGCTCCTCCACGTCTGATTTCCTCTCAACTGACCCAGAGCCTCGTTGATGGTATAAGTCTGCACAGTTGTGTCTTGGTTGATGGCAACGGTAACCTCGGTATGACCTGCTGTCTGCCAGGCTCGCTCCTCGCCATCTGCAACCAAGAGAGTTCGGCTTTTCCGGTCCTTTTCACAGCGAAGAATCAGCTTTGGTTGCAGCCCAATCAGTGTTTTCAGCGAATAGTCGTGGTCGATGGCCATGTCCTCGAACTCGAAGGAGCGAATCGTCCTCTCTCCATCGTTGATGAAGAAATTGAGCCCAAGAATCCCCAAGCGCGCCTCCAGAACCCCAGCATCTTTGTTGAAAATAACATGAAAGTCTTTCTCTGTCACAAAATGCTCAAAAACTCGCGACAACCCGTTGTAGTAGGCAAGTGATGTGGGCATCACAACGCGATCTCGACCACGCTCCTTGAGAACCCAACCGTCGTGCTGCGACTGCAGCTCCCAGGCAATGGAGCTCGGATCCCAAGCGCTCTGGCGAGGATAAAAGTCGATTCGAAAATCTTCCTTTGTAATCTGATGCCAGTGCAAGTGGGCGCTGAGATACTCGTCTGGAAATGGAAAGCTGGACAACGAGAGGATCCGGCGCGGAAGCAGTACGGAGACGTGGCCGCCCTTGGTTGCTCGCACATGCAATTCACGTATAAACTTCGGCGGATGACCTTTCAGCTTAATCTTCTTCATGCCAACTCGAATGCGGAATCCTTCAAATTGATTTCGAAACTGATACCTGTAGATGGCATCGTCAACTGGGATCACCGTAGGACTCAGGCCGCCAAACAGGGCGACAAAGTCTTCATGGCTCGTGTAACATGCGGGTAGATGCCTGGGATTCTTTCCATCAATGCGTATCTCGCCAGTCATGAGGTTTAGGTGAATAGCTTTGGGAGCTGATCGGTCAAAACTCCGCGTGCACGTCTTGATCCACGGTCCGGAGACAGGACTGATGTAACTCTCAACCGGCGAGAGCTGCATGTTTTGTTCGCAAGAAAATATGAGGCCATTCCTGATGCCGCCAAGAATTCCCCGTTGGATCTGTCCCATCAGAATTCCCGTCGCACTGACGGCGAGCCGCAGCGACGCCGAGTACAACGTCTTTTGGAAGTAGCTTGTCACTTTTCTCTGGTTCTCGTGGATAGTGGTCATGGCCACAATGTACCGCTCCACGTTTTTGATTTGATTGTCGGATAATATGTGATGCTTCAAGAAGTAGTAGTCCACGGCAAACGTGTATGCGCAGATCAAGGCTATCTCCAAGTGCGTCTCGAGCATCTCCGGCGTGTCGTTGAGCCTGGACTGTCGATTGTCACTCAGCCAACCAAAACATCTCTTGCGTATAGCGGCCAGGACATCCAATGCAGCATTTCGGCAAGGTTCGGGAGCCTCGTTGGTCATCTTGATTGCAATGATGCAAAGCACGGCCAGCGGTTTGCGGCCAGAGCGGCCGTCTGCGTAAATACTCAACAGTCGCCTGGTCTCCTTGACAAATTCTGCCGCAAAAGTCTCATTACTTAGCTGGAAATGTCTTTGTCTCGCCGGGCCCTCTCCTTCTCTTGGACCAACCTCGAACACCATCTGGGACATGAACAGAAACGTTTCTGGAGCTGCCCAGTCGATGGACGTCCCGCGCAGCTCACGCAGCAGCTTAATCCACATCACATGGTCTCCAAAGTAGAGGGATCCAAGCTCTTCATTGTGCTTGAGCATCGCGACATTTTCCGCCTCAAGACGCAGAGATATGAGCTCATTCTGGTTCTTGGGTATGGCTGGATCGTCGTTTGTGAGAGCCCTGCGCAGCAGCTCATTCTCATGGCAAATATCGAATGAGCACAATTCTCGAATCACATCAGTTTGACCAATCATTTTGATGAAATTGCCTTGTTTCGAGTCAAACAGCTGCCAATTCATCGGATGTGGCGTGCAAACGCGAGACAGCTGCGTGTCTTGCCGGACAGGCACGGGGGCTTTGTCCTTGGTCCTCTCAGATGGCGATGCGAGAACAATTCTTCTCTTGGACTCTGATTTAAAGTAGCCGCAAAAGATTGGGTAATTCTGAATGTAGCTGATAAACGGCACTCGCTTTTCCTTTCGCGTTTGGCTGTTTTGGTCATGGTCTTGCTTCGCTTCTTCCCCGGAGTCCGAATCTGAGCCCCCCGAGTCCGAGCCTTCCGAGTCTGAATCAGGGTCTTCCGAGTCCGGGTCCCTCGAGTCTGAGTCTTTGGTTTGGCTTTCGTACCCGGCGACTTCGAGCAGGATGAAGAAGCAAAAGTCACGCCAAGCGGAGATATCGGGAGGAACTGCAAGTTCAAAAACGATCGTCTGGGCGAGATCGCTGTCTTCTGGAAGCATGCTTCGAAGAGGCTGGACACTGAGACTGCAGGCCATGGCAAAGTTCAGGCACCGCTTACAAGGGATCTTGTCGATGCCTACGCGGCATTTGAGCACGTCGCACTCGCTCTTTTCATGACATTCCAGATGCCACTTCTGCTTCATCTTCATACTATCAAGTTCCTTGGACTTCTCCTGCTTCTGCTTATCCATGTCGTCCTCAATCGCCGCCATGAGTCTCTTGTGCTGCTCGCTACTCCGCGCAAACCGAGCCCCGAAGCAGTCGGCCTTCCCGTATTGGGCAAGCATGTCTAATGCGTCGGATGATCGATCTCGAAGATAGTCTTCTATCTTGGAGAGCCGAAGCATCTCTTGCCCTGTCCGCAACATCAGAGACTCCAGGTTGACCTCCTCAACCCCGAGAGGTGCGTATTCTTTCAGCAAGTGGTGGCGGGCGACGGCACATTCGTCGCAAGCAAGCCACAGTTCTAGCAGTGTGAGATACATGATAGAAATGTGATATGGAAAGTCTTTGTAAGTGGAAGTCGCCTGCTTGAAGTAAGCAGTAGCAAACTTGCTGATGTCTGAACACGTCGACTTGTCAGTCTTGTGGCTCTCCACAAATGATTGTAGGTAGTCCTCGACCCATTGCTCGACTTTTATCAAGTTGAAGATGATGCTTTCAGGGGACTCCTTTGTTAGAAAGGCCATGTTAGGCAGCTTTCCAGGGGGCCATTCAATGGTGTCTGACTTCGGCTCGGCGACAAGCACGACCTCTGATGGAGGCTGGTCACGGATCTTGGCCAGAAACTTGTCCAACCCAGGGTGCTTGATGCGGCAATCAGTGGCGTCGAAAATGAAGGGCGCAAGACTTTTGGCCCTTTTTGCCTGATCAGCCTTCACAATCTCCGCCCAGTTCGTTTTGAGCTCATTGCTGGCCCGCTTGACGGCACACTCGACCGTAGCCATCCACTCGCCTGAGGCCTTGTCCTGTAGCTTCAGCGCCCGGTAGCCAATTTTTCGAGCCATGCAGTGAAGCGTGAGGGCATCAAAGTTGTGATCGCAGGCAGCTTCAAGAAGCAACGACAAGAAGACGAGCATGAATTGCTTGTACATGGAGTAGTCGTTGGGGCTGCTCTCGTGTCGCAACTCCTGCTGCAGAACAACCTTGAAGAGCAGCCAAGCCGGGGACCTTCGGGCAATTGACTTCTTCGCGTCGACGAAGCGCACAAAGTCTCGAGTGTGCTTCATAATGCTTGCGCCAATGGGGACGTCCTTGGAGGTGGACTTTTCCGTGAGGAGATAAGGGAAGAGGATATCGACGACGTGGTCGCACAAGGTGACGTCGCATTTATCCTCGTACCGCTTTCGTCTAAACACTCTGCCGGTCTTCAAACCTGGGACTTCCTCTTTGTCCATCTCCGAAAGAGTCTCGGCAATCGCCTGAGCAAAATCCTCGTCTGCAGCAACCTTTTCCTCAATGGTCACGCTCATCTCGGGAAACTGCCGTCGCAGTCTGCCAACAGTGGAGGTGACGGCATCGACTCTCGGGGATAGCTGAAATATTTCAACGCGGCGCTGGCAAACGCCCCAGCGAATGACGACGCCGGCATTGTGATGAGGCAGGTACAAGGGGATGGGGGCTGAAGGAAAGAGTTAGCAACCAGGTCATCTTGAGGCGGGAGACGGGGGATGAGGAATAAATACCGGCAGAATTGCCCGTCAAGAGCTCGTAAAGGCCTTGTTGGTTGATTTGGAGCGTGTTGGCTCTGGCGCCCAAAAAATTGCCTACGGTGTTGCGGCACTGGCGCAGCTTCCTATGGCACTCATCAGGGAGCAGAGCCTCACACTTTTCGAGGGCATAGATGAGCAATTTGGGCAAATCCTCGAGGAAGGGTATCTCTAGATTTTCCTCCGGGAGGTCAGGCAGCAAAAAGATATCCTTTATGAGGGCCCGAAGGGCTGGAGCGTCAACGCGGGGGCGCTCCATCTCCATCCTTGGGAGGAGGACGGAGGAAGGGAGAAGAAGAAAGGGGGAAGAAGAAAGGAGAAAATATGAGGGGGGAAGGAGGAAGGAGGAAGGAGGAAGGGTGGATGGAAGGTTGAAGGAGGGAAGGAGAGAGTGGGCAGGGGAGGGGAGGAGAGACAAGAATAAATAGCCATTTTGCAGCAGCTGATCAGTGAGTGCTTGAGAGAAATATAAATAGCCATTTTGCAGCGGTCAATCAGTGGGTGAATGGATGAATTGATGGACTGATCTGCAGCAATTCAGTTTGAGCGTTTGATGGTGTAGGTGGGAGGCTGCGTTGGCGTTTGCTACCCTACGGATGGTGATGGCGACAACCAACACCCCGACCGACACCGACAAACCGACAGTCACTTGCAAACACAAGCGTCTTTTCTATCTCTTCTGTCGCTCTGGCTTGTTTTCCATGTTTTTTCTGTATTTCTTGTTTTTCTTATATTTTTTTTTTCCTGTTTTTCATGTTCTTCTACTTTTCTGTATTTCCCCTATTTCCTGTATTTTTTTATATCCCTTCGTTTTTCCTTCCTACCTACCCTGTCTCCCCCGCTTACCCTCCCTCCCTATCCTTCCATTTCTTTGCATCTTTTTAATATCTATTTTTTTTTTTCATCTTCGTTACCTCTTTGATTTCGTCATTTTCCACTAGATATTGCAAGTATTAAATTATTCTGTAAATACGTGGGTGACCGGCCAGGGCTCTCGTCGGTGCTGCACTTGGACATGAAGGGCATCAGGATGCGCAAGCGCTCCCAAACTGTCAACCAGCAGCCATTTCAATTACATCAAACCACAAAAAAGTAGTTGAATGCCCCCTTTTCTGCTCATTCAAGGTATTCATTCACTTCAACATAACTATACGCGATTCTAGGCCAACTTGGTGACTTACTGTTGTCCAGCTGACGACTGTTGAGCTTCATCTGCCACAATCTCCAGCCGGACTCTGATTCACGTTTCTCGGAGTCGGCCGACTCACCCTCTGCTTCCTTCCAGACACCAATTGTACACACGGTTCTAGAATATCCCCGAGACACCCATGCCCATCTCAACCCTGGCCTCGCCTCACGACCAGCATGCCTACCCTGCGTCCCTGCCGCCGTCCGGCCCGGCCATGACGCCCGGCCATGACGCCCGGCCATGAGCATTTAATTTCCGCCTCAATCAATCGCGAACCACATAGTTACTAATTGTCGAACCCATCATGCGTCATCAAGAAACCTCACGAGTGCACCCTTCTTTTCTTTTCTTTTTCCTGCGTTCCCGCGCTTCTCGCATGCACCTCCTCCCCGTCGCGTTGTTTCCAGGCGTCACCCCGGCACTCTACACCGGACAAACCACCCACATTGTCACGCATTGACAGCCTTTTTGAATAGAGTACATATTTTCTTCTTCTTTGGTTCCTTTCATCTTGCTTATCCGTTACAAAATGCGATGAGGCGTCTTGCACGAGGCGCCGTCGTCTCAAGCCCCCCCGTCATCCCGTCTAATCTCGGTGGCAGCTGTCACGGAGGCAGCCGACGTCGCATCCGGCGAGCGCCTCTTCCTTTTTTTTTCTTGCTCTGCAACGTGCTCATCCTGCGCCGCCTGTATCACATTTCCTCTTCCCGGACCCTCGCCACCGCCCTGCTCCTCCTACTTACTATACCCATCCCCTTGCCATACGAGGTCTGTGGTCTTTCTTCCTCTCGGTGCCTCGCGAATATCTGGCGCTACTATCAATCAGACCCCCCCTTGTCGGTATCAGATTTCGTTTCTGGCCTGTGGCGCGCTGCCTCTGCCCGTTTCAATATCCCTATTCACCACTGACTGTATTATTGGTTTAAAAAAAATACACATCGGTGGGGCTCTGTTAATTCTCCGTCTTGTAACGTAAAGCTAGCCATTTTAAACATAAACCGGCTTCATTATAATCGTGACTGCTTTTTTTTGGTCTTTCCTGCGTCCTGCGCCGTGACCAGCGGACCCGAAACGTGGAACGCCTCATCTTGCACCATTTTTTCGGATCGGTCTGCTGCGCCCAGGTCGCACGTCTCGACCGACCCCTTTCCTGGGCGACAAACGCTAAGCTGCAGTCGGTGAACGAGGGCCGAGACGAACCAGGAAATTTGCTGCAAATCCACGGAGAATACGAAATGCAGGAGGGCTAAATCGAGCTAAATTCAGCCACCAGAGGTTGTTGTTGGCTGTGTAAGCCACCCCGGAGTTGGTTGACAAATATTGCCCATCTCCGGCTTGTGGCCGGCAGAGTCGCTTATTAGAGGCTGAGCTTGCTCCCCGCTTGGGACCAACACGACTCGTCAACTCCAGAGTCCTCTGACAAGGACAAGTAATAATGAACCGCAAAAAGACATGCCATCGACGTCGTCGATTCTACAAAGGCGCCCCCAGTCGCCCGCTCCGGAATTCCGCTCCCCCTCCCCAGGGCCACATCTGTTGCACAATGCCCGGCGGCCGGGGTCGCTGCCCCGGGCCTGTAACAGTTGTGCGACACTCGCACTTCAGATGAAGCCCGCCATCCCGCCGCCGATCGAGAGCTCCTCAACTGGGAGCAGGATATGCTGCTGCATGCCCGGCGGATCATCGCCCTTGTGATAGCCTGCGCATACGTCTCCCTCAAAGTCGCCGAGGGGGGTTGCAAGGCAAATCCTCGCATGGGTCACACCCACCCCTGTTACAATTGTCAGATGCAGCAAAGATGGGAAGGCCGAGATGAAGAAAGGGAAGAGATGCTCCTGGTAACTATTTTCTTGGCCATGTTTCCAAGGTATAAGTACATCGTCTCATCCCATCTCTAGCTTTCCCTTTTCTTCTCCTCATCACACAGCTCAACGCCTTCTTCTCTTCCTTCCATCTACTTCACTCTCCAACGACCTGGCGTCGACATTCATTTTCGCTCTTATAATCTAATCACATCGACCTGGTAGTCGCCTCGCTCTCTTCCAACAACTACAACTTTCTTTTTACAACAAAACCCCAACAAATCCCAACAACCGCAAACATGGTCCGCATCACCGTCGCCGCTCTCCTCACCTGTGAGTGCTCCTGTTCCTCCCGTCCTTGGTCCGCCAACGCGCGCCGCCTTCCATCGAGCTTACCTACTAACCTCACAACAGTCGCCCTCTCCGTCTACGCCATCGGCGACTCCGCCGGCGCCGCCAATGTCGGCAACGGCCAGGGCAAGCAGTTCATCACCGGCCAGTGCCTCTCCAACGCCGACTGCGCCTCCAACTGCTGCGCAGGCCTCTCCACCGGCGGTGCCGTCTGCTCCGGCCCCGACGTCGGCGACGTCGCCCCCAAGATCGGCTGCGGCTTCCCCAACATCGCCGGCGCGAACGGCCCCGGCGCGAACGGCGCGGCCGGTGGTGCTGCCGGTGGTGCTGCCGGCGGTGCTGCCGGCGGTGCAGCCAACAACGGCGTCAACAACGGCCAGGCCGGTCAGAACTGCGCTCCCGTCAACAACTAAGGAAAGCGCCCGCAGTCAGCATCTGGTGGCATGTCGACACTCATTATTACCTAGCGTCATTCGCGGGGCCGTCGATTTGGAAACAGAGGTCACTTCGTCTGAACAGTACATTATCCCATGGAGAATTTTAGTGTCATTGTAGATTTTAAATTGATATATTTCTTCTCCCATCCATCCGTCCCACCTCACACATTGCGTTCCTAACTATACAGCATGCCCCCACGACTTGCAAAAATTACAAATGGTATAGCGACTAGAAAATAACCACCTTTAGATCTTTTGCGAGATTCCAGTCTGCTCGTTGGCAGTGATCGAAGGAGGGCGGTTGCCGCTCTCGTTCATTTCGTTCTCGTCAAAGTACTCGCGCGTGCCAGTCGCCTCGCTGACCTGGTTGGTCGAGAGAACGTACTCCTCACGGTCAATGTGCTTGAAGTTGAACCAGAAGAAGACGGTGACGATGGCGCCGAGGATGGCAGGGCCGGCAAAGACCCAGATCAGGTGAGGATCGGCGATGGCGGCAGAGGTCGCCAGGTTGACAATGTAGGCAAAGCCAGTGTTAAACAGGTTGATCGACGAGACGAGACCACGCATGTTGACCGGAGCGCGCGAGTAAGCAATACCATAGGCAGGGACGTTGATGAAGAGCTCCGAGAAGCCACCAAGAGCGTACGGAATGGCCTCCCACCACAGAGAGATGGGCGACACGAGACCGCCGTCAACGCACTTGGGGTCCGACGAGCCGTAGTAGCCGCAAGGGTTGGTCTCGTAGGCCTTCCAGCAGAGAAGAGCATAGCCGACACCACCAAGAGTGCTGAGGAAGAAGCCGGTGGTAATACGGGCAATGGGGCCGTAGTGGATGCGGCGAGCGCGCAGGAGAGGGTACAGGCCGTACTACACAATCTTAGTCTAAGTTTGCTTTTATGGAGAGGGTAGAAAACTCACGTTGAGGATGGGGCCGAGAACGATAATGCTGAGGGTGTTGAAGTTGCCAATGACATCGTTGGGGACACCGTTACCCCTCAGCATCGTGCCCAGGTAGTTGGCAGAGTTGCCGAGGCCGTTGTCGTTCCAGAACTGAACAGGGAAGAAGCAGAACATGCCAGTGGCCTGCAGGGTACGCTTGACATCCTCGACAAAGGCGTCGTTGTAGCGGGTCTCGGAGCCACCACGCGCGGCAATGACGGAGGGCTTGGCAGGCTCCCACCATCCGGCGCGGCCGATGCGGAAGAGGCCGCCCTTGGCCATGCAGTGCCCAAGGACACGGAAGACATTGACAAGATCAGAGCCACCAGGCTTGTGCATGACAAGACGAGGCTTCAGCCACATCAGAAGGAAGGGCAGGGGAAGGTAGAGGATGAGAGGCAGGGTAAACGCCAGCCACCAACCGACGTATCTGGCCGAGTAGGAGGTGGCAGTGGACATGAAACCACCGATGTTGATGAGAAGATAGAACCACAGCATGGCGCGCTCAGCAGTATGCTCGGGATCCTCAATAACACGCTCGCCGCTCTTGAGGGTGACGACCTTGGGTACGTGGTTTCGCATCTGATCAAGAAGCAGGGGAGTGACGTTGGGCTTGAACATGGCTGCGGAAAGTTAGAAATGTGAAAAGGAAAAGTGAAGGATTAAATGTTGCAGAATTGGTACTTACCGGCACCAATGGCAAGAATGTAGACACCGATAAAGAAGGGAATCTTGGCAGTACCGTTCTCGAGGAGCTCCTTGGCACCACCAGCGATGATGAGAACGTGACCGATACCGCAGAGCATGATACCCCAGAAGATCATGGGGTAGCGACCAAATCGGGTATCAGCGAGATATCCGACAAGAAGAGGCAGACAGTAGGCAATGAGACTGAACGACTGGCCAGTGGCGTTGGCAACCTTCTCACCGAGGCCAAGGGCACCCTGAGTGGCCTGGCTACCAGCGGGGACGGCACCGAAACCATTGCCACCAACAGGGAGGGGACGGTTGATATAGTTGGTCCAAATCTGGGCGCAGCCGTAGTAAGAAGCTCTTTCACAGAACTCTACAGCGCAGAGGAGGTAGGCAGTGGTGGGGAGCGCTCCGGGCACGCGACGAAGCGTCTCCATCTCCTCATCGGTGGGCTTGTCGTCATAGTCCTTGTTGAGAATCTCGACTTCATGATGGCGGTGATGCTCAATGGCAAAGTCCTCCTTTGTTTGCTCAGGATCAGCAAGCTGGATTTGCTTGTTGTCAGCGACGTTGACTTGCTTCTCAGAGTCCGCTGTGTGCTGTTAGCTAAGTGCAGCCACGGCGCTGTCGTGTGTAACACTTACCCATGATGACTGCGCAAGTGTATCTGCGTGCAATTAAAACAGTCGAGATCGAGTCTGAGCGAAGAGTCAAGAGAATTTGGAAGGCATGAGACGGGGGACGTCTGGTTTTGTACCACCAACAAGGCGGGCACACGGAATACCCCAGTACATCAGAGGCATTTCACTGTGCTAGACATAGACACGGACTAGGCAGCTACCCCGAGGTCATTCACAGGCGCTGATTCCTATCAGGCCCAACGCGAACCCTTGCCGCCTCCCCCGCATGCCCCCAAGAATATCACACCACAGGACCTTCCACTCCTGGTCATTGTGGTCAGTAGCGCTGAGTTGCTCTGTTGTTCTAGTGTGCGCCTCGGTGGGTTCCGCCGCTCCACCCAAGCCATCCAAAAGGCCCCTGGGCTTTGCGATATCTGTCGTGCCGGCAAGCCACGAATCATGGCTCGGCTCATGGGGGCTAGTTATTGTCCCTGGGAGAATTTGCGACTGACGCGATGCAGGAGAGTGTTGGGAGACAAGTCGACATCTCGGGCCGGAACGCCTCAGAACAACCAGGCATGACGACCAGACGGGAGCGGTTTCTGACTGGCATGTCGCCATACATCTCCAGAAATAAACAATAAGGCGACCCGCCTTTGAGGGACTGATAATGGGGACAAATCTTCCCCAAATCGAAGGAAGGCCCAGCTGAGCACGTTGCGTTGCACCAAGTTGGTATCTCGCCCTAGAAATCGCCACAATCCTACAGTTATTAGTCGGAGGAGCCTGATAAACTGCAGCGCTAGCGAATAGCTACAGGCCCGACTCAAGGCTGGATTATAGACTGGATAATAAACGACCAGTTTCCGTTAGCTTGCGATACAAAAGTTCCCGGAGTGTTGGCCATTTTAGGTAAAGCAAGGCGTCTGCTCATAAACGTGATGGGGGCCGGAATGCACAGCAAAGTTTACTGCAGGCCGCACGCAGATGCTGCTCGTCGTCGGGTGCCGCATTCCCGGTCTAGAGAAATTCTATTAAAAGCATATAGTCTTCCCTGTGCTGTCTGTTGTCCAAGATGGCGTTGGGCTAGTTGCCGCGTAGCCACTGGTCGGTGATGACTCTGGTGATGGCATGTCACGAAGTTCGAGTCGCGTCGCAACTGGGGACCCTATCATTGGACCGACCGTCAGCATTATCAACACGCTTGCCAAGAGCAATCCTCCACGATAAAGAGTCTGACAGCGAGACCCTCTCGTTATAGTAGCAGTGGCCAGCATATACATTTTGCTCTGCAAATACTGGTAGCTTGCATCACGATTTCCAGTTATAAATGGCCGTGCGCTGATTGGAGGGGCGCGGGATTAGCGATGCAAAAGTTCCTGGCGCCCGAAGCCACAGGCTGGCGGAAACAATGGACGAGGCTTGGTTGGCTCCCGGGCAGAGGAGCTGAGAGCGAGTTCGTTCATAACACCCTGGTGGTGGCGTCAAGTAGTGAGACTGCTCGTCCCTAATTCATTTCAATGGGTTGGGCGAGGATGGCACATGGCAGCATGTTCTGGAACCAGAGGCTTCGAGGCCGCCCCCTGCGGATAATCAGGCCGACGGAGTGATGGCTAACCGTATACCACTTTGTAAACGAGATTCTGCATTACCATAGTGCAGACAGTTGTCGCTAATAGCTCGACGTCTTGTCCCTCGCTCCTTTGTCCACTCACTGGATGCGACGCCAAAAGCGTCGGGAGTGCCACTGATCATCCATCCCCACGATAGTCGCCTCAGCTGAGGCATCTCGAGCCGTGCAACGTTGTCGAAAGCGGCATGGAATAATGCCCGTCCGATTCAGCTTAAAACGCGTCTTGGCAAGTTGATAGAGCGCTTCTTCACCGGGAACAATCAGACGGGAATCTCGTCTTGGCAGCGCATCACAGAACCGAAGCGCCCGACTTGGCAGAGGGACTGCGGCTTGGCAGGCAAGATTTGAAAATTTGGATAACGGGTGTCGCCAGGTGCCATACATGTGTGGAATACCAACTCCCCTTTTAGGTTAGTCCAAGTGGCGGTGGTGGTGGCGGCGGGCTCGTGGCCGAAGGAGGTGGTGGCGGCCGTAGTCATGGTAAAACCTTCGAGAAAAAAAAAAAAAAAAAAAAAAGAGGTTGATGTTGCCGTTGATAAAACTTAATGCTGAGTCGTGATGTTGGTAAAATAGAAAGTTACGTAAACAAACGCGTGGCGAAATTTTCGTGTTGGCTCTTGACAACTGGCGAGCAAGGCGTCAGCTGGCAGGCGGCCGCGTTTGCACTCAACCTTTTCTTATCGCCGCTGGTACCCCTACATCCGTACGCTCCCTCAACCAAGACTCACCACCAACGACCAGTCGCAATACGTTGATCCTACGCCTTCCTTTCGCGCGCAATCCTCTCCACCTCAGCGAGTTATTGCCACTTCGCCGAGCAAATCTTTACTGAAGCCAATAACTAATAAAAGGAGCCCCTCATTCAAGGCTGGCGCTCGGCGTAGCTGAGCCGGAACCCTGGGTTGTATCCGTTACTCCGCACTATCATAATGACCGTTTGATTAAGATTAATCGGCATTCTTTTATGTATATAACTGCTAACGAATTAATATTACGCTAGAAGCTGCACGATCCTGGCGAATCATCCCCGCATTACCCGGTCTCAGGATGGGTCAGTCTCCTCACCAAGCAGCGCACGATATAACGGCTCTATTTCTCCAATGCGGCCCCCAACGCTTAACATGGTATTCCTAATACGTAATGACCAAATGTTTTCAACACTGCCGGGACTTGGCGATTACAGCCCATCAGCCACTCATAAGGCAACCATGCTTGCCCAGAAAGCCACCGACGACAATTCGATGCTAAAGACAAATTGCCATCTCCTGCGATCGTCGTCTATTGCTTCGCCTTTTGCCTCTTGGTGTCCGGGTTCAGATAAACGTGCAGCGGCAGAGTTAGCACCGACATGATCATGCACACAGCTGTCGTAAAGAGCTGCACCAGCGTCCACAGCCTGGCTGCTACATGTGGTGCCGCAAATTCGAGGCAGTAGTTCATCTGGTACAGGTCCTCCTGGCTGGCGATGAAGTACTTGAGCATGGATGCGCCGTTGGTCTTGTCGCCGTCGGCCTCCAACTCCGGGCTAGTGTTGCCGTCACTGGCCAACCGGGAGTGCTTCTGCTCAAGTTTGAGCACCGTTACGAGCTTTACGGTGACGGAATAGATGGGAAAGAACCAGATGGTGAAGCTCTGTCGCGCCGTGGCGTACAGGAGATTGTTCTTCTCATCGAACGCTAGGCCCTGGTTCAGTACAGCTCAGTGCAGGGTAGGCACTCGAACTTACCAGTCGAGTCGACGACGATGTCCAGTCTCGGCGCAAAGGTTATGTACCACCGATAGATGCATTGGACCAACCACAACGAATCGATGCTTCCGAAAAAAGGAATCGCAGCATTGCGAAATCTCGGGACCCAGCAGAGGGGGTGGATGAATTCGGCATCAGGCAAAAAGTACTTGCTCAGCGCCGCATCTTGCTCGTGGGCGCTTCCCATGCAGAGCGTCTTGATGACTCCTTCGATATCGCTCGCTGAGTGGACGTTAGTATTTACCTATATTACCGGCTTGTCGCTGCATACCTGGGCTGTCCATGGTGAGCGGAACTGTTATGTTGACCGAAAGTGAAAGATGAGGTTTGTCTCTCGCGCGACGAGACAAGGAAGCAAAATGAAAGACAGGTGACGATGTCACTGTGACAGAAGCGACATGTTATCTACAATCGTGTTGATGCGCGTTATGTGGGTTTATGGTTCATGGTGAGCTGATTTTATTGTTTGCATGTGAATGTTGACGTCAGGACTTTTTGCGGATGCGCAGCTCTCAAACAATGCCATCCACAAAAGCAACTCCGCCGAGGATAAATTTCACGCACCGAAGAAAAAAAAAAGGTCACTCATTCATCATCATCAATTTCTTCTTCCTTTTTTGCATTTTCAATTGAGCGTCATGTCATCCAAACCGGGTGTTGAGAACCCGGTGCTGCATCCGCTGCTGTTCCTCTACCAGTTGCTGCAGTGGCTTATAAGCTTGGCTCTCGCGCCGAGTCCACCAAAGGATGAACCTTCTCCGAACCGGCCACGAATTGCCATCATCGGCGCTGGGTTAACCGGAGTGACAGCCGCTGCGCACTGCGTCGGTCACGGCTTTGATGTGCAAATTTTTGAGGCTGGCGGCGAGGAGGCCGTCGGTGGTATCTGGACTGTAAGTTGCGTCTAGATCTTTGGCCATTTCTTTACCCCCAAATTACCCAGGTCCTCCCGACGAGTATGGCAATGGAGCTGACAGATACAGCGCGTAAACAGCACATCTGGCCTCCAAATCCACTCACTCATGTACCGCTTCCACCCCGCTGTCAATTGGCAGAAAGGCTACCCCGATAAGAAGCAAATCGTCGAGCAGATCCGCCAACTCTGGACGCTTTATAAGCTAGACAGGCACACCAAATTCAACTACAAGGTCGACGAGGTATATCAAGATAAGCAGGGCCGATGGATCATCAACGATCCGTCCAACGGCCGCTTCGAGGGCATGATTGCGGCGATCGGCACCTGCGGCCCGCCCAAGATGGCTAAAATCGACAACGCCGACAGCTTCCAAGGGAAAATTATTCACTCTTCCCAGCTTGATGGGTACGTATCCCGATCACTCTTGTGTTTCGGCATCAGTAAAGCTAACTGGCGCAGCATCGACGTCAAGGGCAAGAAGATGGCCGTCATCGGCGGCGGAGCTTCGGCCGTCGAAGCGCTCGAGTTCGGTATCGCCAAGGACGCAGCTCAAATCTCGATTCTCTCGCGCTCCGACAAGTGGATCATCCCGCGCAACATATTTGTTGACGCGCTGCTCAGCATGAACATCCTCGGCCACGAGACAAGCCTATCGTGGATCCCGGAAACGCTGCTCCGGCGGCTCTTCTACCGCGACATGGCAGACATTGCGCCCGCCGCCGGTGATGTCGGCCTCTTTACCGACACACCTATGGTTAACTCGGACATCATGGGCCAGCTGCGCGACGGCAAGGCTGAGTGGATTCGCGGCGACATTGAGGGTTTCACGGAAAGCGGCGTGCGCGTAAACCACCGCTCGCAGGGCGTTCCCAAGGGCGGCCCGGGGCGGGAGCGTGTCGTCGACGCCGACGTGGTCGTGCTGGCTACGGGGTTCAAGCGGCCCAGCCTGTCCTTCCTGCCTGGCGACTGTTTTGAGGAGCCGTATGGCCCGCCCAACTGGTACCTGCAGACGTTCCCGCCGCCGCATCCGAGCATGTCGGCCATCAACTGCACCTATATCGCCGCCATCGGGACTGTCGGTAACTGGCACATCGGCATCTACACGCGCATCATGCTCATGTTCGTCACCGACCCGCTCGCTCGACCCTCGCCGTTTTGGATGCGTCGCTGGATCGGTCTCACGCGATTCCTCAAGTCGTACTCGCCGACCCCGGCCTTTGACTTTTTTACCTACCTCGAGCTCATCTGGTGGTTTGTCTTTTGCGTGTCAATCAACCCGTTCCGCTGGAAGTGGGCGCTCTTTGTGCTCTTTGGCGTCGGCTTCGACCTCCCCAACAACTTTTCGGAGCTGGAGAGGCGGGTTCTCAAAACAGATGGCTACAGCAAGCATGACCAGGGCCGCAGTTTCTAAGTTCGCACAGATTGACCGTAATCGTGTGACCGTTATAGTGCGCCTCTCAGAAGCTTTACGTCGGGGCTCGTATAACACCCATCCTTTGTCACGGTTGAGCCAATACACGTTTTATCATTCGTGTCAAAAGTGTGTAACGGAATGCGCGCGTCTATGAGTTTCGACTTCCGAATAGAGGGAAAAAGGATGCCAATCAAAGAATGGCTTGTGGGTGTGTGAGAAGGAGACATTGAAAGCAGTTGGGCTTTGTGCTGTATTTATCCTACTTAAAGCGAGATCCAGCCGCTGTCTTTTGACGATGAACTGCATTATATTTTCCTCTATTATCCTAAAAATCCAGTATCCGTCATTACTTACCGACATTTAACATGGCTGCCATCTTGGCTGTCCCCGACTACCGGCTGTGGAGATGGGAGTGCTGCGAGGCGAATCCGGACTCTGTCGATGAAAAGGTGCCGTGGTTCAACCTGTATCTGGGAATGCCCAAAGGACGATTCAAGCTCACGGTAAACCGAGCCAATTTCAACAAATCGCCCGACAAACTTGCCGAGTTTGACAGCACGCTTTCGTACCTACGCAGCAGGAGCAGTTGCAGCAGCATTGACCTGGTGGCAACTGGCGATGGCGGCGTCAGCCCTAACAAGAGCGTCGCATGGATCATACCCTCCTTGGTCGACAGGATTCGCGAGCTCGAGTCTGCGAATGAACTGCCACCAAGTCAAGAGTCGCTCCATGAATTTTGGGCGCGGCCGTGGACCGTATTCTCGGTGATGGCCGAACAGGACTGCCTGGTGCTCGAAGGCGGCACGACGCTGGTCGACACTTACCCCCCTTCCATGGCGTTCTGCACCGGATACGGCATGATCAGCCACGGCCACATCACGCGGAAAACGCTGCGCATTCTAGGGGCTACGGACCTCATGATTCGGGCGAGAGACGAGGGAAGAGTGGTCGCCGACGAGCCACGCGTGGGCTTCCTCACAGAGAGAGCGGCGGACCTGCTAAAGTTCAAGCCCCGTGATGAGAGCAGGATCGACTACCCGATGGGAATCCGGTCTTTCGCTGGCCTGGCCCTCCCCGTCCTGCAGAACATCGTCGAAAAGCACGAGTTCGTCAACCAGCTCCCCGCGTGCCCGAATGTGCCCTCCCGCCTCGCCTCGACCGACCAGATGAGGGTGCTGCGCGCGCACTTCATCCTCGCCGACGGCATGACGACGCAGTGGAGCGTGCACGGCATGTGCGGCACCATCGGGCTCGCGATGGAGCATCTAGGCCGGGGCACGACCACGCTGCGCGAAGCTCTTGAGCCTGGCCTCGCCTCCGTCGAGCGCCGCAAGCTGTGGAAGAAACACCTGATGAGGACGATGAGCATGATGCACGTCCGCGGGGTTGTCTGGGCGGACGTCTCGCTGGACAGCGTGCTGGTGCGGGAGGACAGCGCGTGGATCTACCGCCTCGGGCCGGGGTACCTCGGGGAGATGCTGGGGGACGTGAATGCGCAGGGGGTGCGGAACGGGGGGAGCGGACCACGGGTGCATGCGTTACGAGAGAGGCAGAGGCAAGAGCAACGGGTGCAATTGATGGTGCAGAAAAGGGCGAAGCAGATCGACATTCGTGCGCTCAGTGCCCTGTTTTCCCATCCTCTCTGGGGATCGGTGACGGTGAGCCTTGCGGAGCTGCAGGAGGAGATGAAGAGGGAGGCTGCGGGGGAGTGATGGAAGCGGAATGACGAAAGGAAGAATGTGAGAGGAACGGAGGAATTGGGGTACGTCGGCTGTTTCCCGAGGTGAGCCAGGGTTCAGGGGCTGGAACCATGTTACTTGTCAGGGAGGGGGTGGTGATGATGTAATGTGCAAGTTGTCATAGTCTCGCTGACGGCTTGTTATTAGTGGTATGGGTCTGTACAATTTCTGAGAATAGGAGTTAATGAACTTCCATGAAAGCCATGCAACGTTTCTGAGATTATACAACGTTTCTGAATAAGTGTCATGGCTTATAACTAGTCAAGGCGCGAAGGAATCGCTACACAGCAGCGGAGCGGGCCACGGGACGGCCTGAGGGAGGACTCTCCCTTGATCAGTGATTAATTAAATCATTGTTCGACTTTATGCGATATGTTCTAAGTTTTTTTGCCAACTGCATTCACGTGTGTATCCCTAACTAGGCCTTGGTGATGGCCGTTCTGTCTTGACACGAATAGTATCCCCAAGACGCTCGTGTTTCACCCTCACTTTGTCATGGTGAATGGAGCAGCTACGATATCTGTCATAAACGGGCGTACATTGCCGAATACTGTGGTATAGTAAATGTTCAAAATTTCTCATTTGTGTTGAAACCGTAAAACAGTGTCACATTCGACCAGCAAAGGAAGAAAGCGTAGCATTCGAGCAACAAAGGGAGAGGCCAAAAGGTGACAAACGGTAGAGACCTGTGAGGCTGAGTATGGGATTTTTTTAGAAACAATTTGGCTGTATTACAGCATGAATGAGGAGGAATGAGCTACTTAACTTGAAATTTACACTGCGAAGGAGAGATTGGCTACTCGAAACTGATGGCGACGTTATTCAAGACGGCTGGGCTGATTAAATCCAGAGTAGTCTCCCTGGGTATCAAAGGTTGTTCTTGCTTTCTATACAAAGCGAGGTCTTTCCCTCTGCAGGGAGTCAACTTGTGGATCTTCCACTTCGACCACGGTCCAAGGAACTGTGACCTTGACGAGGCCAAGGAGAACGACAAACGGGAGCTCATGGAATTGTTAAATCATCCTGGGGGGGGGGGGGGTTGCTGGCAGACCCAGATTCAGAGATGGGGTATGACGGCAACTGATGCATGCGTCTTGGACTTTTGTAGATGGGGAGAGAAAGAAAGCCTTGAAGGCCTAGATATGGGCGCTGTGAGAGGGTGGTGGTGAAGGAAAGTAGACTGGTTTGGTTGGCGTCATGAACGGTGATGGATAGGGTAGGGCAATTGCTTTTGATAGATCATTGGACTCATTCTTCTTTTGTGACTACCGAATTCATTATTTTGATGTACCCGGTGTTCTCTAGTTATTTCTATTTCCGTTTTCCTTTATGATAGCCAGTCTCTTGAAACGAAGCGTATCACGAAGACCATTCTAGAAACAAAGGGAGAGGGTGAAGGATTACAAAACGTTAAAAACAGCTAGGCTGCATTACACTATAGAGGGGGATATTCAAAAGTCATATTACCGCAGTGAAAGAGCGATGGGTTGTTCGAAAGTAATAGCTGTTTCCTTGGGTATCACCTGTATTGTTACTACTTCCTATTTAAAGCGAGGTTTGCTAATCTATCTACGCTGAATCTCATCACAACCTTTATCTTCTGTTGAGCCTCATAACAGTATTCTTCTTCTTCTTCTTTTCTTTTTACACAATACTGCTGTCGATCATCACTTAAAATGTCATCTGCCAAGATTTTCATCCACGAGCTACTCAATCCTGCCGATGAACAGCTCGCAGAACTCACCCCTGCCGCGGTGGAGGCCGAAGGCCGCAACAATTCAGAGACCGAAGAGAAATTGACCTTCCCACTGGGCCATCTTATGGTGCGCCCTCTGATGGAAACGCTATGGACGGGCGATCTAAAATGCAACCCGGGCGGTCCGCCCGCCAACGAGACGGCCTTGGGGATGGAGACGCGGGAGTTGCTACGCAAAAAAGGGTGGCAGGAAATGGAATTCATCCAGACAGACCCCCTGACCAAGGCAGAGAGCAGTCACCATCTACTGGTGCGGATGCTCGGTGACCTGTCGCTCGTCGCGGCGTGCATGCTGATTGACAAACACCGGGTTTACAACAACCTGCAAGCGCAGCGACGAGGCTTGCTGGGCAAGACGCAAGAGCTCACCGGGGTCCCAGGCGTGGTAATGATCGCCTCCGCAGACCGGTCCATGTCTCGCCTGGACCAGGCCGGGATGGATCCCCGGAAGCGCTGCTCGGCGCTCGGCATCGCCATGTTCGACCGGGTCGGCCGGCGCGGCGGGGCGAGGACGCTTCGCCAGGCGCTGGACGAGTATCGGGCCGTCGACGGCGGCACCTCGGAGGCGAGGCGCAAAGAGGGCGAGGGCTGGAAGGCGGCCTGGGGCGAGGCACTCGAGATCGAGGTGGCGTTTCTGCACAGGGAGGGCATGGCCTGGGCGGACGTGAGCTCCGACAACGTCATGGTGCAGGGCGACGAGTTGTGGATCTACCACTTCGGCACCAGAGTGGCGTTTTCGGGGTCCCAGGATACTGGAATGAAGGGAGATGACCCTGAACACCTCGACGATTTGCTCTGCACTGAGCTCCGGTCAAGTGAGGGCAGGCCTTCGCCGGGTCTAGAAGGAGCCTCCGGCTGAGCAGAGAGGGGTGGGGTGTAACAGTCACGGACGGACTCGCGGATTCGGAGATGTGATGTCATGGTGTTTCGAACCCTTTCAGATGGGGGAAAGAGCTTCGATAGGCTGGATATGGGCTTGCCATGTGCGCTGTGAGAGGATGGTGGTTGTAAAGGAAGGTAGACTTGTTTGGTTGGCGCCGTGATAGTGACAGACAGGGTAGTGCGATTGCTTTTTAGAAATTTTTAGACTCTTTCTTGGTCAGTGATCAATCAAGTCGTTCCCCAGTTTTGTGCGATGTATTTCAAGTTACTTGTCAACCCTAGTTACGTGTGTATCTCTTGGCCTTGGCCATTGCCACTCTCTGACAGGAAGGGTATCACCAACAGGCTCATGTCATACCCATAGTTGGTCATGGTGAATGGGGTGACTAGCATATCTATAACAAACGAGTTTGTATTACAGGAGCAGTTCTTATAGCGAATAAAGAAAAAGCACTCTCTATAAAGTTCCTCTTTACAGAGTCCACCCGGAATTCGTCCGTAGTATCTAACCAACAAAGGAGAGGACAAGAGGTTACAAAACGCCAAGACCTACGAGACTGAGTACGGGGAATTAGGAGCCGTGGTACTGTGTAAAACTGTTAAACAAGGATGGCTATTCGTAACTAACAGTGCGCGCGTTGAAAGAGAGAAGGGTTACTCGAGACGAGTAGCTATCTCCCTAGTATAGCACGTGTTGATCCTACTTTCTATATAAATCGAGGTCTGCCCATCTGTCAAACAAAACGCTGAGCTTCATCATAAGATTTATCCTCTATTTACAAAAGCCTACCGTCAATCATTTCACCGCAACATCTACCATGGATCCCAGCCTCCAGACATTTGATTTTGCCGCTGAATTTGCTCGCATGGAGGGCTACGAGTACCTTGAACTGCCAAATGAGAATTCTTACGCGCCGGTATCGCCGGAAATTCTATGGTTAGGGGATGCGGCAGTCATCACGCGCCGTCCCGACCTGGCCCCGTTCCCGGACACGCCCTCCAACTCGACGCGGAGAATGATGGAGATGCTACTATGGCAGGAAATCCGAGTCTTCGACATGAACCCCGGGACCCCGGTGGTCCGCGATCGCCGGTTCTGGATCCGGACGTTTGACGGCCTGAGCGTGCCGCAGTCGCAGAGGCTCATGGGCAAGCACAGGCTCTACGCCTCCCAGCTCTGGGCGCAGGGCCGCCTCGCCGCTCCGGGCAGCAGCGACATGGACTCGCTGCTGGAGACCCCGGGCGGCTTCATGGTGGCCACGGGAGACCCGATGCTCGTGTCGCGAAGCAGCACGGTCAGAAAGAGATGCCGTCCGGGCGGCATCGCGATTGGCGACGTGGTCCGCGTGGACGACGACGGACACGGCGCGGAGACGCTGCTCGCCGCGCTCTGGCGTGGCCTGCGGGAGGGCGACAACGAGGCGGACTGGGCGCGCCGGAAGATGGTCTGGAGGGAGACGCTGCAGAGGGACGTGAGGGCGCTGCACGCGGCCAACGCGACGTGGGGGGCGGTCCGGCTGGACGGCGTCATGGTGCAGGACGACCGCTTGTGGATCTTCCACTTCGGCGTCGGTCCGTGGGCGGTGTCCAGCGAGCTGGGTCGGGGGTTTCTCGAATTTGATGAGGATCAGTATCTCGACATCCTGGAGCTCGCAGCCTTGCTTCAGCATCCGTTGTGGGAGTAGGGCCTCTGCCCGGCTAAGAGGGGAGGAGGCGCACAGAGCTGTGACAGGCCTAGACCTAGAAATGGAGGATGACGGCGGCTGATGCATTCGTTTCGGGGCTTTTGCGTATGAGGAGAGAAAGAAAACCGTGATGGGCTGGATATCGGCGCTGTGCGAGCGTGGTCAAGGAAAGCGACTGGGTTGGCGCCATGATAATGATAGTGATGTGCCATGATTGTGACGGAAAGGGTAGTGCGATTGCTTTTAATAGACAACATGAGACTTCCGAAGGAGTGTACATGACGTCCTCTGAATAAGGGCGTGCCCTCAGACCTGAACCGGAGTCCTGCCTTTATTATACCCATGTATGCACCCCGAATGTCATGCATCACAAGAGCTCCACTGCCGTGCCTGCCTGCCTACTTTATCCCCCGCATGCATCATCAGCTCCTCCTCTTCACATCCATCTCCTCCTCCTTCCTCTACATGCCATCCATCCCACCTTGATACTCTCATCCCATCCCGCCATCGTCCCTCCAAAACCCCCCGCCGTACATGGCCTCTCCCCGCCCCGACTACCGCATCTGCGAGTACGCCGCCAGCGAGCTCGATGAGACGCCCGCCTGGCTCTCCCTCAAGCTGCGCCTGCACGCGCGCATCCTCACCATCTCCGTCCAGGAGGCGCGCTTCTTGAACTCCCCCGCCTGCCTGCGCGAGTTCCGTGCCTACGTAGCTGCCGTCAACGCCGACCTTGCCGGCGCCGGCCGCGACAGCGTGGACGACTGCTTCGCCTGGGCCGCCGCGCCGTTTCTCCCCGCCTTTGCGGAGCTCGCACCCAAGCCGGTGCTCGCTGCCAGCGGGGCCGCTCCGGTCGTGACGCTCGCGGACGTTCTCGGCCTGCCCAAGTACGAGTGCGCGCTCGGCGCCGTGGACGACCGGCTGGATCCCGGACCCATCACCGTCGTCGCGGGCACCGAGCACTCGGAAGACTTGGTCCCGGACAACTTGCCGCCCGTGTCCGACACCTCCCTCGCGTTCCCACTTTCCGAGGTCGAGCTCATCACCGAGGACGGCTGCGACCCCTACGATGAGGACCCGCGGCGCGTGCGCGTCCGCGGCCAAGAGTGCCTCTTCGAACCCACCTCCGGCTTCGGCGACGACTTCGCCGCTCAGCTGATCGGCACCTACGAGCGCCTCGCCCACGCCGCCCTCCCGCCCTCCGCGCGCGTCTCACAGCTCTTCGGCGTCGTACAGGACCCCGGCCACCCTGTCGCCGGCATCCTGCTGCACCCCATCGCCGGGGGCGTGTCCCTGGAAGATGCGCTAGCCGCGCTAGATGCGCTGACGCCGGAGAAGGAGGCAGAGGCGCGGGTGCGCTGGGCCGGGCAGTTGAGCAGCACGCTGGCGGCGCTGCACGAGCGCGGGCTGGTCTGGGGCGACGCGTGGGCGGGCAACGTCACGGTGGACGCGCGCGGGGACGCCTGGATCGTGGACTTTGCGGGCGGCCGCACGGACGGATGGGTGAGCGAGGAGCTGGCGGGGACGGCGGAGGGGGATCTTGAGGGGCTGGGGAAGATTGTGCACTTTATCAACAAGGGGGAGGAGCCTGGGGTTGGAGAGGAGGAGTAGCTGCTCCTGGATGCAGCGGACGGTGTGCGTGCTGTAGATCACTGCTGTCGTGACACTGAACCCCAGCATAGAGGCTGGTCAACCTCTGGAAGAGACGATAGGATCGTTGTATTACAATGGTGCTATGTATGTCCTAATGTTCATGAATCGTCACATCGGCCTCCATGCCCCATACAAACCAAAACTCCCCTAAACTCATCTGCTACGCAATACACAACACCGAAAGAAAGAAATTCTAATGCTTCGAGCCAAATGCACGCGCCAACAAGCTCTATAACCACATCAAGCCTCGACAACTCAAGTCACATCGCTCCCCCAACTCATACTGCTCGCACTTACACCTCCTCCTCCGGCGCCACCGCCTCGTAGCCGCCTCTAGCGCGCATGCCCGTCAGCTGCATCAGCGTCGGGCTCTCGTACATGTCCGTGTAGTCGACCTTGTCGCCGCCCAGCAGCGCCGTGCCGTTGTCGCGCTGGCCAAAGATGGGCGCCGGGTCGAACCAAAAGTCCTTGCAGTTGAGCAGGCACCCGCGGCTGTACGGGTTCTTCTTCTTGCGCCGGTTCTTGCCCGTCGCGGCGCCGCGTCCCGTGATGGTCTCGATGAACGGGTCCACGCCCAGCAGCCGGCTCCATTGCCGCAGAGTGCCGCCCTGCTTTTGTCGGCTGGCCGCCGTGGGAGCGCCGGTTGGGGCCGTCGAGATGGCCGGATGGTTCGGGTCTAGCGGCGCCCCGGTCGAGGTGAATGCCGTTGATGCGTTCTGGCCAGTGTTGATGCCCATCATGTTCTCGTAGGTCGTCATGGCGCGGGACACTTGGATGAGCTGCGTCGCGACGAGCATCGACACCCACGTCAGCTGCAGCGTGATCCACGCTCCGAGTAGCAGTGTGTAGGCATCCGAGTTGACCAGCTTGCACAGTCCCGGGCTCAGAACGTTGCACTGGTCCGACGCATCCACCGAGATCCCAGTAAAGTAGTTCCACAGCAGCCAGTTGTAAAAGAGGATGCCGACGGTAAGGGAGAGGAGGTAGAAGAAAAAGTGACGATGTGTGTTGACGCCGACACAGTTGTACACCCAGGGACAGTGGTGGTCGTGCTTGGCCACGCAGCGCTGGCATCGACGACAGTGCTTGCTACGCAGAGGCGTGCGAATCATGCACGTCACGCAGAAGTTGGTCTCATCATATTTCCACGTCTTGAGCAGCTCGTCAATGACGGCCCGCTGCTCAGCGATGCCGTTCATCTTGGGGACGTATCCAGGGTCGTAGCGCATGCAGGCCGCGTAAAAGAAGGTCGTTAGCGAGATGCATACGCCAAAGATGAGGTTAAGTAAAAGATGCGTCGTCTCGGCTCTAAACATGGTGTATGGCAGCACAGTGAAGAACCAATTGACGGCAACCAGGAAGAGCGAGCCGGCAAAGATGCCAGCCATCCACGGCGTCTTGTGAAAGTGGCGCATATCTGACGGTGCATACTCAAGCACCTGCTGCGCACAAAATGTAAGGCCATATCCGATGACAATTGCTGCTGGAATTCCAAAGTACACAGGCAGAACCGCTAGCGACATCAGGCCTGCCCACACAAGCAGAAACGGCCAGAGAAAGAGGAACTTGGTCAAAAAGGCACGCTTGTCTTTGAGAAAGTACGCCGCGCCAGGCCAGGGGGGCGTTGAAGGATTCCCATCCTCGTCGAAGCCGCACTCTTTGAGCGCTCTATGCCAGGCCTTTTCCGTGTGCAGCTCGCTTGCGGTGACGGCGGGCGTCTTCCCCGTGTCCGTCTTGGCGAAGCGGTCCGCGCCGTACTCGACCACCTTGAGGATGCAGGCCGGGTGACCCTTGACGAGTGCCCAGTGCAGCGCCGTGAACCCCTGCTCGTCGGTCGCGTGCACGCTGGCGCCCCATCGCAGGAAAACGTCTACGCACTGCGGGAAGCCCTTGTAAGCCGCCCACATGAGCGAGGTGTGGCCGTAGCTGTCGAGAACGTCGACGGGGATGCCCTGGTGCAGCAGCAGGATAAGCAGCAGCACGTTGCCGTTGAACGTCGAGATGTGGAGGGTGTTGTAGCCTTGGGAGTCGGTTATGAGCGGGTCGGCACCGTGCTGGAGGAGGAGGTTGACGGTGTAGTAGTGGCATCGTTGGGCGGCCCATTGCAGGGGCGTGGCGATGGACTCGCCGCCTTTTCTGTTGATCTCGGCGCCGTGGTCGATCAGGAACTTGCACATCGCATACTGGTTGTTGATTGCTGCCCACTGGGGCTGTTAGCTCTGGTACATCTTGTCGGTTGGAAGGGCCAGCATACGTGCAGGGGCGTGATTCCCTCGTCGTCGGCATAGGTAGCGTCAAACTCGCCCGACTCAAAAAGCTTCTCCATCGCAGGGACGTCGCCGGTGCGAGCAAACTGCATAATGTCGTCCTCGGGCGCCGGGGCGTCGGCTGCAGCTCCTCCCCTAGCGCTCTCGTTCTGTATGCTCCCCATCTCCATGTTGCTGTCGAGCTTGGGCGCGGCAGCGGAGGCCTTACTCGACGGCTGAATAGGAGCGGTTGATGCAGCAGAAATGCTGCCCGGTCGTGCCGAGCTTGCCATACGTATTCGGCGGAGACCGTTGTCTGGCCGGGGGTTGGCGGGAGGTCAGCAGACGGGTAGAGATGAAATAACCGTTGATACCGAGGTTGAACGAGAACGCGCGGCTACCGTTGAGCTTAGAGCGCGGTCATGCTAATTATGGATGTAGACAACAATACAGATTCCACAGGGTTGAAGGAAGCAAAAGCCAGTTTCCCAGGACAAGGGTTTGTACAGAACGAGTAGAGAAAGATTGCGGCTGATAAATTGATCGAAGCAAGGGGACTGATGATGTTCACAGCGAGGCTGAGCTGTGGTGGGCTGGCTTAATCGAGACTAGCGCGGGCGCAGCAATAGGGGTTGTGGCTGGTGAGTCTACAACCCGCTTGTAACATGGTCAAACATCCAACACTTTAGACCTTCAGCTTCACTCCTGCATATACACAACGATTACGCAAAAACGGAGTGGAATAGTCACTGGCATTGCGTAACAGCCAAAGTTAATGCCCATGCGCCGACAGAACTCCTCCAGCGCAGCCCGTCGGCCACAACACGTGAACCAGCATGATAGGCTGAAACAGGAAGGCTTAAAAGCTCGACGTCTGATGCAACGACAGCAGATCTGGCCCAGCGAAAGTCTCGGACAAGCAAAACGGCAATCTCCTCAACTCACAAAATGCTCCAACAAGGCTCTGCGTGGTGTGGCTGCGTGTGTCACTCAGCTGTGACTAGGCACCAACGAAAAGTCATCCGTAGTACTTGTCTCTCTGCATGTTGCGCCTGTTGCAAACCCACCCTCAACCACAGAAATTCACCATGTCTACTCTAGCTGAACTCGAGTCGGAGTTCGAAATGCTCGCCGCATGTTGTGAGGCAGCAAAGAACGATTTCACCATAAAAGACGACCAGAGGATAGAGTTGGCACAGAGGTACAGAGTAATCCATGCTTGCCTATTCGCCGTCAGAAAGGAGGCCGTAGCTGGTGCGTCTATCCGATACCTCATGACAAGCTGACCGGGCTGCGCCGGCTAACTCGTTGACTTGCAGCGCAGCATTCTTCTGTTTCGACACTGGAGTTGAATGCTATTCCGACGCTGGGGCAGCTGGAGTCTAAGCCTGAAGAGCACGAAAAGATCATTGACGCTGCCAAGGGCGACTGGAGCATCCCAAATGCTAGAAACGAGAAAAGTTAATTGAGCGGAATAATCTTGCTCTGTGAAGTCGCCGCCGGGAGGAGAGAAGCTGCCGCCGCCAAGCAGCAAGAGCTGTATGCCTCGGAAGAACAGGTTTCGAGGAGTGGCACCGGATAAGCAATGGCACTATGCAAAGCTGCCTTTTTCCACTAGATAATCGTCAACTCTGGCATTCTCTTAAGAATCTCAGACGAGGTACAACGCATCTCACATTGGGCAAGGGACAACTCCTGCCACGATGCTGAGCGACGTAGACAACTCCTCTAGCCGAGCTATAATGCGAAGCTCCAGCGCGACCGATGCTCTGCAAGACTGAGATGAATCCGCGATGCCCGCCTGGAAGGGATGATATGCTAGCAGTCACGGTTATTCTCGCCTCCTACCGAGATAGCAACTGTTAGACAAGATGACAGCATGTGCTGTCTACTGGCAAATCCCCACCAAGGCATGCGAATTGCTTCAATTGCGTACTTCCTATACAGAGCCTTGGAAGCGGCTCTCTACTGCCTCCGTCGGCGACTTTTGGCAACAAGCCGTGGCTTGTCAATATCATTTCCATGCTTGTAAGAAACGCCTTGAAGAGAAGAAAAAGCATTAAAAAACAGTGAATAGGGAGTTATAGCGTCGATAGTTTTCGTGCCGCGGCACTATGTTACACACTAATTTACACGGCATCGCTAAGTATTTTCTTTATCATCAAGGTGGGCAGCCCGTTTGCAACCTATGTATGTGCATACCTCCCTCCCGCAGCAACACGCCCAACCACAAAAACAAGATGAGCGATACGAACTCAGAACCCCGAAGGCCACGAGCCCTCAGCAGTTTTTCCTGCTTTTACTCTCTCGCGATCATGCCTACAATCCCGGAACTTCAAAAGAAATACGATGAGTTAACCGCTCTGGCGGGTGAGCTTTCTCAGCGACTTCACTGTTGGAAACGAGAGGAAGCAGGAGGTAGCGGACGAGTACAAGGCGGTGCGCGACCAGCTCCGAGCCGCGTCCAAAGCTGCCATGGCCGCCAACAAAGAGATCTGGGAAGCGAAGAACAAAAAAGTGGCACAGTCTTCTGATGCAGCGCCATCCGCCGCACCGCCATCTGGATCATCGACCGAGGAGGCCTCAACCAAGGGTACCTCGGACGGACGACAAACGACAAGTTCCTCTCGACAACCACCAGCCGCGTCCGATGATCAGCGTGAGGAGGCATCAGACCAACAAAAAGATTCGTCACGACCAGTCCCGTCATGAACGATACAGGGCGAGTACGTGCCCACTCTAGCCAAGCTTTAGCATGCCGTTGGCTCCCAACGAGCAAGCCCAGATTGGGAGCTGGGATGCAATCCCAGCTGGACAGCTTGGCACATATAACGATACCCCAGGTACTTGGCGAGGTAAATCATGGGAATTTGGTTTTTTATCGTTTCGAGACTATAATGTAACCTGTGTAAATATTTGCCTTTCCGTTTGCCTCTGTTATCTTGTTGAGATTGTTCTGTGTCGAGGAAAAGATTGTGGCTGCTCCGCCACTGTGGCGTCAAATGGGCAGACCCAGCGAGCTTACGGCCCGAATTTCGCACCCCACATCAGGACCAACCTGGCCCTATTCACCATCTACATCAGGCCAGCGACGACAAACAACGACACGGCAATCAACTCTAGGGAATTCGACACGGGCACCCCGTTGCCTATCCTCCATCAGCTCACCTCCTCCCATACCAAACTCGCCCACCCTCTAACCGTCACGATGCCGACGCTCGAGCAAGTCGTCGCCTTTCTCATGACGCCGTCGTGGCCCGTCGTCGTCCTCGGGCTGCTCGTCGTCCTCGGCGCGCCCGTCCTACTCCACCTCATCCTCGCCCGCAGCGTCACCTACATCGTTCCGCCCGTCGTGCTACTCCTCGGCCCCTCCGGCGGCGGAAAGACGGCCCTCCAAACCGTCTACGAGCGCGGCGGCACCGCGCCCCCGCCCCCGACGCGCACCTCCCAGGCCGCGCAGTCCGTCGAGCTCAACGCCTCCACCGACGCCGCCGCCCGCACCACCCACCGCAACCACGATGAGTCCGACGGCACCTACACCAAGTTCCTGCTCGTCGACACGCCCGGCCACGGCAAGCTGCGCAACACGGCGCTCGGGAAGCTGCGCCGCGCGGACAAGCTGCGTGCGGTCGTGTTCGTGGTGGACGCCGCGGCGCTGGGCGAGCCGGAGGCGCTGGGGCCGGCGGCGCAGTACCTGTACGATGTGCTGCTGGTGCTGCAGAAGAGGAAGAGCGCGGCCGCGGCACCGGGCAAGGAGGGGAGCGCAGGAGTGCCGGTGCTGGTGGCGGCGAACAAGATGGACCTGTTCACGGCGCTACCGGCGGCGATGGTGCGCGCGGCGCTGGAGACGGAAATTACGCGCATCCGCGCGTCGCGCAGCAAGGGGCTGCTCGACTCGGGTGTCGGCGCAGACGACCTCGGCGCCGAGGAGCACGACGGCTGGCTCGGCGAGTACGGCTCGGAAAAGTTTACGTTTGACCAGATGCAGGAGTTTGACATTGACGTGGATGTGCTGCCGGGAACTGTCACGGCCGAAGAGCCGGACGTGGACAAGTGGTGGTGGTGGATTGCGCAGAGGATATGAAAAGGGGTGTGGGCTTGGAAGTACTATAATTTGTAATACACTGTATCATTACTACTCGTTGGCGCTCCTGGGTTGCGACTGTCACTGCACATTGCTCTCTGCATTATTGAATTCGTTTTATTCATCGTCTAATCATCCAGAACCGTAGATGTTGAGTCTACAAGGCTCGCCCTGTGTCTAGTCTGTCTATCCTTTGACACCAGTTTCATGACAAGTTGAATGCAACCAAACGCCAGCCGCACAATGTAGCAAAAAGACAAAATAGAAAAGGGAATTGAAGCAAAAAGCCCGCATCAAATTTGGCCTTTAAATCTTCTTGTTGACCAGATAGGTGAGCAGGTCGACCTTGGTCACGACCGCCACCGGCTTGGCCAGCGTCTTGCTGTCCGCGCTCTTCTCCGTCACGACGGCCGCGCTGTTCCACTCGAAGAACTTGCTGAGGTACGCGAGCTCCGTGTCCAAGGTGATCTCCACGAACTTGCGCTTCACGCCCTCCTTGCTGGCGCCGGCGGTCTGGCGGGGGTCGGTGACGATCTCGTCCATGCGGCCAAAGTCGAACATGACGTCCTTGACCTGGGTCTGGCCGGTGGCGCGGCCGCTGGAGATGTAGCTCAGCAGGTTGCCGAGGGTGACGAGGCCGACCAGCCGGCCGGAGGGGGCCAGCACAGGCAGCTGGTCGAAGCCCTTGTCGCGCATCGTCTCGACGGCCTCGGAGCAGTCGGCCGTCGCGGCGACCGAGGTGACGGGCTTGAGGCGCAGCGAAGCGATGGTGGCGCCCGCGTACGGGTCCGCAGAGGCGGAGCCACCGCGGGCGATGGCCGACGACGCCTCGACGCCATTGACGGGGAGCAGGTTGTTGGCGGCCAGCCAGTCGTCGTCGGCAAACTTGGACAGGTAGCTGCGGATGCTGTCCGGCAGGACCACGACGACGACGTCGCCCTTCTTGAAGCCGTAGTCCTTGACGGCGCGCAGCATCGCTGCCATCGCGGACCCGGAGCTGCCGCCGACCAGCAGGCCCTCCTCGGAGATCAGCCTCCTCGCGAGGCGGAACGACTCCTCGTCGTCCGTCTTGTACCACTTGTCCACCAGCGGGCGGTCCAGCACCTCCGGCACGAAGTCGTACCCGATGCCCTCCACCTTGTACGGCTGGTTGGCGTGCTCCTCGTTGAGCGCCTCGGGCAGCGCCAGGATGCTGCCGTGCGGGTCCGCCGCGATGACTTTCACGTCGGCGCTGCGCTTCTTGAGGCCACGCGCGAGGCCGGTGATAGTGCCGCCGGTGCCCGCGCCGGCGACGATGGCGTCGACGCGGCCGCCGGTCTGCTCCCAGATCTCCTCGGCGGTGCCGAGCTCGTGCGCAAGCGGGTTGTCGATGTTGCCGTACTGGTCGAGGATGTGCGCGTTGGGCATCTCCTTCTCGAGGCGGCGCGCGACGCCGATGTGCGACTCGGGCGCGTCCCAGGCGGCCTGGGTGGGCGTGCGTATGATGGTGGCACCGAGGGCGCGCAGGACGGACACCTTTTCGGCGGACATCTTCTCGGGCATGGTGATGATGGTCTTGTAACCCTTGATAGCGGCGACGAGGGCCAGGCCAATGCCGCTGCACATCTGTCAGTATGCTACTTGTCTGGTGTTTCTGTGTACTGCCCCTCAAGGTTGTTGTTGTACGTACGTGTTGCCAGAGGTCGGCTCGATCAGCGTGTCGCCGGGCTTGATGCGGCCGCTCTTCTCGGCCTCCTCGACCATGCGCAGCGCGATGCGGTCCTTGACACTACCGCCGGCGTTGAACAGCTCGGCCTTGACGTAGACGTCGCACTCGACGCCGAGCGACTGCGGCACCTTGTTGAGGCGTACCAGCGGCGTGTTGCCGATCAGCTCGGTGGCGGAGAGGACCGTGGCGGGCCGGCGGCCGACGTGGGGGAGGGCAGACGAGTCAGCCATCTTGACGGGTGTTGGGTGTATTTGGAATGCAATCAGTCGGAGAAGAAGAAAGGGAAAAAGAAATGATGATGTGTGTTTGTATTAGAAATTAAAAATAAATGGAAAACGTTAACTATCGAGTGGCGTGTCATGATCTGGCCACCCCGCCGGCTATTTTTTCTGCCCCACCAAAGCCGCTCTGCCGGCGATACCCGCCACTGGCTCGGGCATCCGTTTGCAACTGAGTCTGTGACTTTGTGGTACCAATCTATCTATCTATCGCATCATTTTATTCACTTTGTTCGTCTTTGTACAAATAGAAATAGTTATTAATGAGTTCCTCGCCCCCCTTGCGCGTCCGTATTCCCCTCCCCGCCCTCCTGCACCACTTCCCGCGTCTTGCCCCATTTGAAGTCGTCCGAGTTCGCCAGCGAGTAGACGAGGATGATGATGTTCATGAACGGCGAGGTGAAGAAGTGGATGAAGAAGCCGACAAAGTATTGAGCTCGCTCGATGTTGTTTCGCGGGAGCCAGAAGCCGATGCAGAATGAATACAACTAGTTGTCTCACGTTAGTCCACGACTCCGCATCCGTCAGACAAGGAATGAATGGCACTTACATAGCGCACCCAGAGCAGCGAGAACAGTGCCAGGAAGACCGGGTTCCGGATGACCTCCTTCCCGTGCTTGACGAACAGCATAATCATCTCGCCGAGCGCGGCGACGATGAACGGCGTGATGGCCCAGGTCAGCACGGCCACGACGCTCTGCAAACGCTCTATCAATATGATTCCTGGCCGGAAGATCATGACGAACTCGTTGGAGATGCTGCCCAGCGCCCAGCGCTTCCGCTGCGACAAGAATACCCCCCACGTCTGCGGGACGATGGTGAAGGCCTTGGCCCTCAGCGCCTGCGCCGTCTGCTTCTTGGGGAACAGGCTGAAGATTATGCTCGCGTGGATGCTGTCCTCGGAGTAGTTCCCCATGATGTGGCGCGTCATGACGTCGTTTGGCTTCGGGCAGTATCCGAAGCGGCGCCGCAGCACCTCGTCGCCAAACGTCGCCTCGTCGATGCGGATTAGCTGGCAGCAGCCCGGCAAACAGTTGACCTTTCCCGTGACACGCGACTGGAACATGCGGCGCAAACCTTGCGTCTGCGAGTACTCGACGGACTGGTAGAGCGACCAGAGGCCAAAGGGGCGGGCGGCGAAGTCGACACAGACGTGGCCGCAGACGCCGACGAGGCGCGGGTTGGTGCGCATCTCGCGCAGCATCTCCCAGACGCAGTGCCGGTCAAAGACGGTGTCGGCATCCATGCCGACTAGGTAGTCGACGGTGGCGAGGCCGCGGCGGACGAGCGCGGCGCCGAGATGCGCGAAGAGGTCGTTGTGGAACATGGTGACGACGCCGCCGGCGCCGGCGCTGGTGCTGGCACTGGTGGCTTCAAAGGAGGAGGTCGGCCGCCGCTGTTGCTGCTGCTGGTAGTGGTAGAGGAAGGACCGCGCGAAGCACAGGCTGTCGCGCTTGCCCTGGTTGTACTTCTTGCCGACCAAGACGTACGGCAGCCCGCGGTAGGTGCCCGTCTGCACCTTGACGGGCATGAAGAGCCCATCGCGTGCGCGGTACCCGTTTTGGAAGACGCGGCAAGGTCCTGGTTCCAGGATGTCCTCGAGGAGGTAGCGCTGGGTCGTCTTGTCCATGCCAGGCCCGCGCACGTTGCCGTCGACGACGATGAGGATGAGCCGCGGGTGCTGCTCGATGCCCTCCTGGTCGATCAGCGAGTCGAGGGATTTGGACAGCTCCTCGGGGGTCTCGTTGTAGCAGGGCAGAAGCAGCACCATCCGTTCGGGCTCCTCCGGCACCGTCTCCTTGCGCTTCCTGAGAGCGCAAAACACCTTGTTCCAGACGCAGACGCCGACGATGCAGAGGACCATGAAGGCCTGGAGGGTCGTGTTTGAGCTGAGCAGCACGATGAAGAGGTAGTATACCTGCCAGAACTTGATGGCGGCGTAGATGAGGGAGCCGTTGATGATCGCCAGGCCCGCGACGAGGCTCCATTTCTGCATGCGGAGCAGCGTCCGCGACAGGCGCTGGAGCTCTTCATCGGCGTCCCACCGGAGCTTGGCCTCTTCCTGCTGAACAGCCGAGTTGAAGGAGGCGTCCGAGTCAGCGCCGTGCGAGGTCCACGAGGCGGTGGTCTGGGGCGTTCGACTGCCCGGTGGCAGGATTCCGTATATTTGGCGGTTTATGGACTATTACGGGAAGGTGTTAGCGTTGGGCCCGCTACAGAAAGGAACGACAGGAATCGGAAATTTTCGCATTTGTTTCCTTGTTGGTGGTCGCCACTTACCGACGCGCGAGACGCCGACTCGTCTGCCAGCACAGCCTGCCGAGGCGGACTGAGCTCCTGGATGATCAGCTCTTCCAGAGACCTCTGCGCCTCTTTCGATTCTTCCATCATGTATCGGAGCAAACAAGCTATTCATGCGCAAGAGAAGATGCAAGACATCAGCTTGGGCCATGCGACGGCCCGAATAACGGCAGAGGCTGGTTTTATGGCTCCCTCTCCCGTTTGCTATGATGCCGCCTGAACAAACAGCCCTATCTATTCATAAGCGAAGAACATGCAAACACACACTGTACGGTAAACCGAGCTAAAGGGAAAATTAAGAACAAAAATCTCGTTTCTCTCCGTATCCGGGGAGGGGCGCCAAGAGAGGGAGGGCTCGAAGCGAGAGCCAACGACGCGAGGCGCTGCCTTTTTGCCCTCGTCGGGCATCGCACTCAATATCATTCCCGCAAATGCAAAGGGAAATAATGCCACAAATAGCCACATCATGTATGCCGACCAATGATACGGCGAAGCTGAAGGAGTTCAAATTCTGCATGAAGAGTTGTACAAGCATCGGCCATGATTCACGGCGTGAAGCTGGCCGCCTCGGTCAGCCCAACAGCCAGCTTCTCCCCCAGGCTTGCCGCAGGTGAGTGACTGATTCGGCGTAACACGTCATATTATTGGTTTTGATGTCTTGAAGGCATGTCCGATTATATCAGATATCATGCCAATCACCGCGCCTCCGCAGACGTCTGCACCGAATACATGGAATCACAGACAATGGCGCAGTTTCCTTAGGCTAATTATGCACCTTGGGAGGGGTGGTAGTGCAGCACCCGACAAGAGCACAACACACGAGAACAAAGACTGCTACTGTTGCTGCTGCTACTATTCCTGGCCTGCTGCAGACAACCGTCGTTGCCTGCCTGCCACGTTTCATCTTCACCCACCGAGATGGCTTCATTGGCTGGCTGCAAATGTCGTGTCCGTGGTGCAACGCGGGACGCGGCTCGCACCCGCGGTGCGACATGCATTTTTCCAGCGCGGTGGCCCTGACCCTGGCATGAAGAAGAGGAAGTGCGGAAATGAAGTTTAATGAATATCTTTATCTAAGATCCTTCCCGGTGGCGTGGACATGCATAGTCTGTGGCACCCACACACTTCATTGTATACGAGACGAGCCCGTGAGGACGGACGCACCAGGCGGAGTAACTGACCACCAACCATTCATCTCTCCAAAGTTATTTCACATCTCCGACAACAGAGTCACTCCGAGATCACCTGACTACAGCATCATACAAACCTCGTGGCTCGTATCGCTCTTGTTGCCTAGTCGCAGCGACCATAGTCGTCCTGGCATCCAGCGCCGCAATGTGCGGATGAGTCGCCGCTTTCGTCTCCAGGTCAGCCTTAATTTCACATACACATCTTCTTAGGTCGCACTCACCAGTAACCACTCTCCGAGCAGCACCGCTTGCTGCCGTAGTTGAGGCACGTCGCCGCAAACTTGGCTCCGCACAGCCCGTTGGTGGTGTCGCTGATGCCCGGCGACACGTTGTTGCACGTGCCAAAGTCGACGTCGCAGCCCGTGCCGCAGTACTTGTTGCTCGAGCCACTGTTTCGCGTCACCCCGTTCCGTTAGCCAGCCACGTCTATGTCTGTCTGTCTTGTCTTCGTGCCACTTCCTGCCTGTCTGCCTGTCTGCCTGTCTGCCTGTCTGTCTGTCCTGCGACTTACCAGAATCCCCAGAAGGAGCAGCAATTGCCAAAGCGCGAGCCCTGACAGGTGTTGCCCGAGCTACCGCCGCAGGTCTGGTCCGGGGAGACGCGGTCCGTCATCGTCGGTGCCGTCATCCGCGAGGAGCTCGTCCGCGTCGTCCCGGGCTGGCTGCTCGTAGTCGGCGTCGGCGCTCTCGGATCCTTGCCCGCGTTCCGGTACCAGTTCCCTTGGGGATCACCCAGGCACTCGCCCACAGTCACCAGCTTGTAGCCGCGCGCGCGCGCCGTCTCGATCATGAAGGTCGTCAGGTTAACCACCGTGTGGTAGTGCACATCGTGCGCCAACACGATGAAGCTGTCGCGAGCCGGGTCGCCGCGCACCAGCGCCTGCTCGAAGCGCTCCCTAGACCGGTGGATGTTCTCCGGCGCGTCGTTCAGGTAGTCCTTCGTATCAATGTTGCTATTGATCACATGATAGCCCAGCGTCTTCTGCAAATCGGTGCACCCGGACTGCGCGCTGCACTCGAGATACGGCGGCCGCATGTACGTGGGCGCCCAGCCAAAGACGTTGCGGAAGGCCATCTCGTTGAAGATCATCTCGGTGAACTGCACCGCGCGGCTCACCTTGTTGAGGTTGCGGTGCGTCCAGGTGTGGCTGGCGAGCTGGTGGCCCTCAGCGTGCATGCGGCGCAGCACGCGCGGCCAGGGCAGCGAAGGGTCGTCCATCGGCCCCTTGTCGCGGTTGTTGCCGGCGATGAAGAAGGTTGCCTTGACGTTGTAGGAGCTCAGGATGTCCAGGATCTGCGGGGTAAAGACGTCCGGGCCGTCGTCAAAGGTGAGCGCGAGCATGCCAGGGGTCTTGCAGCTCGTCATGGTGGTGCCTGAGCAGTCAGCATCTATTTCATGTTCGGGTGGATAAGCATCATACTGACCATATGGAACATTTCCAACGGCATCGCGGGGGATTTTCTCGGTTGAAGGGCCAGACGGTCCTTTGCTGCAACTCTGTTAACAAAACCATCACCACCCAGCACCAACATCACCACAGGACGCCTTACAAAGTGTCGCAGGAGTCGCAGTACTCCAGCTGGCACTGCGAGCCGCCGCAGTACGCATGGGACGTCCCGCACCATCCGCCCTCAGAGCAGCACTGTCCCGGAGCGCAGGATCCCACGCCGGCACCGCACTCCTGCCGCTTGTGCAGGGTAGACACGGCCAGGCCGGGCAGCGAGGCCTGCGCGACGGCTACCGCGCTTAGGCATAAGCAGAAGATTGCCAAAGAAGGCTTCATGATGCAGAGGAAAAATCGCTCAAAACTTTATCAAAAACAAACTGTCTCACTTGTTTGGTTGGTAGTGGTTGTCTGTCTGACTGTATGCCCGCCTGTCTGTCTGTCTTGCGAAAGATGCTTCCCACGCTGCTCTTTTACGCTTTCCGGCCTGCCCTCACGTCCACGCATCTACGACGCCTTACGTCTCAGTAAATCCTGCCCAATCCAATAATCCTGCACTTGAAGCCTGGGCACATCTTTGAATCAGAGACATTGCATCTCGATGTGGACGCCCAGAGAACGCACGGCAGGCGATATTAAAGTGTTCCGCATCGACCGACAGCGCAGGTCCCTCTCGGCTCCGGGCCAATAGTGGCGGGGATCGGGACGTGGCACGGATAACAAAAAGAGCCTGAATACGAGAGATGCTGATAGCCGAAACATGCTGGCTGCACATTATGCACGCACTTTATTGACGACTGTGACTGAGACTCTGGGGTAGCACGACGTCGCCTGCGGTGCATGGCCCCCCCCCCCCCCCCCCCATGCAGGTACTACATATACACGGCAGTGTCCAGTCTGTGAATGCTTCACAGCGGCGTATATGCGTGGAATCAGGTTAGAGGTAGATGGCCGGTCAGTCGAGCTTGATGGTCATGGAGGATATATTGCGTGCGTCGGCTGTGCAGGATTCCAGAAAACAACAGCGTCAACTGCATCCGGCAACTACGGAGTATTGTCCAGTAACAGAGTAGGGGCAAGATTTCTTTCCAAGATGCAAACTCCACCGACAACCAGCGATGGCGTAGAAAATGCTGCAGAGCTCAACCCCCTCGTCGGCGACTACTACGACCAGACGCCTCCCGGCGAGATTGTGGACTCGGACGATGACCTGCACAACCTGGAGCCCATCTGGCCCGGCCAAAACCCCGTCGTCGCCGTCATCGGCGTCGGCTACGTCGGCGAGCACCTCGTCCGCGCCTTCTCCGGCCACTGCCGCGTCATCGGCTTTGACGTGTCGCAGTCCCGCGTCGACAAGCTCAACATCGACGCCACTCACCCCCGCGACACCTGCCTCTTCACCAGCCGGGCGAGCGACCTCGCGCCCGCCACGCACTTCCTCATCGCCGTGCCCACGCTGCTCCGCCCGGACCTCCAGGCCGTCGACTCCTCCGCGCTCCGGCAAGCCCTCGCCGTCATCTCGCCTCACGCGCGCCCGAACGCCGTCGTCGTCATCGAGAGCTCCGTCGCCGTCGGCACCACCCGCACGCTCCTCGGTCCGCTCGCCGGCCGCCGCGGCCTACTCGCGGGGATGTCGCCGGAGCGCGTCGATCCGCGCGCGCGTTCGACACGGTCGTGGAGGTGTCCTCGCCAGAGGTGGCGGAGATGGCCAAGCTGTACGAGAACTGCCAGCGGATGGTGGGCATCGCGTACGCGAACGAGATGGCGGACGCGTGTCGCGGGCTGCGCGTGGACCCGTGGGAGGTGTGCAGGGCGGCGGCGACGAAGCCGTTCGGGTACATGCCGCTCGCGCCGGGCGTGGGCGTGGGCGGGCACTGCATTCCGGTGAATCCGTGGTACTTGCTGGCGGGCGGTGGGTTTCCGCTGCTGAGGAGCGCGACGGAGGCGATGAGGGCGCGGCCGGGCGTGCTGGCAGGGCGCATCCTGGAGAGGTTTGCGGAGGAGGGGGAGGAGGGGGAGGAGGAGGGAGGGAGGCGGCCGAGGGTGCTGGTCGTGGGCATCGGGTTCAAGCCGGGACAGGCGCATCTGGCCAACTCGCCGGGGCTGGAGCTGGCGAGGAGCTTGGTCGTCTCGGGTCGCGTCGAGGTGGCATGGGCGGATCCGTTGGTGTCGCAGGAGGCGGTGCCGCAGATACGACGACTCGACGAGGGCGAGTGGACGGCCGCGGCTCTGCGCGACGGATTTGATTACATCGTGGCTGCCATGCGTCAAACCGGTGTTGACTTTTCCGTCCTGGGCAATTTGCCGACCAACATGGTGGAGTGGTGGTTCGCACAGTAACCGGCTTGTTGGTTAGCGAGCGTTAGGGTTCGACCTGTTGGCCGCAACGCTGTTGGTCTTGGTCAAAAGACACAAACTGGGAGCCTAGATTATAGGGAATCAAGTCTATCGCCGCCTCGTCACCATGTGAGCATTGGCTCCTAATAGAGTTGGAATTGAGCAAAGAAACATGTCTACCTCTTTTTTTTCTAATCGCACCTTCCCACCCCCAAATTCTGCTGCGGTCCCATCACCGCCGCATCTCCCGCCACCCAAACCCTCAGCAGGTTTGACTCCATTCATGGTCTATTCTCAATAATCCTAAGTGAGTAGCTCTGTGAAAATATCATTTCACTACAAACAATCCCATACTCTGCGAGCTCAAGTTGCCTTGGATAGCTTCTTCGAGATATGGCAGGATCAACCGAAGGGTCCCAGCAAGGGACACAGAAACAGGAACAGCAACAAGTCCCTCCACAAGCCCCGACCGAGGGATGGGATGGGGGCGCAAGCTGGGCAAAGTCTATGGCCGACTCAAAGACTGCTGAAGCCGACCGTGCTGATGTCGGCCAAGGAGCGAACGCTCAGGGCAGAGGCCGCCCGACTTCAACGGCCTCAGACGCCACGGTGACGAGAAGGGTGCGGGCTGATGGCAACACTCAGCAACCAGCCCGATCCCGTCGGGCACGCCAGAACCAACAGCCTGCCCAGCAGCAGGGTCCCGCCCAGGGGGGGCAGGCATTTCAGGTTCAGCAGCCGAATAGGAACCAGCAAGCCTCCCAGCCTCACCATGGACTACAGAACCAACAACGTGCCCAGCAGCAGGGTCCCGCCCAGGGCCAGCAGGCATTTCAACTTCAACAGCCGAATAGGATGCCACAAGCCTCTCAGCCTCACCAGGTACCGCACGACCAGCTATTCGAGCTTGACTTCTACCTCCCTCAAGGCCAGTGGGCTGCACAACCTCGGCCGCCGACTAGCAATCCGCCGCCCGTTGCGGCAGCGCAGAACCAGTTTGCCCTAAACCTTACCCTCAGTCCGGGCCAGTGGGAAATGCAAGCTCAGCAGCCTGATCAGCATGCGAATGGCTTCTTCCATCACCATCCGTCTCAAACCTCGCAGAGCCAACAGCCCGATCACCCGGCTCAACACCAGCTGGCTCCACAACCTCAGCAGCAGCCCGCTCAATATGCGCGCCTCGCTCAGTACCATCAAGAAATGCAACTGCGGAGGCAGGCAATGCGACAGCGGGAGATGGCATATCAGCAAACCGCTCAGCAGCAAGCCGCTCAACAGCAAGCCGCTCAACAGCAAGCCGCTCAACAGCAAGCCGAGGAGGCAGCTCGCATTGCTGCCCTTGTTGAAGCTTATTTTCCCACTACAGATCAACATGCACCGCAGATCGAATTCTCTGCTCAGCTTCAGGCTTCTGCTGGACTCTCGCAGGCCGCGCAGGGCCAACAGCCTCCTCAGTTTCAGGGCTCTACCGGACTCTCGCAGCCGCCCTCAGGCCAGGCACCGGTGGGCCAGGACCTCGCTGCGTTTGACGATCCCTTTGAGTCGCGGCACGCCGCCCAGCCTCACGCACATCCGCAAAACGGGCCGCGCGGGCAGCAGCTCCCCGCCACCGGCCCGGCTCGCCTGCAAGCACCCGTACGGCCGGGGCTGATGCGGCCGCTCTCGTTTGAGGTGTTCAACGCAGCCCTCGAAGTCTACAGGCGTCAATCTCCGCCGCCCCCGGCGTTCGCCAACGGCGAGTTGAGAGTCAGGTCCCCGGAGGGACGGAGGTACATTACGAATCTGCAAGAGGAGAACCGTCAGCTGAGGCATGCGCTAGCCCGAATACTGCAAGATTGTGCCCGGTTGTCCTAAGGGGGTTGGACCAAGGCTCGCGTGAGCCAGAAGCGAGAATTAGGCGAGAACGCGGCGGTGTTGAGCTTGGGGCAATGGCCCATCGCTGGACTGTGCTGCTAGGCATGGTTATTGGATCCATAGTGATTCTTGCTTTTGTGTTTGGTTTTGTTTTTTGTTTTTGTTTTTGTTGTTTCTGCACTTCTTGAGTCTATTCGTATAATATTACGCAGTATACGACTCATGTTCTTTTTTTTGTTTTCTTTGTTTTGGTTTTGTTTTGGTTAGTCTCCTACGACGGATGGTACCTGGACACGCGAATGGCACAAAACAGATTGGATATGAGTTGTGCATTACGAATTACGCAGCAAAAGTCTTTTGAATATTTACATTTACTAAGCATTATGTACACTACGTCGTGAACTCTGTCAAAAGGCCTTTCCACTCATTACCGTGCAACAGCCTCGTCTGTCGCCCACCCTCCTTACTCGGCCGGGTCGATGCTCTGCGGGTTGCGGAAGACATTACCCGGGTCGAACCGCTTCTTCAGGTCGCGCAGCTTCGGCAGCTTGTCGCCCCAGTAAAAGTGCTGCGCCGTGCTGCGGTCCAGGTTCGCATTAATATAGCCCGCGTACGTCGTCTTGGCCTCGGGCGCGCCCGCCCGCACGCGCTCCTGCACGCCGTCCACGAACTTGACCATCTTGTCCGAGACGCCCGCCAGCCCGACCGAGTACGACTGGTACATGACCAGCTTGTCGCGGTGCGGGTACGCCGAGTCCTCGTCCGGCACGTCCGCGATGGCGCCGCCCTCGTTGTCGAAGATGACGAACCACAGCGGGGTGTCCGCGTTGGCGGAGCCCATGTAGTTGAAGAGCTCGTCGACGGCGGCGTCGCCGAGGAGGTCCTCGCGGCGCAGCGCGAGGGACCGGCTGACGAACTTGACGGAAAAGTTGGACAGATACAGGCCGACGGTCTCCGCGACGTGCGCCAGGCTGCCGAGCCAGTCCGTCACCGTGACGCTGACGCCCGTGGACGCCTGGGGCAGGCGGTCGGGGATGCCGGAGGCGTGGAACTCTTCCATTGTGCCGTAGAAGGTGCCGGTGACGAGGACACCGAGCGGCTCGGCGATGAAGAGCGAGGCGAAGCGGCGGTCGAGCTGCGGGTCGGCGACGAGCGCCTGCCACTGCTTGTACAAGGGCGCCATGTCGGACTGCGCGCCGAGGTGCGCGCTGTAGGTGTACTCGACGACGTCGCGGGGGGCCTCCTCGGTGCGGACGACGAACTCGGTGACGATGCCGAAGCTGGCGCCGGCGCCGCGGATGGCCCAGAAGAGGTCCGGGTTCTGGGTGCGCGAGGCACGCTGGACGGCACCGTCGGCGGTGACGACCTCGACCTCGACGACGTGGTCGAGCGCGGTGCCCCAGAGGCGGGACGAGGGGCCGATACCGCCCTGCATCAGTCAGTATAGAATCGAGGGTAGGTGAATGATTTGGAGGGGCCACGTACGATGGTGGCGTGGCCGCCGATGCCGACGCCGGGACAGGTGCCGTGGGCCATGGCGCGGTTGCCGTTGGCGTGCAGGTGCTGGTCCAGCTTGCCGAGGAGGAAGCCGGAGCCGAAGGAGGCCTGCCAGGTAGAGTTGTCCATGGAGAAGTGCTGGAGGTTGCGGAGGTCGATCATGAGACCGCCGTCGCCCCCGCCGAGGCCAAAGTTGCTGCAGACAGGCTGTTAGCAAGGTGGGCAACGAGCGAAGCGAGGAGAGAGACGTACGCGTAGGAGTGGCCGCCAGACTTGGCCTGGACCTGGTAGCCGTGCTGGACGGCGCACTTGACGGCGGCGGCCACATCGGCTGTCGAGTTGGGCCGAATGACGGCGGCCGGGGTGACGGGGACGTCGAGGTTATACGGCACGACCCAGTTCGTCTGGTAGGTGGCGCGGTTGGGGAAGGCGACGCAGTCGGTGGTCGGGCAGATGGCGCCAAGGCAGGACGCCATCGGGGTGCTCGGATTATTACCCATGATTTGGGTGGCGGGGAGAGGAGGAGGAGGAGGAGGAGGAAGTGGTGGTGGTGGTGGTGAAGGGAAGAGATGGCGAGGTTTGCCGTTCGCGTATGCGTTTGTAGTGCTGGCGACGGCGAACGAGGTCGGTAATTGTTTCCGAGTCGAGATTGGGTACAACGGGAGTTGCCAGGGTCAGATCGAGGGTGGGTGGTCGAGGTCGCGCCTATATTTATAGGCCTACGACTAAATAATTAGACATTTTATGGAAATGAATATTGAGACATGGCTCGACAGGTCGATCTTGTCTTGGTGTAAGTTTAAGCGGCGGGGTCTGGCGGGCCGTCGCGGACAAGGGGTGGGCGTGGATCAAGGTTTGAATAAAAGGTATGAAAATCATCTTGGATATTTTTGGACATCCTTGCAGTCTCTTAACCCTTTAACATATTCGATATGTTTCTCAACTTTCCTTTCAATTTGTGTTTCTATTTTCTGTCTTCTCAATGTATTTTCCGCAAAGAGCAGGGGCGTGGCTGCTCCCATCCCATTGTTCCCCGTCCAAGCCCCATCGCTAGTGTTGGTTGCAATGGCTACAGTGGCTTGGCAGATTGTGGAGGTGCCAGATGACCTCCTGATTTGCCCAAGCCCTTTGCCAGGGTCGTGCCAGGGTCGTGCCAGGGTCGTCGAATCAGCATATCAGGCCGGGATGCCAGGAAATCGCGGAGTGACCAGTCAGTCGTCCGATAGATATGTACAGACAGTACATGTCAGGGGCCAAGCACTAATAAACTAGGTACCTAATATCAGCACTATTTTGACCATTCCCAAGTCTGTCTGTGCTTTCTTCGGCCCTGTGTACCTGTAAAAGTAGGAATGCCTCAGCCTCTCCTGCTTTCACCTAATTTAGCTACGGACTTGCAGCCTAGCGAGGCATAGTTTGGCGCACCAAAGTTACATTGAAGAATTTTTTTTCTTTTTTTTTTCTTTTTCTGCCCAGGGGTCCAGTAGATTTTTTCGTCGTATTCTTTTGTGCGCTCGAGTCCCAGTTTGTGCAGTCAGTTACATGTTGGGGTCATTCGCGACTTGTTATCCCCTTATCCTTATCCTTATCCTTATCCCTGATCCCTCTATCTTATCACTCATCTTCACTTCTCATCAAATCATCACAAACATCCTCAGTTTCACCTTCTCCCACGTCGTCCAAGACATACATCTGCAGCAAGGTACCGATTACTATTGTCCATTGCCCCATCACACCACCACCACTCCCACTCGCCCTCCCACCACCGTCCACTCACCATCCAATCATCCCCTCCATCCAACGCCACCGCTGCAACCCAACACACCTCATCTCCTGACCATCTCCAGACTAACAATGGGCTCCCTCCATCGGCAAAGACTTCGATGCACACTCGTATTCGGATAATGTAGCTGCCAACCTCGTGATGTGCCTCAACACTAACATTGATAAACGAGGCTGGGCTTTGACCCCGCAAACTTGGGTTGTGCAAACTTGACGACGCAAACTTGTAACTGTAAATGACTTGTTCAAGAGCCAGCAGACCGTGCCGCACCCTGTCACAGCTCAATGTTTGAATACTGGTTCGCAGCAGCTGCTCGCGTCACGCTCCGCAAAGGTATCCTCTTAGCTCAATCACTCCATTCTCCAGAACCCTTTTCTTCCCCAGACCGTAGACCCCGTACGCCACATCGGCAGCCGATAACCTTTGTGTGAAATCTCCACCGCGTCTTGGAGTCACTTGAGTCGTTTCGTGACACCATCACCTGCGTTGCGCAACATGTTCGGACATCACCTGCAGGGTAGCAGTCACGATAGCCAACCAAGGAAAGAGAAGGGCATGCAAAAAGAGGAAAATGAAGAAAAACAAGCCAAAGCAAACGAAACACAAGCCCGTCAGCGCCATGACCAGCTCCTCGTGCTTTTTTGAAGCTAGACACGCCATCGACCAACAGGCCGTCGACCGAGTGGGCACCCGTGCGGGCCGGAGATCTCTCGGTCCGGAAACGCCAAGAATATTTCCTCCGGGGCCCGAATTCTCAGCCTTATAAAGAACGCGTCTCCAACGCTGAGGAATGCACTGCGTCACTGACGGGACGGTTTATTCACAGTCCGACAATTTACTATAAATTGCTTATTTCTACAGTCTTCATCAGCCTTATCTCTGCAATACAATGTCACACAACCTCGCAACAAAGACACGACGCATGTGTCGCGCCTTCACATCCATTCGACCACCCTCCAGCCGCCCATCATCCACCATGCACAAACCATCATCGCCGCGCATCGCTATCGTTGGCGGCGGCCCTGCTGGACTCACCCTCGGCGCGCTGCTGCACCAGCGTCGCATCCCCTTCACCGTGTTCGAGCTGCGCCCGGAGCCCTCGGCCGCGGCGTGGGCGGCGCCCTCGGGCATGCTGGACCTGCACGAGGGCGACGGCCTGCGCGCCATCCGTGCCTGCGGACTTTACGACGAGTTCCTCCCTCTGACCGGCGAGTGCTCCGAGGAGTACGTGCTCGCCGACAAGTTCGGCGAGCGCGTCGTCCTCAAGTCCGACGACGACGATGCGAAGCGCCCAGAGCAGGCGCGCCCGGAAATCTCCCGCAACAACCTGGCCAAGCTGCTGCTGACGCGCATCCCGCCCGAGAGCGTCCGCTGGGACAGCAGGCTGCACGCCGCCGAGCACAACGACGGCGTGACGACGCTCGACTTTGGCGGCGGCCGGCCGCGCGAGGAGTTTGACCTGGTGGTCGGCGCGGACGGCGCGTGGAGCCGCGTGCGCACGCTGCTCACCCGGGTGCGTCCGCGCTACAGCAACACGCAGGTCGTCACCGCCACCATCCGGGACCTGTCCACGCGCCATCCGCACCTGGCGCGGCTCGTCGGCACCGGCTCCTTCAGCGCGCTCGGCGACCGACACGCCGTCGTCTCGCAGCGCGGACCCCGAGACTCCGCGCGCGTCCACCTCTGGCTGACCACCACGGACGAGAAGCTCGGCGTCACCACGGGCCTGGCCAGCAAGCCCCCGACCGCCGCCGCTCCGCTGCTGCTGGGGAGCGACCGGTTCCTGGGCGGTTTTGGGGAGGCGGTGAAGGAGCTGGCGCGGACGGCGCTGCGGGCGGAGGAGGAGGAGGGCGGCGCGGAGGGGCTGGACGTGCGCGGGCTGTATGCGCTGCCGCACGGGACGAGCTGGAAGCATAGGAGGGGGCTGACGGTGGTGGGGGACGCGGCGCATGTGATGCTGCCGAACGGCGAGGGGGTGAATCAGGCGATGCTGGACGCGACGCTGCTGGCGGAGGCGGTGGCGGCGGCGTGGGAGGAGGCGGCCGGGGATGTGTGCAGGTTCGGGGAGGTGTTGTCGCCGCGGGTGCGGGAGTTTGAGGCGGACATGGTGCAGAGGGCGGTCAAGGTCGGGGAGATGACGGACAGGCTGGTGGGCGTGATGCTGGGAGAGGATGCGCTGAATGGCATGCTCAAGCTCTTTGCAGAGTTTCAGGAGGAGCAGGAGCAGGAAGAGAAGCAGAAGCAAATGAGGAGATGATGTTGGAGTACAATGATACTGTATAAATAGATATGAAACCCAGAGGATGCTTAAGCCCGGAGAATATTTAACTGCTCGCGAATACGTGTAATCACTCGCTCGGGCCGGCATCAGCAACCCAGCACAACAGCACAGTCCAGGACGGCCGACCGACCCGCCTTGACATTCTCAATCGCCTCCCGGAGCACCCCCGGCAGCGCCTCGGCCTCGCTCACGCGCGCCGCGAAGAGGTCTCCGCACGCCGCGGCCTTGGCGATGCCCGCGTAGTCGGGCGTCGGGTTGAACGCGATGTTGATCTCGTCGTTTGTCGCCGTCTGCGCGATGCCGTCCGGGTGCACCAGGTTGTATGACTGCCGCGGCGCGTTCCATCCTGCATCAAGTCAGCATCTCCCTCGCGCGGGTATTGTTCAAGTGCGTCTTACCGTTGTTGTTGAGCACAATCGTCAGGATCGGGATGTTGTACCGCTTCGAGATCCAGTACACGCTGCTCGGCACGGAGAACATGTAGGTGCCGTCGCCGACGATCTGCACGACGAACTTGCGGTCGCCGTCGGCGTCGGTGGCGAGTTTGATGCCCAGCGCCGCGCCGCCGGACCACCCCAGGCCGCCGCCGCCGCAGTTGAGTAGCGAGCCGGGCAGCGACGCTCGGATGTTGTCGTGCACCCACGGCGTGTTGGTCACCGCCTCGACCGCCCAGATGGTGTCCGGCGGGCACAGCTCCCGCAACCTGCTACACAAATGACCCGCCCCGAACCCGCCGTCCGGCTTCGGCTTCGCAGCCTCCTCGATCCTCGCCAGCCTTTCCTCGTACTCCTTCCTGACCCGCTCCTGCTGCTCCTCCGCATCTGTCCTCGCCTTGAGCGTCTCCGCCGCCGGCCCCTCGCCCAAGCTGGCCAGGATCTGCTCCAGCGCCTGCACCGCATCGGCGCGGTACCTCGCCCGCGCCTTGATGTACGCCACGGGCATCAGCTGCTTCAGCGGGTCGACGTCGACGTGGAAGACGACCGCGTCGTCGCGCGGCCGGCACCGCGTCGGGATCCACGGCACGTCGCAGTCGACCACCAGGATCACGTCCGCCGCCTCGATGCACGGCTCCACGCCGTACCGCGAGCCCGCCCACGCCGCGTGCGTCGCCGGGAAGCACATGTCGCACGCGCCCGTGTCCAGCACCTGCAACCCCGGCACCGCATCCGCCAACCTCACCAGCGCCCCCGGAAACGCGTGGTCCCGCCCACCACGCCACCTCCCCCGCCGCCCCCCTCGGCAGCCCGCCCAGCGCAATCGGCGACCACTCCTCCTGCTTGATCTCGTACGGCTCGACCTCGGCCTCCATGATCTCGCGCGCGCCGCACAGGTACGCCGGCCCCTGGGGGTCCGAGCGCGCGAACTGCAGCGCGCGGTTGACCAGCTGCTTGACGTTGCGCGGGGTTTTGAGCTCGCCGGCGTAGCGGCAGTACTGGGCGAGGATGGCGCGCTGGTCGGGGACGTCCTGCATCCAGTGGATGTGCTCGGTGCGGGAGCCGCGGTGCTCGCCGTCAAGAGTAAAAGGCGAGAGGCCGGCGAAGACGAGCACGGGGCAGCGGCCGGCGGAGGCGTTGTGGACGGCGGCGGCGAGGGCCTGCGTGCCGACGTCGACGTGCACGATGACGCACTGCGGGCGGTTGGTCAGGCGGGCGAAGCCGTCGGCCATGGACATGGCGACCATCTGTGTGTGGTGAGCGGGGGGGAAGGTGGAGGACAAGGAGGGGGGGGAGGGAGAGGAGGGAGGGGAGGGCTCACTTCGTTCGGACAGGTGATTATGCGGGGGAAGTTGTCCTTCTTCTCGCGCTGCCCCTGGACCATGGCGTTGAGGAAGCTCGGGTGGTCCGAGCCGAGGTTGACGAAGCAGTGGGTGACGCCCGCATCCCAGATGGCGTCGAAAAAGGCATTCGACGCGGTATACATGGTGAGAACAGATGACTTGATGGAGGTTTACAGAGTTGAGTGAGGTGAGAAAGCAAGATCAAGCGGGATAGGCGCCTTCTTATGCACGTCCGCCTCTTGTATGACGCGTCAAGGCCATTGGACGAGCCGGCCCCGGAGTGCTCCCCGCAGTGTGGGGCAGCCCGGCTCCGAACTACGGCAATTGGCGGGGTTCTTCAGGCACATCCGGTTTGCGGGGAAACAAGGTTGCGTCCTAAAAAAGCTCTAGGGCGAATCGGAAATTTCGGAACAAGAAAAAAAAAAGGACGACTTCATGAAATGTCCCCAAGTGGCTGCTCTAATTAATGTCTGCCAAGTGCCGCACCACCTCCCGTGGGCTTGAATGTGGATGTGGCTTTGGCAATCATATCCCCGGCTGATTCGACGGCAAACTAATCTCCCTTTCCCAGTACCGCACGAGTTGATTTACTCTCACACTCGGCCGATTTCTTTACACAAGAAAAACCATCACAAAGAACACTAGAAAACACGCTAGGAAGACTTGAATATCCTTTTACCTTCGTGTCTTTTTCGCCCGTCTTTCTTGCATTCCTTCTCTTTGTTGTATTACTTATCCTTCTTATCCTGTTTCTTTTTCTTATATTTCTTATATTTCTTATATTTCTTATATTTCTTATATTTCTTATATTTCTTATATTTCTTATATTTTCTTATTCTTATATTTCTTATATTTCTTATATTTCTTATATTTCTTATATTTCTTATATTTCTTATATTTCTTATATTTCTTATATTTCTTATATTTCTTATATTTCTTATATGTCTTATATGTCTTATATGTCTTATATTTCTCATATTTCTTATACGTCTTATATTCCACATATCGCACATCTGACTTTTCGCCTAATCCATCTCATTCACGTATTCCCCGTCGCCAGGGTCTTCTTTTGTTAATTCCATGCGGTTGACCACATATTCGCGACCGTCCCGCAGCATATCCCGCACGGCTGCGCGCCTCCTGCATCTTTCCATCTAGACCTGTTTCTAGTAGACCCCTTGTTCAGCGCCACTACCAGAATTCAAGTCATCGTCACCGTCCTCGTCACTGTCCTCATAACTGTCATAGTCATCTTCACGCAGCTCCTGCGTGATGAGGTCGATCGCGAAGTCGCCCCCCTCCCGTACCAGGCCTTGCAGGGGCTTGTGCCACAATTCGTCCAGGTAATCTGACGTGACCTCGGCGACGACCCAGCGCATCTTGCTGCCCACCGGCGTTGATGCGTAGACCTCGCGAATGCATTCGACCCATTGTTTTTGGTTGGGCGTCGTGTCGCGCTGCGCGTTTTCCCGCTGCGCATTGCCGGGTTGCGTGTTGTTGGGCTCGTCCTCGTTTCGTTCCAACCACTTCCCAGCGTAAACATGCAGCTGTCCCTTGAGCTCCTCCGCAGCGAATTCATCGAGGCCTTTGATCCCAAAGTACTCGGCCAGCGCGCACACGCGCACATTGATTAACAGTTCCTCGTCATCTGTTGCTCTTCAGTCAGTGGAAGAAACGGGCCGGGGGGGTTGTCGCTCCGTCGCGGGGATACCAACGTACCCGGTATTCCTGCGAGCTCCTTGGCGGGCTCGCCAAAATAGTCCCCCGTGTACATGTACTCGAAGGCGCGCCAGTACGCATGCAGGCTTCCCTCGCTGAACTGGAAGACGCCCGTCCTGCTCTCTTCAAAGTTGCCCAACAGGGCGCGGGCAAAGTAAGTGCTCTCTGCGGCGAGCTGCAGTCGGTGTGCCGGGAGCTCGAACTCGCCCAGCCGGATCTTGACGTCGGAGAATTTCTTGTTGCAGAACCTGTGGTACACGGTGAGCAGTTATCGGATCACGCCGAGGCTGTCGGACCCACCAGTAGAGGCCCTTGGAGCCGAGATTACGGTCGTCCGGGATTGTTTCCGACGACGCTGACGCTGACTCTGACTTTGACGGCGCTGCCAGAGCTTGTGATGAGGCTGACGGCGCTGCCAAAGCTTGTGGAGAGGCGGACGGCGCTGCCACAGCTTGTGATGACACTGACGGCGCTGTCGAAACTCGCGAGGGCCCTGCCGGCGCTGTCGAAGTTCGCGACGACGATCTCAACGCTCGCGACGCCGCCGGTGACGCTGGCGACGCCGCTGCTGAAGCTGAAGACGACGCCTCTGCTGAAGCTGAAGACGACGCCGCTGACGACGACGCTGCTGGGGTGGACTTGGCCTTCTTGACCGTCGTGTTTGGAGCGAGGGAACTCTTCCTCTTGGCCATCGTGTTCGGCGGGGAGAAGTCGCAATTAGGGGAGAAAGAGGACTGCAAGCTTGTCGGGGATGGTTGCTCTGCCGGAGATGACTGCTTTTCCTCGAGCTGAGGGCTCGTTTCTGGGTTGACGGCTCGTTTCTGGGTTGACGGCTCGTTTCTGGGTTGAAGGCTCGTTTCTGGGTTGAAGGCTCGTTTCTGGGATGGTGGTTCACGCCGAAGAAAAAAAAAAAAAAAGTACTTGGGTGCAGAGTCCTGACCTGGGTCCGTACTGTACCCCTAGATTAGCTAGCCCCCCCACTTACAATTCCCTCTCCAGCCACACTTCTCCAAGCGGTGGCCTTCTCCAACTGGTGGCTTCGTAAATTATCATGAGGCATGGCAGTCTTTGAGGCTTCTATGGAGGAGGAAGTGGTAAAATTGTAAAATTGCAATTAGTACTGAATATCGCTGGGTATATGGATTCGATCAACAGCGCAGGCCATATGCCGTTCCTCCACCACGGTAAACAAAAATCCAGAAAAGAATAAAGTAAAAGTACCAAAGTAAAAGAAAGAAAAGAAACCAAAGAAGAAGAATCTCGTCATGAACCGTAACAGCCTACATTAACCCCCTCAACTCCCATTCATAAAACAGCATCAACTCCCGGCTACCACCTCGCGCGGCTTCCTATCCAGCCGCAGCGCCGACACCTCTACGCCCTGCAGCGCCCTCGCTGCCCTCCCCTCCCTCAGCTCGTCCCAGTGCGCCTGCAGCGCCTCCTCGCGCACCACCAGCTCGAACCCCGCCAGGAAGCAAAATGAGACTTCCAGCCTTGCCAGCTCCGTCTCGCTGACGCCGCCGACGCGCGCGAACCGCGCGTGCGGGTGCGCGCGGTCCTCGAGCGCCTTGGTCGCCACGCGCAGGCCCGCGAGCACCAGCCGGTGCATGTTGCGGCGCGTCACCGGCAGCGCGCGCTCCTGCACAGCCAGCCGGTGGATGTACAGCGAGGCGGCGAGGTACACGGCGGCGCTCATCGGGCAGAACTGCTGCAGTCGGGTGAGGTAGCTGCCGATGCTGATGGGCGGCTCCCGCTTGCTGTAGAACTTGCGCGTGATGGCGCCGTGCTGCAGGTTGAGGGGCTGCGCGTCGGCGCCGAGGACGAGGTACGGCGAGGGCTGGGATAGTGGTGGTGAGGGCGGGCGCGCGGCGTGGGGTTTGAGCATCACCCCGTCGATCTCGGCGGCCGCGTTGGTGTCGTCTGGCGGCGCCTGGTTGGCCAGTGTCGTTGACATGGCCACGCTGTAGACTTGCAGCTTCGTCTTGCCCTCGCGCTGGTACGCATCGTCGTCGCTAAAAGGCCGCTTTCCGGTTACGGGGGAGAAGGATGCTTGGTGTTGTTGTTGCTGCTGGCGCAGGCGCGCCAGGTTCTTCTCCGAGTGCGAGCGCACAATGTTCTCCTTCTCGGCCTGGAGGCCGCTCATCTGGGGGTCGGTGGGCATGCGCGGGGGCGGCGTCGGGGGCACGTCGCCGGTGATGCTGACGAGTAGGTCGACGCTCGCGCTGAGAAGTCGGAGTGCCTCGGCAGGCGGTAGCTGGAACAGGTCATGCTGTGCGGACTCAGAGGTTGGCGGTGTGGGCTCGGTCAGGGGGGCAAGGTTCGGGTCGGACGGGGGCACAGGGATCGGCTGTGACGGTAGCTCAAGAATTCTAGAGGTGTCGACGGCGAGCGAGGAGGGCGCCGGGGCGACGACGTCCATGGTCGTTTTGTTGGGGTTGTTGTGGCGGACGGACCGGCCGTCGATCGGAGCGGACTCGCTTATCGCTGTTTGTAGAGTCCACTAGTCCAAGTAATCTCAACAGTGTCGAAAAGGGAAATAAAGTCTTTCAGATGCGTCGGGTGGCGTCTGGAGCCGGCCTACTCGGGCGTGTCGCGTTGGTCAGGCGAAGAGTCGAATGCGCGTTTGTCCTCATCATCTCCCCTCGGCGGCGCGTGATGCAACGAACGCACGATGGCTGATTGCGGCTTGGCCGGATCGACAGGGGAATCTTGCCGCGTCAGTGGTCGCTTGTCGGGGAACAATTTAGGAGAGTCGAGGACTTGTCGATGAGGGGAGAAATTCTCACTCCACGGACCCGAGTATGTAGAGGGGCAAAGGGCCGATGATGTTGGCGGGGCATTTCGGAATTGACTTTGTGGAGATTTTTCGCTGTCCAGTTTCTCCTGCTATTCCGTTGGGCGCCAGGAACGACTGCCCTTAGACTATGCCATGCCGCGGCCCGACGAGGAGAATCATAGTATGTACATAGCAGTGGCAGAGGAATGATAGGGTCTTGTTGGGAGAGAGTTATTTGCTACTGTCTCGTGTAACGACGCTAGACACTGCAAGACGGCACAGTACAGAGTGAGACATGTCCATACGTCAGGTGAAGGATATATTCATGCATAGTGGGATGGTGGGTGCAATTTTCTAGTTATTGTATTTCCGCTGTCTTGTTTTTTTTTGAAAATCTTTTTGAAAATTTTCAAATAGCAAACTCTACTCAAGATCAGCCCTGGCTGATGATTCGGGAGTGTAGCGTGGCCATCACCCCAAGCCGTGGCGATGCAGTCTGAAGTTGAATGATTGTAATATAAATAGATATCCCTGCTCCCGAAATCCTGCACTATAAATCAGGCTGCATTACCGCTGATCGCGCCCTATCCTGCACAGCCTCATATTTCCTCTCCATCGCATCCGTTGACGTAACCGACTTGCGGCCACTCACCATGACCGGCTCAAAACCGTACATGGACGTCCGTAGAGATCCGTACACATCTTCAACAAAGGTCGCATCGCTATCCACACCATCCAGACCCTGTCTCTTTGTGCATGAAGACGTGGGGCGGTACGGGCGGCAATCGGACGCCTCCGCATTGGAATACGAGGTTTTTTAAGTCGACCCCGGCAAGATCCATTCAGCTATTTGTGACATTAGACGAAGAGTCGACGTCGATGTCGACATGGAGTAGTAGCGTAGTGTTTGTTTAATCTCGGGTCCTACCCGAGGTGGACAGGCGGTGATGGACAATGTCCTGATATCTGCGCCACTTGCTAACCACCACGAAACCAGACATGTTACCGACTTGCCTGTTTTTCATCTCCCTTGTCCTGTTGACCAGTTAATCCCTCAGCCAAGCCTCCCCCATCACCGCTCAGCCCCAATCTCCTCCAGCGGCCAGCGCATCGCCTCCCGCCAGTACATCCCGACGTGATCCGCCACCGCCCTCACCATCCGCGCGCCGGCATCCCCGAAGATCCAGCACGCGCGGCACCGGTGCAGCAGCACGCCAAAGTGCGCCAGCACCACCAGCGCCTCCGGCGCCCTTCGCCGCAGCGCCTCCACGTACGCCGGCGGCGCGGTCACCGCAAACGCCGACGCCGCGTGCGGCCCGTCCTCCACCGCCAGCCCGCGACACATGTCAAACGACCACTGCAGGCCGTGTGCCGCGCCGCGACACGCCGCCAGGCTCGCCGCGCCCAGGTCCGCCTCCTCCTCGAGCAGGGTGATGAGCGCGGCGCACTCCCGCCCGCGCGGCGCCGTTCTCCACTCCTTGTCGTCGGCGACGTGCAGAAAGTCCATGATGGCGTGCAGGTCCCGCGACTGCGGCAGGAACTCACGGATGGGCCGGCCGGTGGCGACGCGCATGCCGCCGTGCAGCTGGAAGCAGGCGACCATGCGGTCGACAAAGTCGCCAAAGGACACGCCGTCGACGCGCAGCGCGCCGAGCGTCTCCGCGAGAAACTGCAGGCTGAGCACGCCGGCGAAGAGGAAGCGCGCCGAGTCGACGTCCGGGTCGGCGGGGTCGTTGATGCGCGCGTTGAAGCAGGCGACGGCGCGCGTCTGCAGGGCGGTCGCGTGGTGCCGCAGAGTGTCGGCGGTCAGCCCCGCGTAGACGGAGGATGCGGCGCCGGGGAGGGTGAGAGCGAGGTGCACGCAGGCGAGGGCGAGGATCTGGTCGAGCAGGTACGGCGCAAGCGCGCGGTGGCGCAGGCCGAGGGCGAGGACCTTGTGGAACTGACCCTTGCGGCCGAGTCCGACGTGCTCCATGGCCGTCTGCGCGTGGTGGAAGACGAGCAGGTCCGTTACCGAGAAGGCGTCTGCGTCTGCGTCTGCGTCTGGTGGTGGGCAAACGGGCGTGTGTCGCAGGCTGCCAAATCTCGAGGGGGTTGGAGCTGCGCGGTGGTCCGGTTCGGCTCTGACTCCGGCTTCGGCTCCGGCTCTGGGTGACTCCTCCCACACAGTCCCGGCTGGATAAGCGCAGTCGCGGTCGCCGGTGCTGCAGTTGAAGCACACGGGGTGGTTCTTGTCACACCGGATGTGGCGGCGGCGGCACTCGGCGCACCCGTTGCGCGACTTGCGATGAGAGCGCCGCGGCTTAACCGCGGATTCGCTGGCTGCTTTGCGCCTGCGAGTCGTACGAACAGCTTCGGTCATTTTGATACGTGAATTGTTGATGTAGGAGGGAGAGTATGTCGGAACAAGTGCCATGCGAGAAATACGCGTATCAATGCATGCTCCACATATTAATACGCGTATTCACTCTGTCGAGGGTCGGCATCTCACCACAGGCGGCGGTTTGAAGTAATGGTGCTAAATATTCTTGTGGAAGATGGTCATATATCACAGCCGTCGTGTTATTGTACCTATTTATTTGGTATGTTGGGTGCGGCCAGACTCACACGTGTTGGCTGCGGATCGCCAGCTTACACAATATACTGGCTGGCTCTCCAAGGCTCAAAGGATAGTCGGGGATTGCATGCTCATGCAAGACTTGCCCAACGCCACTGCAACAGCTCAAATCTTGAGCTAAACTACTGCGACTGGAACTGAATACTGATCGGCGCAGGAGCCCTTGTGTGCGCCCCGATCTCCAATCCTCTCCCCTGATGCTTCGGCCTCGCGAGCCCGGAGCTTGGCCGGACACGGATCCGACGCCGAGCGGGCGAGGAATATAATTTGCGTCTCACGCGCTTAATTGTACTACTTCTCATACACTCATGTACTCTTCCTCACCGCCTCCCAGTTTAACTTTCCATCTGTCTCCATACTCGTCTCCAAATTTATCGGGATATGTATCATCTATAAGCGACGCGTCTAGTGCAGTCCACCCCTAAACTCCTTTGCCCTTTTGCTCTTTGCTGTTTCTACTTTTTCACGGAACACACTTTCTTGTGCTTCTGCCGGTCGACCACCTGGCAGTGCCTTCCGCAGTACTTAACCGCCTTGCACTTGCCGCACATCATCAGCTTCGCTGCCGCCCCGTCCTTGCCACACTGCACGCACCGGTCCGGCGGCGGCGCATCAACCTCCCCATCATCACCGGCTCGCAGCGCGGCCAGCATTTTCTCCGCCCTCTGCATGGCGGCCTGCTGGGCGGCCGCCGCGTTCTCTCCCAGCAGCTTCGCGGCCTTTCCCTTGGCTAGCTCTAAGATGCGCTGCTCGCTGGCGCTCACGTGCGCGGCCGCCCAGGAGTTGCTCCCGGTAGCGTAGGTGCCGTTTCCTAGGCGTTCCTCGAGATCTTCCCGCGGGCTGCCGAACCCCGCGAGGGTTTCGGTGAAGTAAGCGATCAAGTAGTGCAGGATCTGCTCGTCGGCTTCTTGCTCCGTCATCGACTCGAAATACTCGAGGCGCTGGATGCGCAGGTATTGGAGGATTTTGCTGGGCAGAGGCTCCTCGACTGTCAGGGGAATTGTAGAGACGGCGGTCAGACCGGCGCGCGCCCAGAGCTTTTCCTTCTCCGCGTAGCGCAGCGCCCCGGGGCCAGTCTGAAGCGCGAGCTCGTAGCTGTCGTCGGGGTTGCTAGGCAGCACGAAGCCGTACAGGTATAGTAGGCGGTGGTTTGGGAGCTTGGACAGGTCGGGTCTTCCCGGGAAATAGTGGTAGTTGATGAAGACTTGGTCGCCGGCTTTATAGTCCCTTGAGGCAATGACGAACAGGTTTCCGCTCTCCTTGATTAATCTGTGGCACTGCTCCTGAACGTCGGGGGAGTGGTTAAGCATGTCGGCAAAGGGTGCGAGGAGTCGGACCGGTTCGCCATCTACGACGAAGTCCATTCCTCGACTCCATATTGTGCAAAGCGCCCATTTGTACTGGGGCTTGTTAGCTGTCATTCCAAGATCTGGATAAGCAAATTCGTACTTCTTCAATGCTAAACCTTTTCTCTTGGAACAGGGTGGGATGCTCCTGGAATAGGGTCTGGAACGTCAAGTAATCGTTTTCAATTTGCGCTTGCGCGTTGGCGGTGAGTTGATGAAGCGAGCTGCCAACTAATACAGCAAGCTCATTCTTTTCGAAGAAGACGCTCGCGGTGTAGCTCTGGGGCAGCGCGGCGATATGCTTCTGCAGGTTCTTGTAGGGGAGGTGGTCGGGCCGTGATCGCACAAAGAGGATGTACAAGGCGAGCGTCTCATCAACAGACATCTGCCGCGGAACGCATTTGAGAACGGTTCCGAACAGTTCATCGTTGCGTGCGCGCTTGATTGTCCACAGACACGGGGCCGGGATGGTGAGGATCTTGTCGCCCTTGTTCAGATCGCACTTGGCACGGACACCGCGCCCGGTGGTAAGGGGAAAGTCGGCGACCTCGACCTTGTCCAGGCCGTCGGCACCGGAATCTTCGAGCCAAGCCTCCATGGTTTCAAAATGAATGTGAGAAGAAAAGCTGAGAGGATATGATCAATAGATGATCAAAGGACGCTGAAGATTTTTGAAGTGGGGTCGCTCCTGCCGCCGCATCATCACCATTTGCGTCATTTGTGCGATTACATAACCAAGCATTGGGTTGTCCAGCCGTCAGTGCCCAACATAGCAATGAAGTTTCTTTGTGCAACTTTCAAACTAAATACGCACCGATACCTCTGCGTCTAGCAAATTTTCATCGATGTTAGCCTAGGTATGCGGAGACCATTGCTTAGGCTATTTTATAGTCGCTGCTAGCATCAAGCTAATCTGTCTGGTGCGGGGAAGGGAGCCGTTCCGCCATCCCCCCCCCCCCCCCTAACACCCATGCAGTGAACCCCTCATTCTCTGCTACACCAACAGTCTTCCTCACCTTGAAAAAAGGTCGAGAGGGGCGGCCTGTGCGCTGAGCTCCTCATCTCACCTACCAAATATCCAGGATATCTGTGCCAGACGCGCAGGGGGAGGTCACGCGTCATCATGCTCCTCGGTGATATCCATTCCACGCTTCTTGTCCTCATCAAGCTGGGCGGTGAGATTAAGCTTCGCCTGAATGCTTTGAACCAAGCGGCAGAAGACCTCCAGCTCCTGACGACGAACCTCCGGCTGCTGCTTACAGTCTTTGAGAATCCCGCCAATGAGGCCATCATCAAGGCTCATGTCTCTGAATTCGTCACCATCTTGGATATTCTACAAAGTATCACAATGTCATGCGCGAAATGCGCGAAGGCCCTGGATATTGACTCCGCCAAAGCAAAACCCGCCAATGACAGCGTAGAAGCGTTTGGTAGAAGGATCATTCGTCGCATCTGGATTCTGAACCGCATCCCAAGCCTACTTGCGGAGATCCAGCACAAGGCGGAGCATCTTCACAAAGTATACAGCGCCGTATCGGTTGTGATATTACAGGATATCCGGGCGAATCAATCACCACCCTCTACTGGGGCCGAAGTCTCAACAGCTTCAACAGTTGTGGAGCGGGAATCCAAACACATGGAGTTACATGACTCGCAGTTCACCACCAATTTTGCCAGCATTGACTTAATTTTGGGGAACCTCATGACTGAGTGCAAGAGCCTTCGGAAGCAGCTTCAGGAAAACGTGATACGCCCCGACTCCTTGTCTACCCAGCACTACCAAACACAAAATCCAGAAGGCTTGGCGTTTTGGAGAGACAGATTCCAGAAAAGCGAACTTGGCCCTTCCAGTCTTCGATACGAGGTGAGGAATGCTGGTACCCAAAAACAACATGCTTGCTGAACCGCACATTTTGTAGACGTTGTACGTGTCATGGGCCCGCTTCGTGCACGAGATTGAAATATCACTTGTCCTCAACAATATTCCAACCGCCACGTTCGAAACCGCTACCATTGATGTTGTTCGTGAAGGCGGCCATCGCTTTTCCATCGACCTACGTGGCACACGTTGCCTGCCTACCATCCGGCCGTTGTGGCTGCCGGCGCTCCAGACGGCCCTCGACCCGCTGCGCAAAGGCTACGTGAAGCCCCAGGAATACTTTCATCTCCTGCAGGATTTGTCGCTGTCGGCGACACTAAGACGATTGGTGCTTGACAGCTGCGGCTATGGTGTAGTCGTCGAATGTGAACGAGCGACCAGCGATCTGTCGCTGCCTGCGTCACTAGAGTCGTCTTTGGATCACGTCGGCTGGATCGCCGCGCAAATTGTGGCGGTCCCCACGCCTGGAGAGCTCGGTGTTACAACTGATAGGGAAGTAATGGAAGCTAGCGGCGAGGATCTGATTTCCTGCTTCAACAATACGGCGCGAGATATTTACGTCCACGTTCGCTATCTGCAGACAGGTCAAATCGAGATCAAGAGCCTGCAACGACAGATCCGAGGGGCCGGTGGCATTTCCATTGGTGCCGCAATAGCGATACGGTATGAGTTGGAATCGGGGAAGCATGCATGGAGCTCCGATACCATCATTACGGAGTTCAGTACCTGCAAAGGGGGGGCGTATAACATCACAGCGGGCAGTGGAAGAAATGTCATTCCATTTTCCACAGTCCCTTTCGTAGGGTCTTTTGATGACATGCTACACGATGAAGGCGAGACAAACGGTTCTACTCTGCCGTATTACCAGTATACACTTCTAGGGCCGTCGAGGGCTTTCTGGAAGGTGCCGGGCGTTGGTGAAAAAGTTCAGGTACACTTTCTCACACTTTTAGCCCTATCAGACATGATACTGACAGTGTAGATCGAATATGACGGCCTCTGGTACGACTCAAGAGTCACAGAGGTAGACGGCGATGAGATCGAGTTTGTCGATTGGGATGCTGCAGTCTCTGATGCCGCGACCCCCTCCGTCAGCGGAGAGCAAGATGGGGAAACCGAAGAGTGTGACTTTGGCGGCCTATTTTCCGAAGAACAGCTGGAGCGGCTTGGACGCGGCACGCGGCGTTTGTGGTGCCCCTGGAAGCGAGATATCGCAAGATACGACGTCCGACCGTACCGGTGCCTTCACATCGGGGACTCGATCGAAGCCCCCGTCATGTACCCTGACTACCTATTGCGCTATCACCGCATGGAGGAGTCGCAGCTGTACATACCCGCGCGCATCGCCGAGGTGCACGGCGATCAGTACCTGGTTGAGTTCAGCCCGGCCATATGCGCGCACAAGTGGTGGCCGGGGCGGCTGCCCTGCGGCGCCCTGGTGGAGCTGCTACCTGGGTCCCCGCCCGGCGACGCTGTTGAGAACCCGTATGACGCGAACCGTGTGATGATGCATGCGGATCTCGTGCGTCCCCTGTCATCCGGCGGGGGAGCGCGGCCGGTGCTCGGGGCGCAGTCGGCGCAGCCGGCGGGTTGGAACTCGTTCCAGGGCGTGCAGCTGCGTAATTTGGAGGACCTGCTGGAGCAGAGTCTCTGGAACGATGACAAACACGGAACGTCAGACACAGGTTGAATAGCAGAGGCATAAGACGATGGATAATGATGAAATGCTAGAAAATGTTGAGATTTTGGTATCTAGGGTAGGAGCGGGTCAATAGATGGTGGGAGATGAGTATGGGGACTCGCTTCCCTTTCGAAAGGTTGCTTCAATTACGTCTCCGTCGCCTCCATTTGACGGGGAATTAAGCCATGTTAACTTGCGTGTCAATACAGACGGCCGACCAGTGGAAAGAAGTAATGAGTTTTTGACCCCCGAAAGTTGCACGCTCACCCCACCAACATGTGTCCTGGATAGTATGCATACTACGAGCTTACAAGTATAAGAAGCAGCGAAAAAAAAGTAACTAAAACGCAACCCGAGAGCATGTATAAGGCCAAGATGTTGCCGCCAAATAAATTCAGAGCAATTTGCACGAGAAATGAAGCTGAGAATTTAAGAGAATAAGAATAATACGTTTATTAGAACCACCATAATGGCTGCAACCACCACATCCCTATTGGGCATCAACGAACCCGGTTCCTCAATCATCAATCGTCCATGCCTGCCTAATCCGTGCCTAGACCGTGTTACGTCCTGCGTCGACGCGGAGAATATCCAGCCTCGCACTACAGGTACAACATCGCACCGGCCCGCGGAAGCACGACACACCACGGGACATGCTCGGTTGCACCCTCGATCCAACCCGCCGTCTCAGCCCTGTAAAACATCCCCAACCACCGGCAGCCATCATGCCAGGGCATACAAGCTGCAGCCTTGTGCAGTAGCACCGACATTACAACGGAACCCATCCTCAGCTCAACAAGGAATATACGCACACACCGCCCGATTCTCCACTGCCGACTTGGCTGAGGAGCATCGAACTCCAGAATAGCTGGGCAATTTTTTTTTTTTTTTTTTTTTTTTGACTGCAGCCTTGCCCGTCACAACGTCAGCAGACCCCCGGAGCCGGTTTGGCTCCGCAGTATTTCGACTTTCGGCCGCCACCCCGCTTTTCGCGGCCAGGCAGCACCGCGTTCTGTGGTGTTCCCCCCCCACGCGCGCCGGCATTGGGGGCAGCCAAGCGCGAGGCAGGTCATCCGTGTCTTAATCGATTCTCGTTAATAATATAATGCCAAAATATCCCGATAAAATGGTTCACGATTCGACAGGGATCTATTTCTGCACCGGTTCCACCCCCCCCGTTGAAGAATCGCCAAAACACCAACATTGGAATAATCACCGTTGTAGGCTCTGGGCAGCGTCGTAACCGCTGAGGGGAACAACCAACAATCTTGCACAAATCTTGTACTTGTCCTCGTACCCAGGTCAGACCACCCAGTAGATGGACCCCCCCCCCCCCCCCCCTCGAGATAACTGTACGTTTTTCTATAGTTCAAGACGCAAAGAAAAAGCTCGCGTCTCTGCAAAGCATAACACAAACTCCTAGGCATCCGTCTCTGCCTATTCGGGAGACCCGTGGATCTGCCTTGCGCCCCATCCGACTAACTCCTCCACAGACACCCCCCCTCCTCCCTCACAAACCGCATATCCTGTTCCATCCAAAGACACCAACCCACACCGGGACGGCACATCTGCAGTGGGGCTACCGCCGACAGCCACAGGGTGTGTGTTTCTGTGAGTCAACCGGCGCCGGTGACAATGACAAGGGGGGCCTCAGAGTGCCGGTGGTGTCGTAGGCACCGCGGCCTATGTTGATGGGTGATGAGAGCATCTTTTGGTCAGTTGGCTTCTGGGACTGGTAAATGTATGATATGGTGTCATTTGGCTCATGGCCGTCTATGGTATCTGGCTATTGCTGTAACTATCTAAACATTTCGCTAGCTTTTTTTTTTTTTTTTGGCTTGCTGGTTTGTTTTTCTGTTGTCTTGGTCTCGTGTCCTGTTGTATCCCATGTAGTTGTAGTAGTAATCGTCGCTGTTCTTACATATCCTCCTCCTCCGAATTAACCTCCTCTTTATTATCCTCCTCTAGTCCTTCGCTCCTTACTCGTATCGGTACACGCCATGTTCGTAGTCAACTCGGGGCCGCCTGCTAGCCGGTCCCACGGTCGCTCGACGGCTAGGTACCATGCGCTCCCGGAGGCGCCTGTCTTGCTCCTCCTGCTCCTGCTGCGCGAGCTGGAGCGCGCGCTGGTGCGCCCTCCTCTCCTGCCAGTTCCTGTCCTCGACCGAGAGGCGGCCCATGGCGCCAGCCAGGGGCTCGTCAAAGTCGTCGCGTCGGCTGCGGCGCTCCGATGCCACCTGCTGCTGCTGCGGCGCCCGCTGCTCGCCGGCGCGTCCGTACGACTGACGGTTGGCGATCTCGGCGTTGGCCTTTTGGATGCGCTCCTTCATCTCCTGATCCTTGCGAGCCTCTCTGCGCTTCTCGCGGGTGCGCTCGCGCTCTGCCTCTTCCTCTGCAGCAGACGCAGCAGCGGCAGACGAGACCGATGTGTATGAGTATCGGGTGCTGCCCTGCGAGCTGGTCGACGTCTGGCGCGAGTGGCGCGACGAGTTGCTCGCGGTCGGCGAGGGCGGCACCTGGAAGTATCGCGGCGTGCGCTCGTCCACCAGGTAGGGACGGTTGTAGGATTCGCGGGGCGAGCTGCTGGTGTGCGGCACGGCGAGGTTGTTGGCGGGCGAGGAGGGCGCGGTGCGTGGCACGGCATGGTTCTGCGGCGGTGTGCGCGGTGTTGGGGGGTTCGGCACCACGACGATGCGCTCGCGGCCGCTGGAGCTCTGCACGTTGACGCGCTGGCCGTTGATGTAGATGCCGGGCGAGCGGTCGCGGGCGCTGCGGCGCGAGGATGACGTGGATGAGTGTCGGGAGCCGGTCGAGTGGTGGTCGTCAGTCGACTGACGAGAGCTGTTCGAGTGTCGAGAGCTGATTGAGTACCGGTTACCAGTCGACTCGTGGCTGGATGGACGCGGCGAGTGTGTGCCCGAGTGGATGGGCGCGGCGGGCGCGGCGGGAGGGATCCTGTCGCGCGACATGCTCTGCTCTACCTCGATGAGCGCGGAGCAGGGACGGCCGAAGCGCGAGAGATGGCACAGGACGGGCTGAGTGCCGGCAGAGCGGCGGCCGTCGGCGTGGACGTAGACTGTGGTGGTGCACATTGTGATCTTGCCCCGCGAGGGGGGGGAAGGCAAGTGCAGTGTGGTTGTGGTGGTGATGGAAGACGGGAAGTGTCGTGTGTCTCTACTGTAGTAGAGAATAGTACAGTAGAGTACAGGCTTGAACTGATATTGTGTTGTTGGTATGAATGGGCCAAGAAGATGTTTGGTCGAGGGTGGGCGATGGGGTTTATAAGTAAAGGAAGAGAGGAATCGTGTAAGTCGATTCTTGGTGGAGGGGGTGGGTGTATGTTTAGAAACAAAGTGGGGGTAAAGATAGCAAGGTACTTGAGGACGTGCGGCCGACAGTGGGGAGAACAGGTATAGCGAGAGGAACAGGCAGGGCCAACTTTTGTGGGAAACAAGCATTGGCGAGACGGATGACAGAAGACAGAGGGAAGTGGGACTCTACCACCAGGCTGCTAGAGGCCTCTTGCTTTCCCTCTTCATCTCTCCTCTGTCACCTTGACCAGGGTTTGAGGGTTTGGTGGTGGCTTGACGCCGGTAGTATGTAGACTGGTGTGGGTGATGGCTGTACTGTAGGTGATGGCCGTTTGTGGGTACAGACGTCGGTCTCCCTGTGGGCGTCTGCATCGTTGACGGATGGTGAATTGTGGTTCTCCGTGGTCGTGGCCTTGTGGTGGCCGCCGTGTCTGCCTGGACCTGGACGCCCTTGGTTCCCCTCGATGACTCTTCGGTCTGCGCCCTGACTTGCAGCTGCTCCAAGGCTACCTTCTGTACAACATATGGCGTACCGAAAACGGTCATGGGTATAGGCAACCCCGTCTTGGTGCTGACTTGGTGGCACCTAGGAGTCCCCTAGGGGCGAAGGCTCGAAATAGAGCGCCCGGAAAATTAGCACACGCTTGCCATTCTATTCCTGAGCGGCATGGGTTTGAACAGTGGTGACGTGAGCGCCAGTGAGTGCCATCGCTGGGCTCGAGGAGGAGTTGGGAGCGGTTGCTGAAACTCAAGCGTCCAAAGCCGGTCGCTCCAGAGCGGCCGCATATGGCGACAGGACAGCCTGGTGGCACAGAGATTTGGACGCCTAGTCCAGTGTAACTCGGGCAGTAAAAAACTGCTAAAATCGTTGTCCGACTAGTTCGTTAGCGGCCGCTGTCCTTGGTCGACGCTCTGTGAGTCTGTGTCCACGAGGACCAAGCTAGGAGGGTGAGAGATTGGGGACGAGAACCAAAAAACGCCTAACAATTAACCTCGCCTGCTCCTTCTTCACCGGCCACGGAACACCATCAGCGAAGTTCCCTCCCTGGCGTCGCGCCCTCGCCGTGCTATTGTCGTCCCTCCCCTCCCTCATGACCAAAAGACATGCGCCCGACTTGTTTCCATTGTCTTCCATGGTATGCAGCCTTTTCGCCCATTTTTTTTGGCATTTTGACATGACGCATCCCGTCAAGCTCGCCCTATCTCGTCCATCTTGACCTACCTACATGCATGCCGCTAGCCTAGGAGGGCGATGGCGTCTTGCGCCAGGGTCTTGGTCGTGTCTCTATTCGCGCATACTTTGTACTTTGTGCACACAACCCGCTGACGCACAATTTGGACGAGAAAAATCTTTTCGAGTCATGCTTTGCCGAATCTACCCCATGTCGCACGATGGGCACGCCAAATCTCTTCTTTCGGCTTGGCCTTCGCCTCACTTTTGTTGACAAAGGACAGCATCTTGTTCCTCTTTTCAGTATACGACGCCGCCTGGACGCGGACGCGCAATCCGAATAAATGCTGAAAAATGCTGAAAAATGCTAATAATTGACCTCCGGTGATGCTTCAATGCGCGACAGTAGAGATTCTTCTTGCTGAATCAGCCAGAATAACCACTCGCTTGTTGTGCATACCTGCAAGGAACCCCAGCAGTATACGAAGTACAGTAGCCTCGATGCTACCCGCCAGCCGTTCAGCCCTGGGGGCTGTGCAGCCGCTACCAGGCTCCCACTCACCAACTGCTCAGGGCAAGTCAATAAAAACAGACGGTTACAAAATGCAAAACTACAATGCATGCGTCTGCCATCCGTTCGCATCGCAGCTGTCTTGCAGGCGACGTCATGCCTCACCTCAACTTTAATGCACATCATCATCACCACCAACACGGCAAATTCAATAGTCTGCTTTTTCCACACTCCTTTTTCCTCGACTTTTCCTGCGCCACGCCACTTTCCCAGGACCCTTCTTCCAAGAAATTCAGAAGTCGAAAAAAGGGTTTCTCGTAATCAGGGTGCCAGGCAACCACCACCGCCGTCAGAGGCGTCCGTCAGCAGACCGTCGCCGTCACAGACGCAGGCACAGGCCACCACCCATTGGTAGCCCTGCCCTTTCACGCTGCGCTGGCGCAACTGTGCTGCTTTTTTGACTTTGCTGGCCTCGTTTTGTCTCTCCGAGATAGGCGGTCTCCATCTGGGGGCGAGAAAATGGCCCGCGACGAAAAAAATCAGGGAAACCAGGGAAATCTGGCCAAGTGCCCCAAGATTGCGGGTAGATACACAGAACCCCGAATTCCCATGTTGCGCTGGCAGCCATGCTATTGGCTCGTGACGGCTGTCGTCATGGCATTTCGCAAGAAAAGGGGGAGTCGAGAAAGAAAAGAACGCTCACAATTGTGGCCGACTTGGACCATTACGCAGACCCCCTACGTCATGCCGTTTTTCCATTTCGCATTTTCCCATCACCTCTGGGCGTGTGCAAGAAAGTGTGGGAAAAAATCTGCTCGTTTCTCGTTCTGGCTCTCTCCGAATGTAGGGTTTGCGCGTCGCGTCATTCTAGAATGCCTTGGTGGCTTGTTGCTGAGGCTTGTCGATGAGGCCTCCCCCCCTTTCAAAGCCGCATGCTCGCGGGAAACAAAGATGTTTCCTTTTCCAGCAACTGGTATTCCTCAGCCGCAGAAGCGGCTCACGATGGTTCCTGCGTTTACGGCTGTCCGCCGCCGCGACTGCGCCATCGCTCTGCATGCTGATGATGATTTGCAGGAACCGCCGCAGCCAGCCATCGAGGCAGTGCACACGTAGTAAATGATCTGGTGCTGGGATCCTTTACTATTTCACTAGTGTCTCCTCAAGGCTGAAGAAACAAATCCGTTATTGTTGAAGTTTGGAATGAGGCTAGTGCCTTCAGTCTGTGGCTCAGCACACGCCTCATTCTGGCTCCGCCGCAACGGCCCGTCCCCAGCCTTGTCACTTGGCTCCCCCAGGCCCCAGGCCCTTCCATTCCTACAGTACCTACATACATACAAGTTATCCCTATCCCTGGCAAATCAGCGATCATGATGCTACATAAGTGTCTGCCAGTAAAAACTCTCATTTTCTTGGGGGTCAACTCGCAGGCCTCCATCGCCCAGACTCGCCTTCGCATCAGCAAGCGCCCCATCCGATTCTCCGGGTTCATGGTCGTGTGGGTTTGCCCTCATTGTCTGAAACGCAACTAGGCCGCCCAACGTGGCCGTTGACTGCTATTTCGAGCATCGCCGCATTCCCATCGTAGAACCGCCGCCGCCTTTCGCCCCGCGTTGTGCTCAGCAGCATGTTTCGACTTGCATCGCAGTCCGTACCTCGATAGGCCCACGATGCTTCATGCAACACGCAGACTGTCCACAGTTTTTTTTTTTTTTTTTTCGCCGAGGCGTGCGTATTCTATGAACCTCCTGGCCCGACTGTGCTGGTGCCATTTAACCGCCCGCTGCTTTTCTCGCGCAGGCGTCCCACGCATGTGATTCGAGTTCGATGCAGGCTGTAGAACAATGCTCAGAGCGCCGGGACTGATCTGTAGTACAGCCAACTATCTTAGGCGACAAGGAAAAGAAGCAATTAGAGACTGTCTGGGTCGTGTTTGAGTTAGTTATCGCAAGCTCACCTTCGGCCCCCCGCCCCCAACGCTGGGTGACTGCCCCAATTTGCCAGCCATCACACGTTGCTGCTCTATGCAGCATCATACAAACAGCTAAACCAGGATATTTTTCCTTCCTGAAATGGCCGTTGGACCAAGATACATGGTGTCTATAGTCGACCTCCAATTCACTGAAAAAGTTCTGATCGCGCTCTGCGTTTTCCATTCGCCAAACCAAAAGAACCTGGCGCAGGCTTGGCACCACATCTCTAGTCGCCCTTTTGAGTCCCCCCAAAACAGCTTTCGCTCGAGCACGACGGTCTTCGTTATTTGTTGCTTTCGTATTCACGAACAACGTTCGTCGTTGAGCCCGGTCATCGTCGCTTGGAGATCAACACAACAAAGGGCGGGTCCAGGTCTTGCTCATGTAGGGTAGGTAGCGTCTACGCTGACGGCCAGCTCAATGAGGTTCTCTCGGATAAGAGCATTGCCTTTACGAGGACGTCCAGATCGACATGACCGCTGTGGTATCCGCCAACATTGAAAGGATAGAACAATGTCCAGGCAACACTGAACCCTATTGGTTCTGCGTGCATTGACGTTCTTCACAAAGGCAAAATTTGATCTGTTGCGAGTTTAAGGTAAGATGTGACGCTAAGAGTAGAATATCTATCAGTATGCAAAATTTAGAGACTCAAACAATCGCGAATTTAGGTTTCACTCGAGTTTCACTCTTACCCGGGTGCAGTTGTCCAACAGATTGTTGACCCCCCGGTGCCGCATGTCAGCACCAACCAAGATGTCATTACACTTTCCGGCCCAGGAAAGTACTTTATAGCCCAAGAATTGATGGAGGCTCTGGCCAATATTATTGCAGGTGGAAGTGACGCCGAGCTCGTCTATAACTTTTACCAATGCCTTTTTCAGTGGTCGTTCCTTTGACGTCAACCTGATGAGCCAGGCACCTGAGCCATGGGCAGCCGGGATATACTGGGAAAACATTGAGAGAGGCTATGCAAAGGAGTTGAATGTTTCGAGGGCTATTCTAGGGAGGGCTGACTTTGAGCAGCGCCCCCGACCTGGTAAATTCTGCTACGAAGAAGCTGTCCTGCCAAGGTCCATTGCAGTGACGTGTAAAAGATTGGCCACTAACAAGTACGTGACCTACCTGGCTTTCTCTGAAAGCTTTGAGGTATACGGCCATAGGTGCTTCTATGCGGGATCAAATATCTTGCTGGGGCATCTGATATGCGAAGGCGTCAGCGGCGTGCAGTGTGAGTCGGGCGCCCAGTATAAGGGAAAGTGGTTTGTGGGTGGTGATGAATGGTGTATCTTTGTATTGGATATATGCAAATATGCTATTGTATTTCCTGAGATATCCTATAATATTGAATAATATTATATATAATATTAGTCTATAGCGCCTTTGCTATTTTACTAATCACGGAGTAATCCCTTTTCTATCCTTTAAGGCTTCATTTGATTACTCGCCTTACTTTTATAGGGTACTCATGAAATATATAGAGGCCTGTAATAATAAATATGTTTTACTACTATTCTTATACTTATTTAGTAGTAAAAGACTACTAAAGAGGTTAGGGTTACTTAAGGCAACTTTTTTTACGTCTTCTTTATGTGGGGTACCTGGGGAGATGGTGCAGGCCGCGCGGCTGGTACAGCACTCAGCGGAACAGTGGGTGAGGGCACGAGTATTTTACCGATCGCCGCTTCGCAACGGTCGTTCACCTTGCCCTCTACTGTCAAGGCCGGCCACCTTGAGGGTTCTGCGGGTAGGCGCTCGGCGCATGGTATGGCTGCGGCGGCGCACCTGGATCGGCCGGGGCCGGGTTCCAGCCGGACTGCACATGGGATTGTCCAGCATATGGGGCCGAGTGAGGCACGTCTTGTGCGTACTGCGGATCACAGGACGCCTGTGCCACAGGTCGGTCATACGCCTGGCCGGGTGCCAGCCGCTGGTTGTTCGGCGGCGCAACGTAGGGTTGGCCCGAGCCGTACGCGGAAGCCCCGTGGGTCTGCGGATCCATCGGAGGGGGCGGGCCGTAGGCATCGGTGGGGCCCGGCTGCTGTCTCTGTGGCTGGTAGGACGGGTTTGGCGACCGGCTCTGGTCTTGCGCCCACGTTGCCTGTGGCTGTGCTTGCGGTGGCTGTTTAGGCGGCTGCTGGTTGGCCGGCGGGTTGCCGGCCCCGGGGAGTTGGAACTGATGCAGCGGGTTGCCGCTGCCGCTGTGCCGTCCACCGTGGTACCGCCGCCCACGCCCTCGACGCCTCGTCGTTGCCGCCATGAGGTCGTCCTCGTCAAATATCTCCATGGCGCGCAGACCGAGCTCCTTGGCGCGCGTCTCGTTGTCAGTACCGTGCACCTTCTTGAGGTAGTCGAAGAACTTGAGGTAGGCGTCGGACACGCGCTCGACGTGGCCGACCTTGAGGTGGACCTTGGCGTCGGACTGCACGGTGAGGTCGTACTTTTTGTCGGACGGCTGCGCGTCGTACTCGGCGAGCGCGAGCGCGGTCTGGCAGGCGTTGCGGATCTGGCGGCCGTTCCAGCGCGCCTCGTCGTTGTCGCGCCAGTAGTCGCGGATGTGCTCCTCGATGGCGTCCTTGTCGATCTTGATGGAGCGCCCAGCGTCGATGTAGCGCTTGCGGATCATGGCCAGGTTGAGGCGGCAGATCTTGACGGTGGGCAGCTCCTCGAGCCGCGGGTAGTGCAGGATCATGTGGATGCGCGAGGTGAAGGCCTCGTCGAGGTCGCCGATGCGGTTCGTGGTGAGGAAGAGGATGCCGGCGTAGTACTCAAGCACGCGGAGGAACACTGCGGCGTGGCCCGTGGTTAGCATTGCTCTGTAAAATGGGCTGTTCGACCGCCCATGCCACACATCATCTCGGACCACAGGACATCAAGATTGCTTACCGGCTACCAGTCCGTTGCGGGAAAAGTCGTTGCGCCGGCGGGCGGCTAGGAACACGTCGGCCTCGTCGAGCAGCAGGATGGAGTCCCATCGGCTGGCCAGCGAGAATTTCTTCTGCAGGGACTCCTCGACTTCTTTGGCATCACTGCCGAGGTCGCCTACACAAAGTCAGCACGATGGGCACCGCAAACAGCAGCGAAGAGAAAACAACGTACCGCATGTGATCTGGAACAGCGGCTTGCTGAACTTTTCGGCCACGCCCTCTGTTTGTGTCAGTGAGATGCAATGAACTGTACAAGCACAAGGTCGTGGTCATCTTACCAGCGGTGGTCGTCTTTCCGACACCTGGAGCACCGTGAAGAAGAATGATCAGGCCCTTTCCTGCAGGTCATGTGTCAGTACCCGTTCAGCCACGAGAACCATTGATCAAGAAAAGAAGCCCGCGTTACCTTTGCCCTTGACAATGTCCACCCGTTCGTCGCGGTGCTTCTGAGAGGCCTTGTTTCGGAAGTGCTGCGACACCAGCGACAGGACCATGCGCTTGTGTCCGCCAGGCAAAACGAGGCGGGAAAAGGCCGTCTTGCCGCCGGCGCCGGCGCCGTCGTCGTCATCATCGTCTTCCTCGTCGTTGTCGGCGGCGGCATCCCCAGATCCAGCTGGTTTGTCAATGTCGCTGACATTGTCCAGGTCCAGTCGTGCTGCAGCGTGAGAAGGGCATCAGTAATTTTGGTCACAAAAACGCACAAAGGGGGCCGTGTTGTGCTTACCCCAGGAACGGTCCCGCAGGACAAAGCCGTAGACACAGTACGACATGATCATGAGATCAGCCTTGCTCAGGATGCTGACGTCGGCCTTGACTTCGGCCAGGTTGCGCGGAAACAGCGAGACGGGCGGCTGCGTGGTCTGGCTGGGGTCGGCGTTGCTAGTGTGGCCCTCGTGGGCTTCCATCTTGCTGGCCACAAACGCCTCGTGCGCCTTGGCCTGCAAAAGAATGTCGCTGTGTACGTTCTGGCCGATGCAGCACTCGGCGCTGCACGTGGCCTCGCCGCGACTGCGGTCCTCGTATATGCCGGGGATGCGGTTGAAGGTGGGCCGCTGCTCGCCGATCTCTTCCTCGCCAAAGGCCTCTTGCACGTCGATCATGACCTGGCTCTCAACCTCGTCGCGTTTGTCGATGGTCAGGCCGGCATAGTACATGTGCTTGACGGCCGCCACGTCCACAAACCGGTGGCCGCGCTCCATCAGGCGCTTCTCCAAGCGCGCGACCTCGTCGTCGAGCAGCTGCTCGACGGCCTCAGCATTGTCCTTGAGGCCGGTCACAGCGCGCGCGACCTCGGGGCTCTTGGCGACGTGGTGGCGCAGCGGCAGCACATCCATGGCGGAGATCATGCGCTCGCCGTCAAAATTCTTGACGACCACCTCGTGAACGACGGGGCCGAGCGCGGTGCCGTCGTAATCGATGTAGACGCAGTTGAGAACGGCGCTCTGGGCTTCGTTGTCGCGCTTGTCGTCGGCGTTGTCCTTCCACTTGCCAAAGGCGCTGAAGGGGTCCTTGCCAATGTGCTTGCCGGCGTCCACGGAGACCACCTGGTAGGCCTGCTTGCCGGTGGTCGAGATGACAAAGTCGCCGGGCCGGTACAGGTGCCAGATGTCCGAGAAGAACATCTTTTCGCAGCGCACGGACCGCAGCCACGCCATGCGCTTGGCAAGGTAGTCGTCCATGAACCCGATCAGGCAGCCCAGGAGCTCGAGCTCGGTCTTGGTTTTCTTGTATTCCGGGTGTGGTGGCACAACAGCGGGCACCGGGGAGGCCTCGGGGACGGTGTCCGCGACAGCAGCACTAGCCTGGTCAGCAGCCTGGTCAGCAGCCTGGTCAGCAGCCTGGTCAGCAGCTGCCGGTGGTTCAGCGTCGATGCCGGGCAGGTTCTCCCGCATCCGGGCGGTCTCCTCTTTGAGCTTCTCGTACATGTCGCGGATGTTCGCCTCGTGGTGCGTCAGCATACGGTAGGGACGCAGCAGCACGACCTTGGCGTCGTCTTCTTCGCTGCCAGGCTGGATTTCCGTGTCGCAGATGCGCGCCAGCAGATTGATCAGGGGCTCGGATCTGATGCAGATGCGCTCCGGCAGCGCCGTGTGGCCGTTGTACGTGACCAGCGGCTTGTCCTTGTCGGCCGTGCTCTGGGCGACCTGCGGCTTGAAAAGGTGCTTGAGAAAGGGGACCGTGGTGGAGATCTTGGGCTCGCCCGCCAAAATGCAGATGACGGAGAACGGCTGCCGCTGCCCGTAGAAGATGCTGGAGAAGGACGCCCAGTCCAGGGTTTCCATCTTGGGCAAGGTGTGCGCGGTCTCGGCGCCGTGCGGTGCCAGGCCGTGCTCGGTGCCGTCGGCTTGTCGCTGGTCCGCCCGGGCTCGCAGACGCTTCAGGTCCTCCTTTTGCTGCTTTTTCTTCTTGAAGGCGGCGTAGCGCCGCTTCTGCATGTTCAGACGGTCAATCTCCCACTCAAAGTCGCCGCGCAGCCGCGCCTGGAAGTAGTCAAAGTCGCGCGTGCGCGTCGACTCGTCGCTGTCCCAGTCGCCGCCCTCGTCCGGGTCCCACTGGTTGCGCGGGCCGAGCTTGCCGGTGTAGACGGGCCGGAGCGAAGCGGGGATGCGCTGGCCTTCGATGGGCTGCTTATGCATGTCAAACCAATAGTCATACTCTTTTATAGTTGCAAAGTAGCGCCTTCCGTTCCTGGAAGTATGGCCTATGGCGTTTTTGACTTCCCCGGTGCTGACCGCGTCGCCACTTTGGCCATCGCCGTTGCCGAGCTTGACGCGCTCCGGCGCCCGTTCGTTGGCCTTGGTCTCTGTGCTCTGCACCCATTTCCGCGCACGCCGGGTAGATCGCCGTATCGGGAGTGGTTCTTCGTCGTCCAAAACCAAGTCGGCACCGTCCAGCCGCTCCAGAAACTGCACTCTCTCCCGCAAAGCAGAAATCTCCGCCAAGACGTCGCGCGGCACAGTCGGCGCGCTTTGTTCTGTTGCGCTGCTGGACGGAGGCGTCTGGCGGGGCGACTCGCCGAACGTCTCGCCGGAGATCGCGGTCTCTTCGTCTGCCGCGACAGTGCTCATGATGCTGTTGCAGGAGACGCGGGTGTTGTCAACTCTTTGGTGGCCTGTTGCCAATGCTGGTCGAAAATGCTGGCTGACTATGCTGGTTGACAATGCTGGCTGACAATGCCGGTTGATAATTCTGACTATATTGATTGACAAAAGGCTGCGAGGAGAAAGTGCGATGAATGGGCCTTCCTAAGATGAGACTGAAGCACAATTTGAAATCACCAAGGAGGGGACGACCGGCCGGTTGGGCAGATATACCAGGCGGGATATTGCGGCTGAACCGTGCCCAACATTCAGCTGCTCCTTCTCGTCCAGCCCTCCCCCTTATTCATGCAGCTTACGCTACTTGATGAAACGTCGACGTGGTTTTTCGAAGGATCACTCCCCTCTTTCTGGCAGACTCACTGGAAACTGCAAGGCGTCAGACGCACGGGAACGGGGACAAGCCAACTCCAGGCCGCCTTTTGGCAGATGGTGCGCAAATTGGGGCGCAACGGCCGTCTGTTTCCCGACTTACATCCCTTACAGCGTACAAGAGGCCGCTTGCGTCGAGGCTGGACGGCATCGCCCGTTTCTACGCATTGGCAACGGACCCTTTCTGTAAATACGGTTGCAAATACAACTACAGCCGCTCATGAATCCTCTCAGTCGGGCCAGAATCCCCGAGATCTGCTGTCAGCCGGAGTCGGTCGATTTTATCGAGAACGATCTTGAGGACAGCCATCCTGGCCTGAACGATCCTCCGTCACACTACGACGCCCGCCGTCGCTTGTTTGTGCTCAGTAACCCGGTGTCGCAGATGGACGAGCAGTCCCTGACCGCCTACAACCGAGTCCAATGGGCATTGAAGGTGCCCGGCGTGCAGGCGCCCGTGGCTCCCCCGGGGACTGTGACGCTGACGCTGCCCAGCGCGGCCACTGTCCTGTCCGCGCGGCGGCGTGCGGAGCCGAGCGCCGCGCTCAAGTTCTGGGACGAGCTCTTTGCGCCATCGATGGACCGCTTTGTGCTTGCCCATCCGCAGGAGGCGGACGAGGTCAGGGAGCGGGGCAGCATCCGCGGCCAGCACGACTGGACTGGCGTCTTCGACACGCTCGAGGCGGCCAAGAACGCCTACAGCCAGACGGACAAGAGCTTCAAGGGCATCTTTCGCAAGGTGTACCGCAAGTCGGCCGACCACTCCGGCACGTCGGTGGTCAAGATGGCCAAGGAGATCGTGGACAACGACTACGCATCGCCGGTGCTCGGCTCGCTGCAGCTGGTACTTGAGGTAGGCCGCTCCCTGGTCTTGTGTGAACAATCATTCCGTCGACAGCTCTATCCTGCTCACCTGCGATCCATAGGCGGCCGCAAAGGCGGCGAAGCTCCGGCAGGACATGCTGGGCGCCTTTGACCGAATCGACCGCAACTTTGCCGAGGTTGAGGCCTACCGGCAGGCGTTTGCCGGCGACGAGAACATCACAGACGCCGCGATTGGCTTGGTCGCGGCGGTCCTGCACGCCGTCGAGATGGTCATTGGCTTTTTCGTGTCCAAAACCTGTGCGTCGTGAGAAGACCGCCATATTGGGAGTGCTATGCTGTGCTGTTCGCAAAGGCTAACCTTGGATTGCTGACGTATCTTCTCTGCCAGACAAGCGGCTGTTCCGCGCCACCTTCACAATCGACGAGTACCGCAGGAAGATTGACACGAGCCTCACCGACATTGATCAAATGAGCTCCGACCTCCTCAGCGAGGTGCACATGTCCGAGGTACACCGGGACCAGCAGTTCCAGGAGCGAGTCATCCAGGGTTGGGACCTTCTTTCTCTCTTTTGGCGTGTTTGTGCTCCCGTTTTTCGTGTACATTCTGTTCTGACACGACCCTAGATGCGGCGATCACCCAATACGGCATGGCCCAGCTTGCTCACATGGAACACGGCACCCGCAATGGCATCATGTACATGCTGAACGATCTTATGCTGGGTACGCCTTGCCTCTCCGTCTCTCTCTCCCCCTCCCTCGTCGTTGCCGGTCACTGTGCCATGTGTTTGTTTTACTGATCACAGTTCGCCATGCTAGCAATGAAGGACGTCAAGGAGAGCGTGTCCCGGTCGCCCTCGCCCGCGCCAGTGATGCCCATTATGATGATTGCGGGTGCCCCATCGTCGCCCGGCCCCGAGCACCATGGTATCAGCCCGCACGACCTCCTTGGTTGGATCAACATGACGGATCTGGCGGCCAAGGACCTCGAGTACATTGGAAGTCACAACCACTCGGACATCTCCGACGACGAGCAGGGCCGCGCCCAGCAGCTCGTCGCCCACCACCAGCTGCAGTACTGGCTCAGTGTCCCGGCGTCGTCGCAGCTACTAGTCCACGGTAACTTCGGCGGCGGCCTGCGTCCGGTGTCCGGCCTGACTCTGTTCTGTGCATCCCTCACGATCCACCTCAGCAGCCAGCCGCGCATCATTCGGCTGCTGTTTTTCTGCGGCCTGCACATCGACGAGGACGACGAGGAGGAGGAGGACGACGACGACGACGATGACGACGTGGACGACGAGCATCTCCCCGTCGTCGGCGGCCGGGCCCTCATCGCGAGCTTCGTCTGCCAGCTGCTGTGCGCCTTTGATTTCGGGCCGGAGCTGCCGCTCGACCACAGCATCGAAGACGCGGTCCGCGACGGGGACGTGCACGAGCTCTGTCTCGTTTTCGGCGCGCTGGTGCGTCGTCTCCCGCACGGCATCGTGCTGGTCTGTGTGGTGGAGGGCTCCGGGTACTACGAGCGGCCCGAGTTTCTCGCGGAGGCGTCCGTGGTGCTCGCCTACGTCCTGCGTCTGTCCACGGACGACGCGGTATCCGCCATCATCAAAGTGCTCATCACCAGTCCGACGCGGACAACCCACATCCGCCAGCCATTTACCAAGGACAAGATTTTGTCCATGGCGGCAATGGCGGATGCCGAGTGGGAGCCCAGCCACTCGCGAATGGAGCGCGTCTTGGGCGAAGTGCTTTCACCGGATGACGAGTACGATGACGACTTTGAATATGCGTAGTTTGGCTAATATAATATAAAGAACAATTCTCTATTAGTTCCTATTAGTTCCTATTAGATTGTAAACAAAGTGAATAATAATACAACGAATCAACACCAAAACAACATATAGCAGGGGGATAAATACAAGTGAACAACAGCTTTTTCACAAGGCCATATCCTTCCACTGGGGCTCATCTGCGGCTTCCATGGTTGTAGCCACCATATTGTCCACTCCTTGTTCGTACTCCTCGGTCGTCGAATATCCCGCAGCCACCATCTGCTCTAGCGTTAGTTGGACACAAACGTGACAGTTGAATTCTCAGTCTTCGTTGTCCACACTCGTGCTTCGAACCAGGCTCGTTGCCTGCTCGACCGTCAGTCAACTTTGTTCGTTTGGCCAACCGGGATCAGCTGGCACGAAGAAGCTCGAAACCCCCTAAATTAGAGCCGAGGGTGACTTATATTAATACTTTATAAATAGATTAAAAACTAACCTAAGCTATTGTAAGTAGGTATTGTGAGAAAGTATATTAGTTCTTTAAAGAGTAACAAGGAAGAAAAGCTGCTATCTAAAAGGAGGCGCGCCTTCTTTTCCGTAGGCCGACGCAGGTAGCTATAGGGCGCTTACCTTAGGCTAGTTTCACTCACATCTGGGTGGCCGACGTTGGAGTATAATGGAAAAAGGGATTTAACTTGCTTCAGCTGCATCAATTTCGCCGGCCTGCAGATGATCTGCTTGCCGTGCCGCCCTTGGCTTCAGCCTGACTCACGCTGACCTGAAGCGCGTAACTTGTACTGTCACTGCCTTGCCTTGCTAATGTCTGCGGTCTTGATTAGTCTTGTTAAATTAGTCTTGTCAAGTTAGACTTGTTAATTTTTAAGCCTTGCATTCGTAGCTACAGTACATAGCAGGAACGGAACGAACTCTGCCAGCTCCAGGACACCAACTGGGGAAACTGAGACCGCCACCACAGCACCAATCTGCACGTCGCTGCCCAACGGTTGAGGCCGGACGCTCGAGAGGCACGTTCAAGCAGACTGTACATAGGTATGGAAGTTACCCCGCTCCGGAAGGCAGCTGAAAGAAGGCGATGAGCCTGAAACATCCCAATGCCGATGCCAGCTTACGAGTACACACTCTACGGGCCTTGTACCTCTACGGGCCTTGTACCTCTACGGGCCTTGTACCACTTCACACCGTTGCCTGGCCATGTTGTTGAGACGGTCGTCGATTGCCTCAACGACTCAGACACAGAAATAAGAGCCACTGCGGCCAGAGTTTTACAAGGTCAGTCGAAACTGGCGGAGTCGACAATTTGGTTTCTTCTAAGGGGCCTTGAATCGGCAGACAGACGCACATGTTTGCAGAGGCTGGGAGAACATTCGCTGTTGCCCAAGGCCGCCGTCGAAAAGATAAGTAAGATGATGGATAGTCCTGACAGACTCGTGAAGACATGGGTCCTAGAAGCGTTATCACAGCAGCCTCCATTACCAAAGGCAATCTACGCCCGGATCATGGAAATGCATAGAACCGCTTTGACACGTTCTAATGATAGCTTCATTTCGGAATTCGGTTACTCTCGATCATTTCTTATGAGACTTTTTCGGAAAGTACAGCAATCGGCCTTGCCTGGTATTTTCATACAGGCAATCGTCAAACGGATACAGAGCACGTATGACAGTCTACAGGTTGCGATCTCGCATGTTTTGGGTGACAATTCACAGCTATCTGGGCCTGAGATCGACATTATCAACCAAAGGCTCGCAGAATCTGAGACAGACGCTCAGCTGCTTGCATCGAAAGCTTTGCGAAACATGAGGAAGGTATCCCCAGCAATTATCGATGCCGCTGGCCTTCTTTGTAAAGGATAGTGAGTTCTGGGTTGTGGACCGCTGGGGGCATCGGAGAGTCAATGTTAGCCTAGACAAGAGGAAACTCAACAAAGTGATCCGGTTTCTCGTGGACTCGCGACCTAAAGGCTATCCAAGTCCATTGCCGCAGACTATTGAGCCACCAGAGGAAGCTTCCAATGCTGAGTAGCGACGTGGAGCATTATTCACGTGGTATGGGCCGTCGTTGGAGCTGGAGAGAAGCTTGGCGCTTTAAAGATGGATTACCGGGACGCGAAACGGGAGAATCATATATGGAATTCATGAGGATTCTTGTGTATTTTCATTTGATGTATCTAGGCTGCAAACTTGGCATATAAGTAGAGCAACTCGTCAATGGACAAGCAGATTTGTGGCGGACGTGGACACACAAAAAGTTAAAGAATAAATGTCAAACTATTCTGGAAAGCCGGTAGAGAAATGAACTTGTTCTTCACAGAGTGCTTTTCTCGTTCATGCATCATACATTTGCGCCTCTTCCATCTGTCGGCGGTAGCGCAGGCGCTGCCGCTCAGGCGTCGCCAGCCGCACGCAGTCGTAGCATCCCCATACCGCAAACACAAATCGCCAGAGTCTTTTTCACGAGTCAGCCGCGGCCTTGGCAGGATGACAGGGACAAGGCTTACATGACGCCGACGAGGAACCAGTGGGCGGCGGTGACCAAGCTGCACAGGGTGAAGGCGGCGCTGTCAGGGGAGGGTGGTGTGGTGCTGGTGCCAGTGAATATGATGAGGACGAGCCCGGCCATGCAGAGGGCCATGGAGACCATGTCGTGCAGGAGAGCGCGGGAGGCAGGGAAGGGAGGATGGAAGGCGAGGGCGTGGGAGGGAATGGAGGCGGTCATCTGCCAGCTGTCGTTGAGAAGGGCGACTGCGACCTAGGAAGAGAGTAAGCTTTTTATGTCATTATGGTCTTTTTTTTTTTTTTTTTTTACAGCTTGATTTCTTGTCAACATCTCTTGTCATCATCTCCGTCTTATCACGATGCTCCTCTTGCCTCTTGTCAAGGATCTTCCTGCCATGCAGCTGTGGGCTTCCTTCCCCACCCCCCGCATTTTGGCGTCGATCCAACAGTGAAGCTATTCCTAGGGCTGGCGATGCAGCCAAGGCCGGGGAAATCATGCATGAAAATGAAGAAAAAGGTAGAGGAGAAACAACTTACCCCGACCATCCCGCCGACGACGGAACCAATCTTGTCAGGCCAGCGGTTCGCGATGAAGCCCATGACGACCATGGCCCCTAGCGAGGTGGCCCAGCCGAGCGCCCGCGCGAGGGCCTGGCAGGTGGCCAACGGAGCGTGCGTGCTCATGGAGGCATTTGCGTGTCGTTTTCCGGGGAGGGGGGTGAACTGAGGTGGGTTGAATGAAAAGTTCAAGATGTAGGGGAAGATGCAAGTCTTGGGATGGCAGCGGGATGAAGAGCGGTCACGTCCCACCCACGTGAACCATGGCACGGGAGAAGGGTCTTTTGTCCATCCTACCCAGCAAGCCATCGACAATAGGCTGGAGGTGGCGTCGACGCCAGGATGGGTGTCATTGGCTGGGCTGGCGCGGGGAAGAAGGCGGCATTGGCTTTGGATGATTTAGTTTGGGGGGGGGGGGGGGGGAGGTGAGACAAGAGGATTCGAATCTTCTGCGCTGCGGGAATGGATGAAGAGAATCGTGGAGGCTCTGTGAGGCGACTGGACTGGGGCTGTATACAGAAAAGAGTCGATATGGATAATCTTAGTCTCCAGCTGCACTAATAAAATCGCAGGCGATTTCTCGCAGAATAGCATCGTTAATAAAAACTACGGTCGCTTTAACTACTGGGACGGGAGGAAAGACGCGCTACCCGGGACTGAGGAATATACATAAGTTAGCACAAGAACAGCTTCTGAAGCACATCAAACACCCGCTAACGGCTCACACCATGGCGCTAATCTAGGCCTTAGTCTAGGCCTCATAACCCGTACGATGCCTATGTACTGTATGTATGTATGTACCATCAACTACGAGTGAAAATGCCGCCCATCACGCACCAAGCTCCTCCATCCTCCTCTCCGCCCAACTCCCTAGCTTTCCATCGTATGGGCTGCCGCCGGGCATGGTCGGCCAGGGGTCCCAGATGTACATGATGGGACGGGCGTAGAGGGACGATGGCTTCTGAAGGCTGTATTTGAAGAGCAAAGGCTACCTGGCTATGACACAGGTGTCTATTTAATATTCAGCTTGATGCTGGCGATGAAGCTCGGGATCCTGTGTAACTAATCGGCCGGTCTGCGGGTTGCTCCTTGGTTAGGACAAGTCGACGGCCGTTGGCTGCGGCGGGATTTGCTTGGCAGAATTTCGGTGTGAGTCATTTAACCATGAATTTCAAACAATTCCCTTGTATCTTTTGTGAAGAAATGATGGAAGAAGAAGGAGAAGAAGAGGCCAATTTTCAACTCCGAGCGAGACATTAGTAGGCTACATACAGCCTTTGTTACGCGTGCAGGTCATACTGCCATGTATTGACCAGTGCGAGGTTATTATTCAAGAATGTCAGAAAATCTGAAGGATATTTTCTCAACTTTATCAGAGTTGTGTATTTTCTTTTTTTCACATAGGGATGATAGATTGGCAAAGGTGCCCCTTTCTCAGCGTCCTAGTATAAAGGCATCTACAGGGGAATTGCAGCTGACGGCAAGGCGACAATTTCGAGGTAGCCCACTGTTGTAACACAACCCCAAGAGAATGTCTAGCTATGTAGGTTCCCATTCAAAAATGTTTGCGATAATATCAGTCATTCTGACAACCTCCCATCGCGATCGAGATGCCCTCGGCTTTCGGCAGTACTGACACGGCAGGTCGCCAACTGGAATGACAAAAACTCCCAGCCCGAAGCGAGAGAAGACGTGAATCCTGTTTGCACAGTGGAAGCGACACCTATTAATAGCCCAAGACAACATTCGAGTTCCAGCTCAATTCGCCCTGCGCCGCCAAGTCGACGCCCCAACTGACGACCGCCGTCGATGGTTGGCCGAATCCAAGACACGTCCGACAATTCATCAGAGACGGTCGACTTCGCGATGGGGACCTTTTGTCGCGACATTCCAGTCGCCGGCGCGAGTCCTGGGTGCTTGGATCCGTCTAGACTCCTCTGGTGCGAGACAATGTCTCGCCCCAGCGCAAACGGCAGGGAGGGAGGGCGAAATATAATAATGCCCCTTGTTCCCCCCTCGGCTGAGCACCCATCAGTCAATTGATCAACCGAGAGAAGAAAAAAAAAAAAACACATCTTCGTCATTGCAAAATCCATCATGAAGCTGTTCGCTACCATCACCGCGGCCTGCCTCGTCGCCACCGCCACGGCCCTGCCCGTCACTGCTGCTGCCGACGCCGACGCCGACGCCGGCCCTGCGCGCGCCTTCTGGGGCATGCCCATCGTCGACCACAGGCCCGTTCCCGACACGCGCCGCCGCGACGTCGCTCCTCGCGACCCGAAAATGCACATCATCGAGAAGATACCCGTCCCGGAGGAGCGCCGAGACGCCGAGGTGGAGCGCCGCGATCGCCACCGACCCGTCGTGGACCACCGCCCGGTCGACCGCCGCGAGGAAGCGGCGGTGGAGGCTGATTCGTCCGCCGACGCGGAGGCCCATGAGTCTACGGATAGCAACATCGCAAAGGCCATGTGGGGCATGCCCATCATCGACCACACGCCCGTGCCGGGCACGCGTCGCAGCGCCGAGGGGGAGCGCAGCGGACGGGGGTTCCCGGTCGTGGACCACAGACCCGTCCCGGACGACAAATAAAGAGCGAGGGATCAAGTTGAAAATGAGAGGGGAGAGACGGGAGGTGTAGGATATATTTGTTAGCTCGGACCGAAAGCTACATGTGTGACAATACGATGATGGGAAAACGACTACATTCTTTTCTTGCTTTCCTTTTGTCGTTCACTTCAATATGGCGATGTGCTCTGGCACATCTTTCGTCTTTAGTAATGGATACTTTTTTTTTATTCCTTTTCTTTTCTTTTCTTTGCTTTTCTTTTCCTTTCTTTCCTTTCTTTCCTTTTCTTTCTAGGAGAAAATTGAGACGCGAGGTACTGGGAGTGTCTTAGCCAGACTGTTACTCTTGTGCACCTGAGCTACGCGGCCAGGCTGCCAAGTTCTAAGCCCCTTCCCCCCAACTATGAGCGGGTAATCGGGCGGGAAGGCTGGTAACGGCGAGCCGCGTGGCGATTTTTCATGACCAACTTCCGCGAGCCTCGCTCCGCCGCGAAGAATGTGTCGGCTCCTGGCTCCAGCTAGGCAGCACGGGCAAGGGTGGCCGGCCATCAACGAGCCTTGTCCAGCCGTTCCCTGCATCCTTTTTGCGAATCACATTCGCTTCTTGGCTATGACGCGCGCTCCCCGGCTGCGTGTCCTACACTGCCTTCAGCGTGACGACGCCTTCAGCCTTCAGCGTGACGCCCTATCCGGCGACGTATAAAGAGCCGCCTCTTGCCAGCCTGTTGTAAAAGTCCAAGACAACAAATACCTCTCCTACCAATCTCCTCATTCTTGAAATACACATATACACATATACACATATACACATATACACATACACGCACACGCACACGCACACATTATGAAGACCTCCGCCGCTGTCATCGCTTGCCTGGCTGTCGTCGCTACGGCCCTGCCCGCCACCACTGTCGACGCCTCCTCCGCACGGCTAGTTGCGGTCAGACATAACGCAGACCGGGCCTACGACGGGCCCCAGACGGAAGAGCACAGGCGGACCGACATCCAATACGGCCCGGGGCCGCCCCCCGATGGCGATGACTGAGACTATGCCGTCGGCATCTTGGGAGCACTGAATCTGTTTAGTTGGGCTAGATGGTGTGTGGATTTGGATTGGAAGCTGTAAACTCTGGAGTCATTCTCAACCTTTTTCATCTACGGGGACACGAGTCGGCATGTCACATAGACGTTAGACCCTCTCTGGATTAATCAAACTTGGATAGTGTAGTACCGTTGGCTCCTAGATGCGAAACAAAAACACGTTAATGCTATATACAACATGCACCGCTAAAATGCATACTCCTCCACGTGCAGGTATATCCCCTGCGCCCCTGTTCCCTTGTGCACCGCGCGCTCGTCGCTCAGCGCCGCCACGCAGTTCCGCGTGCGCGCCACGATCTCCTTGCCGCCGCAGACCACCACCGCCGTCTCGCCCCACGCGTCCTCCACCGGCTCCCTGATGAGCGCCTCGATGTCCGGGCGCGCCGCGTACTCCTTGACTACGTGTGTCGCGTGCTGCGCGTCGCTGTTGGAGCGGCTGCTGCGGGTGGCGGCGTGGACGTGCGTGTCCTGGTGCGCGGCGGCCCGCTTCTCGTCAAGGTCCAGCTCGGAGCTGTCGCGCGGCTCGCCTTGAAGCAGGCTGCCGCTCGTCGGCCGTGAGGCGGAGGCGTGGCCGCCGGTGATGGCCAGGTGTAGGTGGACGGCGATGCCGTGGGCGCGGGCGGCCTGGGCGGCGTCCTTGGCGCGGGCCATGTAGTACTGCGTCTCGGTGGCCGACTTGGCGACGACGGCCAGGTCGATGCGGCGCACGCACGTCTTCTCCTGGGACTTGGTGGCGACGGCCTCGAGGATCGGGACGACGAAGCTGGCGCCGGTGGAGGCGCCGATGAGCACCAGACGCTCAAAGGTGTCCCAGTTGGCCGGGGCGCCGTAGGGGCCCGAGACGAGGCCGGTGAGCTCGGCGGCGGGGTTCTCGACGGCGTACTTGTGGAGGCGCTTGGAGAAGCCGCCGTGGGCGCGCACGATGAGCTGGATGCTGTTGCAGCAGCACGCGCCCTCCAGCCGGTGCGCGCAGGCAATGGTGTACGGGTGGGCTTCGAGCGGGCCCAGCCGCGGAACCCAGAGGTAGATGTGCTGGCCGGCGGACCACTTGAAGTGGACGTCCTTGATGGTGAGGACCGTGGTGGCGTCGCCGACGGCGCGGGCGAAGACGCGGTGGCCGATGCGGCTGCGGCCCTCGCAGACCGACTTGTTGCGCCGGAACTGCACGTTCTGCCAGAGCAGGTTTGCCCAGCGTGCGAGCCGGTCAAAGGCGAGAAAGGCAATGGCCATCCAGAGGAAGTGGCGCGCGTTGGCGGGGATGTGCTTGTAGATGAGCCACAGCATGACGGCAGCCGAGGCGATGTGCTGCAGCAGCCAGATCTCGTACGCCAGGCGACGGATAGGGACGAAGCCGACGACGACAGACCAGAGTAAGATGGCCCAGGCGCCGAGGCCGTACTTGACCATGGGCATGATCTCAAGCTCGTACTCGACAAAGTCGGCGCGTACCCACTCCGTCCAGAAGTGGAAGCCGTGGCAGGTGGCGGTGATGAACATGGTGCGGCCGACCCAGCGGTGCAGCCAGTTGATGCGCTCGTGGCTGGTGTCGATGAGGAGGCCGATCGGGTTGTACTTCATGGCGAGGAGGTAGAGCATGGGCAGCTGGCAGACGGTAACCCACGCGTTTCGGAAGCCGATGCGCTCCCAGTAAGTGGCGTCGTTGGCGACGACGCGCCAGGACATGAAGTAGACGATGACGGCCCAGTAGGCGAGGAGGGCGAGGATCCGGCCGAGCGGGAGGGGAGTCGCCCAGCGGAGGCTCTTGATGGGGATGTAGTACTGCGGATGGCTCATCTCACGGACAAAGGCCGTCGCGGTGGCCCAGGCTTGGGAGAGGCGGCCGTTGGGACGGGTCGGATGTTGGATCGCGGGATTGCGACATGATGAGATTCTACACAATTAGAGCCGTACACGGGAGATGGGAGGAGGGGGGGGATGATGGTACCGGACGTGGGCACCATATGCGTTAACGGCGCGGACGGTAGCGAGAAAGCCGACGACGCCGGCGGCAATATACCAGTAATCACGGGAGAAGGCATGATTGATTTCAGAGCCCATTCCTGGGTGGTCCCCGTGCATACCGTCCATGCTCATGTCCATGATGGCGGCGGTGCGGCGGTGCCGGTAGTGATGATGCGGGCGGTTGCGGGCATGCGGCGGAGGAAGCTGGGCTGCGATAAATGAGAAGCTGAATGAAGCGCACGAAGCGAGCAAAGATGAGCAGCCGAGATATCCGGAAAGGCGGATTTATTTGTGACAAAAGACAAAACAAAACGGCGAATGGGTGCCGAGTCCGTGAAGTTGGAGCTGGTGAGACGAGGCATGCCGGGAACGGATGGAGTGAGAATGGATCAACGGTTATTGGTCCGGGGCAGGGCGAATAAGGTGAAACTAGCTCTCGATTTTGAGAAAAAGGCCGCATTCGAGCGCACGCGCGGGGCAATATGGCAATAAACCGAAAAGAGAAAAAAAGACAAAAAGGACGCTATTGTATTGTGTACAGGAACGTCGGCCAAGGAAACTTGCTCAAACATTCTCACAGCTGTGGCTTGACAGGGCCTAAGCGACGCCGTGGTTGGTTAGACTGGGGCGTTGGCGTCGGGAACGGGGGCGCCACATGCGGCCAAGCCAAGACGGAAGCCACAGCCGTGTGCCTGAGGATAGTGGTATTGCGATGAAGAGAGGATGAATTGTGCAAGAAGAATAAGAAGAGACAGAGCAGGATTAATATGAGTGGATTGGGCTTTTTTTTTGTAGATTTTCATTGAATTATTTTGGTGATGGTATTTGAATACAAATGGCTGTGGCTGGTGTCCAAGACATCACCATCCAGGTGCCGTTTGCACCACCTCAACGCCACACGATACATCACCACATTGTTGGAAACCACAGCTGGTATCCTTTCTCCGACCCTCTTCCTTCTTGGCCCGACCACCCTTTTGTCATAGCTCCATCGGGCTAATTGCAGGGTTTCAAAAAGCTGCCGGATATAATAACGCCAAGCTCGCCCTCTTCAAGCTACTACATCATACATCCTCAACCCAACCTTGTGCCTCTGCCTGTTTGCCTCTCTCTCTGCATCACACAATTCTTCCCCAAAACATCGCCGTCTTTCCGCCCACCACCACAATGCGCTCCTTCATCCCCCTCGCCGCCCTCGTCGGCCTCGCCTCCGCCCACTTCCAGCTCAAGTACCCTCCCACCATCGGCTTCGAGGACTCCAAGGAAGACACGGCGCCCTGCGGCGGCTTCACCCCGGACCTGACCAAGTCGGACCTCCCCGACTTCCACATCGGCGGCGACGCCGTCGCCGTCCGCCTCAGCCACCCGCAGAGCAAGTGGCTCTTCCGCGTCACCACCGGCGACGTCACCGATGACAAGAGCTGGGAGCAAATCTACCCCATCGTGCTGCAGAGCGGCCTCGGCGACTTCTGCCTGCCCGCGCTGACGGTGCCGTCCAAGTACGAGGGCAAGAAGGGCGTGCTTTCGATCGTGTCGTCTGCGGTGGATGGTCTGCTGTTCCAGGTACGATTTATTTTTTATTTTTTTTGCTCCTCGCATCGCTCGACGTGGGCGGCGAGACTATTTACTGGTATGCCAATTGGGGAGGCTAACATGTTTTTGTTTAGTGCTCCGCGGTCAACTTTGTCTCGGGCTCGCAAAAGGCGCCTTCGCAGTGCACCAACGCCACGCTCACGGCCAGCTTCAGCAGCGACTCCGCGCTGTCCGCCCTCGTCGGCAGCGGCGGCAGCAACGCGACAGCCACCTCAGGCAGCGGCAGCAGCACGTCCACCTCGGCCACCGCCAGCCCGTCGGCGACCAAGAACGCGGCCGCCGCGGTGCAGGCCGGCTCCGGGGTGCTGGCCGTGCTCGGCGGACTGCTGCTCCTCTAATAAAAAACCGGGAGCCAGAGAGGGGGAAATTGTGTGACTACCGAACGCCAAACAGGGTCCAACGTGGGGGGTAATGTAGCATGGGCGACCACGGTGGCGCGATGAATAGCGCGTATACAGAACATGTACAAATGATGATTCAGAAATCGTTTTTCTGCTTTCAAGCTTTGCGGCCAATCTGTCACGAATTTTTTTAAACTTTTGCCGCCAATCGATAACTACCTACCGCTTTGTTTTTTCTCTGACCCTACCCAAATTTATTGTCGTCACGTCTGAAATTTTTATTACTGCGTTCCACGTCTCCGTCTCTGCATCCTTGCATAAGTTACGGCTTCTTTTCGCCCGCGACAACCGCAGCAAGCAAGGCTCTCAGACCAACCCCAAATAAGCAGGACACATATCATTTGTCTCCCCCATCTCCTCTTTATTGGTCAATTTAGTAGCCTGCAGGTAACGTTATGATTCTCTTCCCCAACATTGCATCCATCACCCCCACATTTCCCCTCATGCTCAAGTCATCCACACCGACCTCTCGCTGACCAGCCCGCAGCTTCCTCTGCTTCTTCTTTATTTTAATTCCGGCTTCATTTTTGCTGCAATTGACGGGTTGAAGGTGTAATTGGCCTTTATTTATTCGCTCGAATTTTTCCACGTCGTTTCTTCCCTGAGCTGGCCTGAGTCTTTCTACACTGTCCGCTCCGTGTACGGATCCCCCCCCCCCCCCGGTCATCGGCAATAACTAACCTCGTCTCGCCCATTGTCCTCCCACCAAGGGCCATAGCTCCTCTTGCTACGGATACACTCGTCCTTTCTCGAATACGACACTCATCCTCACCAATGCCGCGCATTGCTTGAATACTTGCCCTCCTCCCTTCCGGCCAACCCCCGGCATCATGAACTTGTTCCTCATCCTCGCCCTCCTCGAGCGCCCCAAGTTCGACAACCCTTTACACCAGGCCTCCAGCTACTATCCAGTACCGCATATTGACCTGCCCACCAACTACACCACCCTCCACGGTGAGCACTGCCCTGCCGCCGGTGAGGCCGTCTCCCAATATGTCCTCACCGGCGTAGCGCTCGCCATCACCGCAGTCTACATCACCCGGGCGCGTCTCTTCCGGCTGCTTCCTCCATGGCTACGGCCCTTTGCCGCGGAACAAGGGCCCGACCGTCGCGCCGCAGACGACGGTTCCGATGACGACCTCTTCAAGCCCAAAGGGTGGACGCACTGGACCCTCATCCTCTTCCTCATCGCCGTCTTCGGCTTCCTCCTCTCCCTGGTGCCCGTCGTGCTCGCTCCTACGCAGCCGCTCCCCCGCTTCGAAATCGTCCCCTGGATCGCCGTGCTCGTCATCACCATGGCCGAGCGCCCGACCAGCACGCCGCGCCTGCTGCTTGCCCTGTACGCGGCCATCCTCCTCACCAGCGCCTCCATCTTCTCGGCGCACTTCCTCGACCACGACCTGCTCTATGTCGAGCCCACGCAGCTCGCGCGCGTTGTGCTCGCCGCGCTCGCCGCCGCCTGCATCTGCGCCATGCCCCTGCGCGACCCGACCTGGGACGTCGCTGACATCGGCTCCGGCAAGCTGCCGCCGTCGTCGCTCCTCCGCAGCCCCGAGGATAACCTGAGCCTCGCGCGCTTCTGGACCATGAGCTGGGTCGGCCCGCTGGCTAAGCTCTGCAAGGTGCGCGAGATCACCGTCGACGACGTCTGGCAGCTGCCGTTCGACTTCCAGCACACCCGCCTGTACATGGCCTTTCGCGAGGTCAAGGGCCAGCTGCTGCCGTGTCTGATCGAGGCCAACGGACTCGACCTCTTCATCTCCACGACCCTTGCCATCGTTGAAAAGGTGCTCGAGGTCACAAATATCCGCCTCACCAGCAAGCTCTACCAGGCACTCGACGCGGCGGAGCCCTCCGGGGCCATCTACTGGTGTTTTGTGATGCTCGCCCTCGACGGCCTCCGCCAGGTCTCCAAGACGACGGCAAACTGGTACTCGCGCAAGGCCTACGAGCGTTCCCGCGGCGAGACTTTTATCGGTCTCTTTGGAAAGCTCCTGACGCGCGCCGTGCCGGGCTCCGACGCCACCGAGAAGGGCCCTCAAGAGGCCACCTCCCTGCAAAACGGAACCGGCAGCCCCGACAACGAGTACGATGAGTTGACCGAGCCGCAAACCGCGATGCAGCGCTTCGTCTCGCGCATCTGTGGTCGCCGTGTAAAGAAGACGGCCACCCCGTTCCCTGCCCAGCCCGCGTCCAACGCCAAGGTCGTCAATCTCGTGCGCGGCGACACGTACGAGATCTCGCAGCGCTTCTGGGACTTTCAGAAGCTCGTCTCGCAGCCCGTCAAGATCATCTTCGCCATGTACTATCTTGTCGACATAATGGGCTGGCCGTCGGCCGTCGGCTTTGCGCTCATGGTGCTCTTCCTAACCTGCAACTCGCTCCTCGTGAAGCGCCTCATTGCCCTGGAACGCCAGCGCACAGCCCACTCAGACAAGCGCGCGCAGGCCGTATCGCACTTTGTCGAGGCCAGCCGGCCGCTTAAGCTCAACGGGTGGACGGCGTCGTGGAGTGCGCGAATTATGCGCTTCCGCGATCTCGAGATGCGCAAGCGTCTGCAGATGGCGCTGGTCACCGCCGCCATGTCCACACTCAACGTCGCCGGCGGCACGGCCTACCCGCTCGCCGGCATCGCACTCTTCACGCTCGTCCTGCGCCGCGGCCTGCCCAACGACGTCATCTGGCCATCGCTCCAGCTATTCGGCCAGCTCGAGGCCAGCGTCAAGGAGGCCTTTGACCTCGTCTCCGCCTTCTGGAAGACGACCATCCCCGTCGAGCGTGTCCACGCGTACATGGACGAGCCCGACCGGGACGTCGTCGCACCTGGCAGCGGCAGCGCTACCCCCGGCACGCCGCAACACATCTCCTTCCGAAACGCCTCCTTCGCCTGGCCCTCGACCGACGTCCCGGTCCTCCGCGAGCTCAACTTTGACATCCGCACCGGCCTCACCATCGTCCGCGGCAAGGTCGGCGCCGGCAAGTCCAGCTTGCTGCTCGCCGCCCTCAACGAGATGGAGTTGCGCGAGGGCTCCCTGGCGCTCCCTGACGAGCCCGTCGGCTACGCACAGCAGCTGCCGTGGCTGCAGAACAAGACGATCCGCGAGAACATCCTCTTCCAACAGCCGTTCGACGCGCACCGCTACCGCCAGGTGCTCCACGCCTGCGCGCTCGCGCCGGACCTCGCCGCGCTCGTCAACGGCGACATGACCAAGCTCGAGGAGGGTGGCGTCGGGCTTTCCGGTGGCCAGAAGGCGCGCGTCGCCCTCGCCCGCGCCGTCTACTCGCCGAGCCGCGTGCTCCTCCTCGACGACCCGCTGGCGCCGCTCGACCACGACACCGCCACGGCCGTCGTCCGGCGCCTCCTGCAGGGCCCGCTCGCCAAGGGCCGCACCATTGTCATGGTGACGCACCGCGACGACCTGGTCCTGCGCATCGCCGACACCGTCATCGACGTCGACGGCGGCACCGCACGCGTGCTGCACTGGCACGAGGTCCAGGCGGAGCTCGCGCACCCGTACCACGCGGTGGACGGGGCGGCCACCCACGACGACGCGGACCACTCCGCCGCCGCGCACGAGGAGCTGCTCTCCGGCGGTAAGATCGATCCCGAAGACCCCTCGGAAACGGGCGGCGTGTCGTGGACCGTATACCTCAAGTACATGCGGGCCGGCGGCTGGCACATGTGGGCGCTGCTGGCCGCGGCGTACGGCATCTCCCGGTTCTGCGACATTTCGCGCGCCCGGCTCCTCGAGGAATGGGGCAAGGACACGGCGTCCAGCGCCCACCTCTCCGGCGGCGGCGGCGGCTACTGGGGCCTGCCGGACGCCGACGGGCACGCGGGCACCTGGCTGTGGGTGCTCGCGGGCTTGTCGGCCGGGCAGGTGGTCAGCTACGGCATCGCGCAGGTGCTGCTCGCGCGCATCAGCGTGGACGCGGCGCAGGCGCTGTTCCGCGCGGCGGTCGACAAGGTGAGCCGGGCGACGTTCCGCTACCACGACACGACGCCGACGGGCCAGCTGAAGAACCGGCTCATCGCGGACATGTCCATGGTGGACGGCGGGATCCTGCAGCCGCTCGAGGCCTTCGTTTTCCAGCTCATCTCGCTGGCCATGTCGCTGGCGGCCATCACGACGCACCAGCCGGCGCTGCTGGGCGTGCTGGGTGTCGTCTCGGCGCTCTTCGTCTACTTCTTCCGACTGTACGTGCCGGCGTCGCGGTGCCTGCGCCGCATGGAGATGCGCTACCTGACGCCCATCATCGCCAACATCGGCGTCATGCAGGACGGGCTCGTCACGGTGCGCGCGATGCGCGTCGAGCGCCACTTCCAGCGGCGCCACCTCGAGGCCGTCGACGACTTCCAGAAGCAGGACCACTTCTTCTGGAGCATGGCATTCTGGCTGGATTTCCGGCTATCGATGAGCTCGGCGGCGATGCGCGCGGCGCTGGTGCTGCTGATGGTGGCGCTCGGCACGGCCGCGTCGGCGGTCGGCTTCGTGCTGACGCAGACGACCATCGCCATGGCCGCCGTGCAGCAGCTGTGCGAGCGCTTCGCGCAGCTGCAGCTCGACGCGGTCAGCCTGGAGCGCGTGCACATGCTGGACCGCATCCCCGCGGAGCCCGCCGGCGGCGCGCAGCCGCCCGACGGCTGGCCCGCGCCCGGCGACGCCGTCGTCTTCGACGACGTCTCCTTCCAGTACGACGACGACCTGCCGCCCGTGCTGGACCGCGTGACGCTGCGGATCCCCGGCGGGGCGACGTGCGCGGTGCTCGGGCGCACCGGCTCCGGCAAGTCGACCATTGCCAACGCGCTGCTCGCCACGCGCGCGCCCTCCCACGGCACGCTGACCGTCGGCGGCGTGGACTTGGCGGAGGTGGACCGCGCGGCGCTCCGCGGCCGCATCACGTTCATCCAGCAGGACCCGACGCTGTTCCCCGGCACGCTGCGGGACAACCTGGACCCGGAGGGGCGGTTCGCGGACGCGGCGTGCGCGGCGGCCGTGGCTCGGGCCCGAGTGGCGGCTGGACTCGCCGATCGACGCGGGCGGGCGGAACTTGTCGCAGGGGCAGAGGCAGCTGGTGGGGATCGGGAGGGCGGTGCTGCGGAGGTCCGGGCTGGTGGTGCTGGACGAGGCGACGGCGAGCATCGATCGGAAGACGGCGGCGGTGGTGCAGAGGGTGCTGCGGGAGGAGCTGGGGGAGAGCACGGTGATTACGATCGCGCATAGGCTGGAGGCGGTGGAGGACGCGGACTGGTGCGTGAGGTTGGAGAGGGGCCGCGTGCTGGAGTGCGGCCCGGCGAGGGACCTGGCGACGAGCGGGAGAGGACGGGATCGAGAGGGAGGGGGGGTTGATGATGGAGGGGCGAAAGATCCTTAGAATGTTGACGCTTGAGGAATTGTCCGCGCCTGTGATGTTGGGATTTTGGAGGAGGGTTTTGGAAAGTCTAATGATGAGTAATGTTGGCATTTAGAAAGTTTGGAAATACTACGCAGCAACAGATAGTTGGATGCATCCAATAGATGATCACAGCATCACCGACTCGTATTGGCGGGTTGACGTTGAGTCTCAGAGGTTGACTTGTGTGTCTGTAGGATGCACGTGTAGAGGGGAACTTGGCATCTCTAACCAATGCAACATCTTGTATATGCTCACGCTATGTGCAGTTCTATAGGGTATATAACAGGGTATAAATCATCATGAATCCATGCTGGTATCGTCCGTATACGCCCAACCATCCAGCGCCGTCTACCCAAAGAGCGTGTCCAAAATGCGTTCAAAGCGGGACCTAACATGTTAGCAATCAGTCGAATACAAGGCATCGATGATACGTACTCTGCCTTCCTTGGCACATAATTGGCCTCGTGCTCTTCAATCTCCGCCAAGTCCTTAACCAAGTCCACCTCCTCTGGCTTGTGAATCTTGGTCTTCTTGACAAACTTGTAGCCAAAGTACAGCGCCGGAAACACAAAAATCATCATGTACGAAAACAGAAAGTTGGGCGTGTCCCATCGCCCAGGCAAAAAGACCGGGTAGCCACCAACAAAGGCCATGAGCACGCACCAGAAGAGCGCATAGTACGCGGCGTAGGGCATGAACCACGCGCGGTACGGCAGCGTCGTGGGGTCAATGCCCTGCGCCCGGATGGCCCGGCGAAAGCACAGGTACGAGACGCAAACACCTCCGAAATTGAGAAGCTGTGAGGCTGTGACCAGCGACACGAACCAGTTGAGTACAACCGAGGCGCCCTCGCCCAGCTGCAGAAACGACAGCAGCGCAAACACGAGAACGACGGCGACACAGTAGATCGGAACACCTGTCTTGGTGCAGGTGGTGAGGAGACGCGGGGCCTTGCCCTCGAGGGCCAAGCCGTAGAGCGATCGCGAGGCGCAGTAGACGTACGAGTTGCCAGCCGAAAAGGCAGCCGTCAGGACGGTCGCGTTGACAATGTGGGGAAGAATCGGGATGCCGAGACGCTTCATGGCAACAACGTAGGGAGACGCAGCAGCGCCAGGTGAGCCGTTCGCATAGGCTTCAATCAAGTTTTTGTCGTTGTAGGGGACAAGAATACCAACGCAGAGAGAGCCGAGAATGAAGAAGGCCGTAAGTCGGTAAAAGACGGCGTTGAAAGCGCGAGGCATGACTTTGCGTGGATTTTCAGCCTCGCCAGCGGCCATGGAAACGTAGTCGGGACCGGCAATGGTAAAAGCGGCTTGAATCAAGCACTGTAAGAAGCCTACCCATCGACCAAGCCCACCGGTGTAGCCATAGAGCTCGGCAAAGGAGCCAGGGTTCGACCAGTAGCGGAAGCCGAAGCGATCGTGTTGGGGGTTGCCGCCCACCATGACAATAAAGGTAAAGAGCACGAGACCGACAATGAGCAGCACCTTGCCGAGCGCAGCCCAGAATTCGGTTTCGCCATACCACTTGACGGCAATTACGTTGATGGCGGCATACAGAACAATGATGATGGCAATCATTGCGCCGGTGGGTATTGCTTTGGTCCAGAAATTGATGATGAGGTTGCACGCCGTCACTTCAAAAGGCACCAGGGCGGCTTGGAAAACGAAGAAATTCCAGCCAATGGCGAAACCAAAAGACTCGTCAACATAGCGACCGGCGAATCGGATAAACGGCGAAGAGATGGGCAGGTAAGTCACCATTTCCGCCATGCACAGGGTGACGGCGAGCACGACGGTGCACCAAAAGCTAAAGGCGATGAAGAGACTGCCGGGGCCGCCATGAAGAAGGCCTTGACCGATTTGAACCTGCACAGGCCAATGGGCTACGATAAGCAAGTGATGTTAAAGGCAAACGAGGTGGGAGGACAAGGACGCACATAGAGAACGGTTCCGATACTACCACCAATGCCAATAAGCTGAATGTGTCGCGACTTGAGCAGACGGTGGGTATGGTCGACCTTGCCACTGTCAAAAGACAGGCGGCCGGGATTGACATCGGAGATGGGTTTGGAGTCGGCACCACCCGCCTTGTCGGAGCCGACAATTTTTTCGGTGTCATAAGGGTAGGCCGGCGGGCTGTGAGCGCCGTCTGAGGCCATTGTCGCGTTGGTGGCAAAATCAGGTAGAGGCGGCGAGGTGCTGCGGAAGCAATTGCAAGCTGTGTGGGCGCAAACTTGGCGAGAGGCAACGGTGAAAGCGCGCAGGAACTGTCACGAGCAATTGGCGGCGCCAGAGGAATGCCGAGGACAATAGGCGTATGGAGCTTGATTGTGGGAATGGCCAGTCGTGGTTCTTGCAAGGCGAGGTGGATGTGCTGCAGGTGGTTTATGAGGTCCAGTCTGGCGCGCGTCGATGAAATTTCGAAGCTGGGAATATTGGCAAGAAAAAGAAAATCGGCGCCGGCCGGTCGGAGCGGCAAGTGCGTAGTATTTGAAGCAACCAGCAACGGCCAAGCCGGGCGACAGGCAGAGGCAGACCCGACGCGGGCCACGAGCAAGCAAGGGGATAGCGTCTTGGAGGAGCAGCGGGTCTTCTGGCCGGGCTGAGTCTATCCAGTAGCACGTCGCCATGCCGTGCTAACTAGTGTCTGGGCAGCCAATAGATGGTCGAGTGATGGTGCCCCGGAGCGTCCAGAAACAAGCATGAGCGGCGCGGCCGCAGACGAGGCTAGGCCTAGCTGCAAGTCAGAATGGATGCATGCGTCAATGTCGCACGACAAGGTCATGGATGAACGGCTTGATAGGCGGATGGGGGGACAAGACGAACGCCACAGAAGCAGAATGGTGGGGGGTGGAAGTGACGCTGCGGAATACATCCAATGTTAAGCTGTTGGTGGGTGTGCCAGAATCGTGGATTCGGATATTCTTCAAAACAGAAGAGTAGTTGTGATGAATGCTGATGGTTTTGATGGAGGTGGTGATGATGGTGATGGTGTTCAAAGGTTAAAGAAGCAAACGGCAAACGACAGACCCCAAAACGAATTGAGGCTCTGTGCCTGTGGCGCGGTAGTGGCTGTAGTGGCGCTGGAATGGCGCGATGGGTTGCATGGTTAGCGGCTGTCAGGGCTCTGATCGAGAATTTTATAGGGTGTGTTTATAGGGCATTCTTGACAAAAAAACTGCTATGTATATTTTAGTAGCAAGCCATGCCGCCAGGAGAGGCTGCAAGGGCCGTGATCTGATGTGCGTGTCTCTTTTCGCCAATTTATTACAATTGTATCGCCATTCTACTCTATTTCCGTCATATCGTTATTGAATACTGGCAAAGTTTACCTCGGCTCAATGATCTATCCAGCTTCCTTTGTCCAACTCAACCAGCACGTGCTCTTGATCCAACTCAACCCGCCAAGCCCACCAGCCCAAGCCTCATGTTCCTTTGTTCACCTTTCCATCTTGCCAACTTGAGCTACCTCCAGAAGCCGACGATCCGACTCTACAAACAACCATACTTAGGCTCCGTCCGGCACGTCGTATCCGATATTGGGGCTACTGCCGAGCCACTACATCGACAGCTTGCGGCAGCTGCGACTCTGGGCATCGGGGGATGATACCCTCCGTCGCGCACAATGACAGACGCCAAGAATTGTCTGTGGCGTTTTCGGGCTTCTGACCACGGCCCGTGATGCTGGCTGACTGCATCCGACAAGCTGGGAACCTTCAGTCCCTTGGTGAACGACAAGCGAGCAAAGAAAAAAACGGCATGCTGAATCAATTCGACCGGCCGAGTGCAAACCACCTATTGCGCAAAATGTGTCAGCAAGCTACCTCTTTACCATGCCATTTTCCACGACAGCAGTAAGGATTCAGCCTCAGACTTCGTTTCCATTGTCATCACCGGCTTCCATGTCAAAGTTTGATATACGCTGTCCGTCTTGCGGACAGTTGATCCCATCAGGGCTCATCGCTCCCCAGAGAGGGCGATCCCGCGAGTAGATTCGATCTGGTGCAAAATTGCGCGGCCTTTTCCAGCGACGAATGACAGCAGGCCTGGTTGCTGAAAATCGGTCTTACTCTACCTCTCTGACCCTTCCCCCTTCCCCTCCCC